AGAGCGGCGACGCGTTTGGAGTGCAGCCTTTGGTGACAAGGCCCTTCGGGGCTATGAGCAGAGGCTTCGTGTCTACCGCAACAAGCTGATCAGCCATCTCGTCGAGTCGAATGGGGAAGGTGTTAACGTCACGAAATGGTTCAATCTGTTCAGTTTTGATTTCATGGGCGACCTGGCTTTCGGGCGGTCTTTCGATATGCTGGAAACGAGTCGTGAGCACTGGGCTGTCAAACTGCTCAATAACGCGCTCGAGCCACTCGCGTACGCATTTCCAGTCTGGTTTTTCAGAGTCGTAACAGCGATACCCGGACTTTCGAGAGATTGGTGGCGCTTCATTGACTTTTGCGCCGAGCGGATGGATGCACGGCTGAAAGTAAGAGTCACTATACCTACACTTGAGATACACTAACGACAAGCAGACCAAGGTAGATGTGCCCGATATTATGTCGGCACTCTCCGCTCCTTATAAAGGTGAAATGCCAACAGAAAAGGATTGGCGCGTTCTGAGGGGAGATGCACAACTGATCGTTGTTGCTGGCAGGTAAGTTTCTCTACTCCAGCACGATATACTCCCTATCACTTGAAATTCTAGCTGACAATAACCAGCGATACAACTGCAACCACGCTTTCTGCGGCCCTTTTCCAGCTCTCACAGCACCCGGAACAGATCGAGAAGCTTCGACACGAGCTTGCGCCATACATGACCGACCCTAGTGGTGACGTCCTCAATGAGAAGATCGCAAATCTCGACCATCTCAACGCTATTATCAATGAAACCCTGCGTTTGCACCCGCCTGTCCCGTCAATGCTACAGCGTAAAACTCCACCAGAGGGAATTGTTATCGATGGGATATTCATTCCAGGAAATATGATAGTTTCATGTCCTCAATATGTCATTGGAAGAAGTGAGTTTCTACTTTCGATACGTACGATACTGTGGCTAACAAGTCTATTTGTGGCAGGTGCGGCTGCTTATGAACGCCCTGACTCTTTCATTCCTGAGCGATGGTACTCATCGCCAGAAATGGTGAAAGTAAAGAGTGCATGGGCCCCATTTTCAACTGGTCAGTTCTACCATCTGACCCTCACTATAAGCGACAAAGCTAATGTCTACTCCGCAGGCCCTTACGGTTGTATCGGAAGGCCACTAGCGTTACTAAACGTGCGAACTACACTTGCAAGAATCGTCACGACCTTCGATATCTCGTTCGCTCCTGGTGAGACTGGAAGGAACTTTGAAGGCAAGGCAAGAGAGAAGTTTACAATTGGATTTGGTGACTTAATGATATCTTTTAAGCCACGTGCATCTGTATGATTCATCCTGGAATAGTAGTAGTAAACTCAAAATGAACTCAATATATATCAATCGCTGAGCAAAATGTGTGCATAAATTCATAATGATAGTGAATTATTTCCCTAAACCTATCAACATAACATCTGCTATGTTCCATGCGAAATGCAGAGACTTCCGGACCCATTATAAGGATAGTGGTGTTGTTCCTCCCAGCTAGATACTCTAATTTTCTGACGAGACATTGTTCATGGATGCACGAAGACCAAGACCTAACTGTAAAGAAGTTTGGCTATGCGGATGTCATTTGAGTCATGTTGCGGTCGAAGACGTCCATCGTCCAGATCGCTGGCTCCATTAAACGTGTTCCTTCCAATACGACGGCGGCATCTTCCGGGCATTACCTGAAGCGGCGGGTTTAAATGTAGCCTTCATGTGACAGTGACTGAAACATGTTGTGCTCCTCATTACTCGAATTAGCACAGCCCGGAACCAAAATTGAACATTGTAGGCGCTCTCGATTGCGAAGAGTGCATAGCGTCACGAAACAGCAATTTCCGTGCTGGAGCGCATCTGCTACTGAGCTACCTGTACCATCTTATATTCTCAGCGTGAATTACCACTGGCAAACCACCTCATCATCACACCACTGCTGGTTCTTCTCAGTGACTTGGTTCCTTTCACCTTCGACTAAGGCTTATCTTCTTGCTGCTGTGCGGCGGCTTTTGCATGCGACTCTCACAAAGTCGTGACTAACCGGGAATTGGATTTAGTCATGGAATATCAGGTGGAAAAAACGGGTGACTTCACCCAGCCCCAAGCGAACGGACGTGGCCAGCCTGCCCCTGTAAGATGAACCCAGCGCAACACGATATAGATATACTGACGATGTCATCCCATGCAGATTCAAAACCCATGGGCTCCCAAATACTTCGCAAAAACTCTATGGCTGTTCACAGAAAGCGATTTCGCAACCTTCGTTGGACCCGACACTTTGTTCGGCATCGCAGCGGCTCTGTCCGGGTCTGCCCTCACTAACAATAACTCGCCCGATCTCATACACATTCTCAGTCGCATTCCAATTGTCATGCTCTGGAACTGGCTGAATCTCTTGATCTTCGATCTCGCAAACCAACGGGATCCCGAATCAGCAACTGAGGACGCGATCAACAAGCCATGGAGACCAATCCCGTCTGGCCGTATAACCTGTGCTCAAACTACGACTCTACACTTGATTGCGTTGCCGATAGTTCTCGGGCTCAACTACATTATTGGCGCTTGGGAGGAGACAGCCTTATTGTTCATGCTGACGTGGATGTACAATGATCTTGGTGGCGGAAACCACAATTGGATTGTTCGCAATGGGATCATTGCTGTAGCGTTCTCACAGTACAACAAGGGTGCTATGCGAGTCGCTGCGGGGATGGGCTTCGATATACCTGTACCGGCCTGGTGGTGGCTTCTCATGACGAGTGGTGTGATAGGTACCACCATGCATGTACAAGACATGAAAGATCAGGAAGGCGACCGGGCACGAGGGAGAGGTACTGCTCCGTTGGTGCTTGGAGATGGGCCGGCTCGATGGACGATTGCTATTCCCGTTGCAGTGTGGTCGCTAGTATGTCCTCTCTTTTGGAATCTTAGCTTCGTTGGATATGTGTTGCCAGTTGGGGTTGGCGCGTTGATTTCTTTCCGGATTTTGACGATGCGCGGGTTTTCGGCCGACAAACGAACATGGTGGTTGTGGACGGCTTGGACTGCTATCGTATGGTTTGTGCCACTGTTCAAGGATTATGGTGTGTTCATACGCTTTGCTCAAAAGCTTGGGTTTTAGCTACGATTAGAAGGAGCTTAGAGCTCACGGTTGCAGAGAAAATTAGAAGGTAGCTGGGTGTCTAACTGGGTTATAGAGGAGTTGCCATTGATAGGATTATCAAACGTGAACACATACGAATATTTACATAAGCTATCATCTGAGAGTCTTTCGGGCATATCCTTTAGTGTATAGATAGAGATTCATTGGAATAAATTGGACAGGTTCGCACTCAAAGGACCCTATCATATTAAAACCTGCGTTTTTGAGGCAAATCAATGTCGAAAGTTTCGACGATCTAACCTCTTCACTGGCGATGTGACTTGTGAGACTCTTTGCTGATCCTAGTGAAGAATTCCCTTATTGATAAGTCCAGATACAATAACCAATGTAGGACCATGTGACACTTTATATGATCAATCATCTTGGAGTGGAATTGAATGAAGACATATTTTGCCCCTGCTTCATTGGGCCAACCCTCGACAATAACAAGAAAACTTATTCACGAGCCTGCGTCTTGTGTTACTGGGCACAGCAGATGAATCACGTGGCGCATGTCCGTGTGCCATGATCCGACCGCCAGGTTGACATCTGCTGCGATCGATGATACAACTTGGCAAAAGCTTAAGACATACCTGCCGTACGGGATGACTTCAGGCCTAGTGAGACATGCTGCGAATCGCGCTAGTCTTCGCATTTGGGTATTGTCTTGTCCAGCCTCGGTGCTCCAGTGAACTGCAAGTTTTCGCCATGATGAGCATAACCTCTCCCGCGCGAAAGAACGATGAAAACTTCGCTGCTCGTTATTCCCGCATTTCTTCCATAGCGTCCTTTCGATTTTACTTGGTCCATGCACCCTGTTTCCACCTGACCTTGAGACTCTGCCGTGGCTTAGACGATCGACAGCTCACCTGCCGAAAGCGGCAATGCCCGGGTATGGGACCTCGTCAGCTAAGATCCCACGCGATCCTTGAGGCCGGGCCCGACAAGACCTTCCCCTGCAGCATTCGCGTGGATTCTTTTCTTGGTTCCGGAAAATCCACACCTGGTTTGTGACTTGTGCATCTATCGGTAGTCGGTCCATGGAACCGAGTTGCTGAGCTTCGTTGTGAACGTTGAGGCTTAGTCCTCAACAAGCAGAGACTGAGAGATAAATATGCTTTCTATGCGTACAAATGATGTGTAAGTGCAATTTCACAGAGCGCCCTTGCCACGGGGGACGCGGGGACTGTTTGAGGGCATTGACAGCAACGGTCCGATACGAGAAGATTGAACGGGAGCTGAGCGCCCGTTCACACCCATTTGTAATGTGCTAGGCCACATTCGACAGGCTTCAGACAAGGGCCATGGTTCGGATCCATCTTACCATTGTACGAACCATCCTTACTTCGCCACCTCGTCAGGAGACAACCCAACCTACCTTAATAGAGTAAACTCCGGGGACGTGTAAAGCAGACACGAAAGTATTTATGCGCAATGTTTCCTTGAAACGTTTCTCTTGGCAGGCTGATAGTGGTCACCACATTCTTTCTACCGTTGAGACCCGTCGTCAAAATGCTAGGCCCAGTCCTTTTCGGTCTATCGCTCTTTGGTGGCAATTCTGTCGCTGTCAGTATTCCTCGCGCAACTACACCAGCCAACTGCAAAGTCCTTCCAGGTGATGCTGCATGGCCAACCGCTGAGCAATGGGCAAGCTTGAACCAGACTGTGGGAGGACGGCTTATTGCAAATACCCCGTTGGCAAAGGGATGTCATGACTCCAACTTTGAAAGCGCCACATGCAAGAATCTGCAAGCCCAGTGGATATATACTCCGCCGCAGTGAGTGCTGAGTGATTTTGGTTTTGCTAGGAATCGTGTCTAATTTGCATTTAGTATGCAAGATCCCGCCTCGCCCATGGCGCCGTACTTCCAAAACAACACTTGTAGCCCTTTCCCGAACGTCAATCCCAACACCTGCACGCTTGGGAATTCTCCAACATACAGCATCAATGTGACGAAGGCTGAGGATGCAATCGCCGGAGTAAAATTCGCGAAACAACACAACATCCGCTTGGTCGTGAAGAATACTGGACACGACTACTTGGGACGGTCAACTGGAAAGGGCGCGTTGAGTCTATGGACCCACAATCTCAAGAACATCGAGTTCCTCGATACGTATAATAGCTCAAAGTACACTGGAAATGCCGTCAAGATGGGCGCAGGCGTGCAAGGATACGATGTCCTCGCTGCTGGCGAACAGAACAAGAAGCGCATCGTGGCTGGGTACTGTCCAACTGTTGGTGTTGTTGGGGGGTACACGCAGACCTCCGGCTTCAGCGCGTTGTCCGGCGCATATGGGCTCGGAGCTGACCAGGCACTGGAGTGGGAGGTCGTCACGACCGAAGGCGAGCACCTCATTGCAAGCCCCGACAAGAACAGCGATCTTTACTGGGCTCTTTCTGGTGGTGGTGCAGGAGCCTATGCTGTAGTCATCTCCCTTACCGCAAAAACATGGCAGGATGGCAAGGTCGCCGGTGCCGTTCTAAACCTCAACCACACTCTTTCCGACGCATTTTTCGCTGCCTTCGCGGAATGGCAAACGCAACTTCTCACGCTCAATCAACTGCCCGGCTTCCAGAGTGCCTTCCAGACGACCCAGACCACCTTCGCTATCAACTTCATTTCTTGGCCAGGCCACGACTCCTCGGAAGTGCGGAAGGTGTTGACGCCCTACACCGACTATCTTAAAGCACAAAACCTGACCTATAACCTCGCACTGAGCGACGACACAAGCTACTGGACCCACTACGAGCGCTACGAAGAAGACCTTCCCCTACGGCCCCTTCTCCATCTCCGACGTCATCACCAGCCGCTTGATTCCGCAGAAAGTTGTCGAGACCAACGTCGACGCCCTCACCAACGCCTACCGCGAGATCCTTGCTGACTCGCGCTTCATGGTCGGTGGTGCCGCCTTTAACGTCTCAAACGCACGCGTCGGCAACACACCCTCCACCAACGCCGTGCATCCCGCGTGGCGCGACGCGACCATCTATGTCTACTCCCAGTCTCCCTTCGACCCTGTGAATGACTCCTTGGAGACGCTTTCCGGGCTGTACACCGCGATGGACACGTTCGTGAAGCCGAAGCTGAGTGCGCTTACGCCCGGCAGTGGGTCGTACATGAACGAAGACACGTTCACTAATCCGAACTGGAAAGAGGATTACTTTGGTCCTAATTACGATAAGCTGCTCTCATTGAAGCAGAAGTACGATCCTGACTTCCTTCTGTATGGGAAGCCAAACCCAGGGCATGAGTTTTTCGAGGTTGATGGTGACGGGCGCCTGTGTAGAGTTGAGTAAGCTCTACTACATGGCTGGTGTACATACCTATACTATATATACTTGTTACTTTATCAATAATTTTCTTCTTGGCCGTTGCAATTACCTTTTGATTGGTAGTCTTATTAATGTGTTGAGACAGTAGATTGCCACTGTGAGAGTCTCTGTTCAGACAGAATTACAGGAATAGTGTGGGCGGCGGGTCCCCAACACTAAGCAACTTTGTAGCATCCGAACAATGATAGTGAAGGTATTCACAACAGGATTGCAGCTCAGCCAACGATATAATGTGATACATGAGGTTCACGCCTACGACCCTGCAATTGAGTCCGTAGGATTGTCCGGCTTATTCGAATTTAGAAATCCAATGCTTCAGTTGCCTTTGCCATCGTTATAAGTGATTATGCGCAACGTCCAAAGACCAACTCCGAAGTAATCTTGGGCGCTTGAGGCCTTTGTTCCTGGTGCGATTACGTCTTTTTGCGGGGCTCTTTCTATTGTTTGTGTTCACACCAGGCACCATTGTCGGAGCTGTGATCAAATTTTAGTGATATCTGCTATAGGTGAAGTGAGTAGAATGCATCTCATCATCTATGATTGCGGCGACAACGATCCATATTTTAGAAAGAGTACCTAGAATGAAAGAATTGATATGAAGAGTTATTGGGCCGAATCGAAACTTCGAAGTTCTGGAGCCAATTGGACGGGCTAACGAGAGTTATGTAAATTGAGCTAACTCAGATCCTACGAGTTCCTACGCTTGGATGCAGTTTTGCAACACAGTTCCAATCGCGCCTATCTATAGCGCGCCACGAGGTCCCAATCATCCTCTGGGCCGGGATCGGAGGCAATCTGCTCAGATGGGAATCCTGTTGACTCAGATGGCTCCGCGGTACTATCTCCCACAACGCCATGATTTCCATGCTCGCTATTCCCGTCATCTGGGTTCAGTTGCTGAGAATCAAAGCCTGCAAAATCGATCATGGGAGGCGCCCATGCCATATCACTGCCTTGAGTGCGCATGAACTCGAACAACTCCGCCAGGGATTCGCCAGGGTGTGGAGGGGCGACTGCGGGATTCGAAGACAAGGACAACGGACCTTGCGCATCTGTATAATGCGCTTGGTTATCGTTTGCAAACAGATTTAGAGATCCTTCGGCAACCAACGGATGGGGTGCTTCCGTTGTTCCGTGCCCCTGGTTGGCACCAGCAACATGGTGCTGGAACGAGTTAGTGATATCAATACTGACTTCGTTGATGAATTGAACCAGATGGTCATGCATATTTTGAGTCTGCTCGGCGGCAAGGTCGTTCAAGAGGGATGTATGTTCCAGACGATGAAGAACGATTTCTCGGGATCGTTGATTCCAAAAGTCCTGGAACTGGTGCGAGAATTGCATGAACTGAGTATCCATGTGATCTACATTGTGAAACGTTAGCAGCATACTTCGATCAAGGTGAAGGAAGAGTACGAAGGCGGTCAAGTAGAAGAATCTCTGCGATAACACACATTGAGGGGGGCACAAAGACTCGAGATCTTCAGGGAACAGGATACTGAATATCACGTTCCAAAAATCATGCGATTTCGCATGCTTAACTCGAATCTTCTGGGCCTCTGCAAAGCCTTGGTCGCGATCAAAAGTAATTGCCCAATCGGTGAGCTCGCAAATCATTTGGGCGGGAGCGAGCCGGTGGGAGGACAGCAGCAATGCGCTCTCGAATAATTGACCGCACCTCTCGCACTGGTGGACGTAGTGAACCCGATACAAATGCCATCTGTAGGTAAGGTCAGTAGAATGGACGGCTTTACACCTCTGACAAATCTCACTTTAGTCGGTGCATGTCTGGGAAACCGGGTCCACGGCATGCCCTGTGGAGATGAGGACTCTGAGAGTTCCTCTGAAAGTAAGGACAGGCATATTTATGTCCATCGCCTTCTTTTTCCAGGCCTTTTGGTTGCTTTCTTGGTCTGTCTTCAAAGCCGTCGTTCTCATTACTCTCGTCCTTGTCATTGTTACCGCTGAAAATACCTCTGGATACTGCCATAGTCGACGAGCAGGTCTTTTGTTTTTTCTGAGATCCTGAGTGCTTTTTGTTCGTTCCGGTGTCATTCTTGCTAGGGCCACGCTGGCATAGAGCTAGGCCCTCTCGGAAACTGGCGAGTAAAGAGGTGCCTCGGTTAGTCGAATGTGATTGATGCAATAGGACACAAAGAAGGGAAAGGAGTTCGCGCTTTTGATCATTGATTATATCTTTAAGAGCGTCCCTCCAATGCCCCTGAAAATCGAGCTCTTCACATGACTCGTCCTCATAATCGGAACCATACTCCGCATCAGATTCGCTTGAGTCTAGGTGTTCAGTAACCTTTTCGAGTAGTGCATCATTGGCCGGTATCGTGAACGACTTCGAGTCACGGACTTGAACTCTAGTGGTCTGGCAATGTTGTGGAAGGCTCATCGCAGAGTCCAATGGGGATTCACTGCGAATCATCTGCGTCTTCCGCATGCTCTTGTGTTCGGAATGCATGTACGAGTCTAAGGCCGCGACTAGAGCTTCGTGCACTGTGGTTTCCGCCGATTTCGTGTAATCTGGTACAGGCAGTGTAATCCCAAGGGCAGAGGCTATGCCCATCCAACAATAGACCATATCTCTGGCATCCGCGGCCATGAGCTCCTTGGCAAACTCTGTGAGCTGGCTGAACTCCTGCCATGCATCTGCCAGTATTGTTTGGTTCGTTATAGCAATGGTCGGATCTTGAAGAACGAGGTGAATTGCGCTTTTGTAGGAAGTAAGCGTATGGAACTGCAACACTTGACGCATTCTAGCCTGATCGACGGGGCGCATGGATTTAGCTTCACTAAGGAGTTTAGCTTCACTAGGGATCGCCTTTTCCCAGAAAGAATCCCATTCCAGCTCGGTGGACCCAAAATTAATACTCCTACGGGACGATAGGACCACTTCCTGGAATGTCCACGCACGTTGGAAGTATGGCCTGGATAGAAGTGAGAGTAATTCGTTCTGTTCCGACCAGTTTGAATCTGAAGGCGGGGTCTGATCGTGACGTGGATATTTCGAAGGCACTTGTTCCTCTCCAAGCCAGCAGATTACTTTTTCAGCCTTCTTGTATATCTGGCCCATCAACTGCACTTGTGCACTCCTTTCACACAGGTCTTCTTGGTTGATGCAAATTGCATCAATCCACAGGTACCTTCTCTCGATGGGGGTATTCAGATGGCAAAGATGGTGAAGCGCTTGATACAGGTTCTTTGTGACATTCAGTCTATGTTGGTTGCAAAGAATGGTGACAGGTTGTTCAGTTGAGCCCCAGACATATGACAAAGCTTGATAGCGCGGAGTCGAAGTTGATTCGAGGGGAAATTGCTTGAGCTCTACAGAAATATCATCAGTCGCTTGTCCATCCGATATGACCTGCAAGAGTCGGATGTGCCGTAAACTATTGAGAGGCTCGTGCGTGAATCGCCTCATCATTGGCTCAGTGTTTGGCATCGTGGAAGCTAGGAAAGAAGTCAGAGCCTGACTAACCTCGAATTGCAGCGGATGATGAACCAAGGCTCGTTGTAGGGAGAGTACCTTGGGAATAAGTCTGCGACCAAAAACAGGAAACAAGAAGGGTAGGTCACTTACAGCGAGCGCCAGCCGTACAAGCAAAACGTTGTCTTCCCTCGTATTGAATCGATTAACGCCCACCGCCAACAATGGCAAAAGGACACTTAAGAGGGTAGCATGATGCTCAAGTCGCGAAACGCGCAAATGTGCGCTCGCTCTTTTGTGCAGGCAGCCATCTCATTGGCCGGCGACAACCTGCCGCGCTGACGTGGTATGCGCCACTGCTGCAAGAGGGATCTCCAAAAAAGTTGTAACAATTGTTGAATGGTGCCTGTAAAGGAGTAAAAGAATAGATTAAGGTACTAACTAGAAGTTAGATCTACATATCTATATATACTATGGCTAGGAGACACGTGACTTATGGCTTCTAATAACAACATACTTGGTGTTTCGCTGGTAGGACTGCGGTGGACTCAAGACAGAGTAGAGACAGCCTTATTAGAGGATGTGGGATCGTGCGGAGGAGAGAATCGGCGGATGGCGTAGGGGTGACAGTCCGCTGATACAAGTGGGCCCTGTGCTATATCTCGCCTACTAGTCTCCTTCAGGCACTTTTAGTCACGTGCTCTTGGCAAACCGTGGACGTCCGTGGGAATAGCTTTGATGTGACTTATCGGGTAGTGTTCTGTTCAGCGGTGATGCCTATGGTGGAACCATGCTGCGCGATGTAGCTGCTTGATAGGACTGGGAGAGAGCGCAGTCTCCATTGGTCTAAAATTGCATATAAAACCTATGATTGATGTGAAACTGGGGCTTGCATTCTATGCTTATCTTTTCGATCTCCTCATGGAGGGCTACTCGAGCTAAGTACCATTTATCACTCATGGTGGTCTTTTCTTATGCTATATACTCCGGTCGTCGCAGGTCTGTTGAGCTTTAATCTAAGCTTAGGCGAGGTGTACGGCCTGAGGTTGTCCGAGACGCAGGTACGAACGAAGCAATGCATGTGCTTGAACCCCGCCGCTGACGAACCTGACGACATGCGGTCTTCTTACTCAGATCGTGCACCAGAGCTGTTTTCCAACTACTTGCGATGTTCTGGGCACATCTGTCAAGCGACGGCGTGCTGACGGCAAAGCCAATTATCCACTCCTCCGCGGTGCTGGGCGACCACCCTTACGAGCTAGTACATCGCACAGCATATGACTACTCGTCGTTTGTACATTTCATAACATCGTAACTGAAAACATGGTTTCACGTGGCTTTGACGGTGCAAGGTGATTCATGCCGTTTGGTTCGTGAGTTCGTCTCAACAAAGCTTGTTTGTTTAGAGAAATCTCGAATATAAGTATCGGTTTGTCAACGATTAGATGATCTCAACCACTGCTTAAAATCTTGAACTTCGAAGCCCTCCGCTTTAAGCACATTCATGTCCACTTTGAATCCTTCCTTCTCAAACCAGTCCATACTCTTTCCTGCATCATCAACTCCCCACCTTATTGCACGACTTGGCATATCCCAGATTCGAGGCATCTTATATCCTCGTACTTTATGGAAGATGTCATCTGCCTGGCTGAAGGTTAACTCATCCCCGGCTATACCCACAGCTCTCTCCTTCCATCTTTCCATATCTGTCAGCACATTTGCTGCAACAATTCCGATGTCCTTCACGCTGACAAGTTGCATTTTCTTATCGGTCGGCATTGTGGCCCATAGCCCAGTCATCATCTTTCCGAAAAAGTCCGGGTTGTAGTTATCCATGAAGCCCGCTGGTCTCAAGATTGTCCACTCGGTTTGACTTCCTCCTGTCTTTTCCCTTAGGTACTTCTCGATCCTGTGCTTTGCTGCGAAATGTGGAACTGTCGTTGCATTTTCCCAGCTAGCGCTCTCGCCACCTCGATCGACGCTGCTAAACACGATATGGTATATACGATGCGCAATTGCCGCGTCAATCATTGGAAGCGCATGTTGTTCGTCGTTTGGTGGGACAGTAACTAAAAAGACTGAGTTGATGTTTGGATGGGAACTAAAGATAGGCTGAGGCTCCGCCACATCTCCTTCCACAAGGTCGATGCTAGGAAACTCCTTCTTGAGAGCTTGGGCTTTATGTGAGGCCAATGATCGTGTAAGGGCAAGGATCCGAATTGGCGGGTTTTGTGGGGGCAACGCTTCGAGTGCTGCGATAGTCGCATGTCCTTGCTTGCCTGTAGCACCAACAACGAGGATGACAAGATCATTCATGGTTAACAAAAGTTTGAGTGTATCTTTATGTAGGTATGTCTACGGTATGTATGTTTGTTACGTTGATTCATATATACCTAACCGGTATCGGGAGACTATGCCTAATGGGGACATTTTAAGTTTCCGAATCACTCCCCTTGGTAATCATCATTGGACCATCTTTCTCTACCAGTACTGACCCTGTGACATCTCTTCAGTAATAATACTCTGGCAATGAAACAGTTCCCTATAGGAATTAGTCCCAGTTATATAATCCAGAAACATGCTGTACCAAACCCTTCACTGTGGCTACTGGCGCCTTGGTCTGTCTATTTCGTCCCGGTTAGTGCAAGAGACTAGACCACATCTCAGAGCGGAAAATTATCACAGGCTCGCGCTTCCTCTTGGCGCGTGATGGTCTCTGTTGATGCTCCGGGTATACACAAGTCGGCTTTGTCGCACTTAACTCTGCGCCGTCTGCAGGCAGTGCAACTCAAGCACTTGGAAAATTGACCCTCCATTGATGCACGGATCGCGGCAGTGAAGAGATAGAACAGAAGATTCGAACTAGCAAATGAATTACAATAGGTTGGTTGATTTATTTCTACACGGTCTCGGTCACGAAGCCCGCAGCTATGCGTGGTCGAAGTACCGTGCGATGCGCTCGTTCAGGATCTTCTTCGAAATTATCTCGACACGTGTAAAAAGCCGTTTCAGAGACTAGACCAAGAACTTGTCTATACTCCTATCAAAACGGCCCGCTCGACGATCGCTTGCGATTGTATATTAAACATTCACCGCGACCATCGCCAACATCTTGGCTGAGCCAAGTAAACCCTTATGGCTTCATGGTATTTTCAGGAGCATGGAAGACAGCTATTATCGAATGTAGACTGGGTATTACTCGCCTTCACCAAGCCCGGAGACTAATTGCACTCTCTGACAGGCATGTACCCAATCACTTCTGGATACTCAACGAATCTTCAGAGACTTGCCCCGTGATATGATGGATAATTCAGATGAGGACTTAAGCTCATCTACACCATGGCATTCCAGTGGCCTATCAAGCTCGCTCCTGAGCGATGATACCTCATCTAAGCGATCGTCGGCCTGATACCACGTTTCGCTGCCAAAGCCAAAAAAACGCTTTCTAAAACCCTCGAGATGTAACATGAGGAAGATGGATACCTGGGCACTTGGTTTTGGTATGCGCTAGCCCAGCAATACCCAATGGAGCAGACTTCGGTCAACCCGAGCTTGTATGCCAGTATCAGACGCTTACAATCTGGCCCTATTATCCACTATAGTTATTCCACCTATACAGAGGTTCGACCTCTTGCAAAAAGATTGAATTTTCCCTATCGCGTGTCCGCGCGTAGAAGAATAGCGCTTTCCTACATCTCTACTACCTGCACGTGTTCTTAGATAGAATCTATATACGCCGTTTACTCAGAGTACGTAGAGTAGATGCGTTCATTGCATGTGTTTTATTTGTGTAGAGGGAGCTATGAAAATGCGCGAAATCCCTCACAAATTAGTGAGAGAGCCTCTAAAGTTACCGAGGCTCGGTACAGGCGTTGTTGGCCTACGGCATTTACCTCTCGGTGTGCGCGAGAACGTAACTTTTCCATGGCATGATTTTGATATTAGGCATCCCGCTAGTTAAGTCCGAAAGGTGGATACTGTTTTGAGGACGGGCCCGCAGTAGGATGGTATGTTTTATTGGTCGACAGAGTCACCGTTGGTGGCAAGTATTACTTCTCTGAAGACAGGCTGTGCAATTGCGACATACTACTAGCTACGATGAGAAGGTCTATTGCAGATGTGATGCGTCAGTGACATCTCGATGGCATGTTGTGTTCTGCATATTTAAATGACCACCATGTTTGCCGACACGTCGAAGTACTTAAATAGCGTTCAAGCCTCGATATTGTGAAATCCATCCTTCGGAAAACATCACCTCTGCTCTACCTCAGCGTCGCATCATTTTCTCGCAATCCTTCTCCTCCAAGAATCTCTTCATCCCAACTCCTCTCCAGCCATGAAATACTCCGCCGTACTCCTCGCCCTCTCCTCCCTGGCTGCGACCAGCGCAGCCTCGAGCACTACCTGGGGATTCATCACATCACTCTACTGCGTGACCGGCGAGGGAACCAGGACTACCACAAGCACCCAGTGCTTCACTGGCTCTGCCACCAGCTATCTCGGCGCGAACGTCATTTCGAACGACGGTTGTAAATTCGAATATTACCGTCAGGCCAACTGTGCGGGAACCCCAGGAGCCGAGAATGGAGCTGGTCCCATCTCCAATGACGGAATTGCAGGCTGCGCTGTCCCTGGATATCTTATCAAGTCGGTGAAGGTCATTTGCAAATAAGGGAAGCTTGAGAGAAGGAGGGGTTGTTTTAGTCGATTGCTGAGGATTATGTTACTGGCTGAGGATGCGTAAAGAGATGACCATGGCTGCGATGAGAATGGTCGTTGGTTGGAATACTTGTTTTGGCCGTTTCGGAGCCGGTACAAGTAGGAAGGTATTGATTCTTTCTCTAGAAAACGCATCTTTGATGCATGTGTAAATCTCCAAGTGTAGAGGAAGCATTGCATAAACATTGTTTTGCGCTTCACACCTTGCACATGCCAATCATCTTTAAAGTAACCTTGTAGAAATGTTGCTCGGCACTTGGGCGTGCTCGGTCAAGGGATCACGATGGTCGAGTGTGACGAGGCAACGTCAAAGGGTATTCGAGCATGCACGCTATTTAGTAAATTAGCTCGGAAGACGAGAGGGTGACGAAGAAAGGTCTTTTGACGAGGCACAGGAAATATTATCGTGTCCGTGATCCATGATTTGCACTGTGCCACACATGGCTTGTATCCTAAGCGACTTCCGCGTGGATTATTTCTGTCCATTACCCCCGGCCGAGATTCTGCATGGTCCGAACGGTAGCAATTGAACATGACGACAACGAGTGAAACGCCAATCTCCGCACATATATATGCGAGGCTCAGCCAGATGCCAATTGACCATGTACAATGCTCGGTCCTCCTTAAACGAGGTGGTTAGCTCGCTAGTGTGGGGAAGTCTAGCAAGGGTTTGTAACCACTAGGGGATAAGAGCTCTTATAGGTAGGTAAAGTCGGCACAGTCCGTATCGCTAGAACATTACTATTAGTTTTCTATACCGAATCTCAACGAAGAAAAACGCCCCAGTTCGGTCTTCCCTGTTGTTGCATCGTCTGGACGCTACTCGACCTCACCAAATATCTTAAGTCCATGCTCCAATCCACAACCGTACGATGCGGGTGTTGATCCAGGCGCGCAAGATCACGAAGCATACGCTTCCAATACTCGTACAAATCATATTCCTGCGTGAAAGGCGCCTGCCATATTTCTCTTCCCTCGGCCTGGGTTCTCTCCTGCTCGGCTTTCCTGGCTTTGAGGAAAATTCCATCAGTTGCAGAGTCATGAAACAGATGCCTATTCTTTTTGATGATCGCGCAACAGTGGTTGAAGTACAGGTAATTCAGTTTTGGTCGGAAGGACTTGGGGAAGAACAGCCTGGCGCCATCTAGGTCCCGGCCGGTGCGGTAGTCGCCCTTAACGAAGGTAATGCGGCGGTTTAGGCGCTCGTCAGTCGGATCAATGACACGAAACTTGAAGTCCCGAATCGGGTATGAAGAATTATCGTTCTCAGGTACCACAGTGATGGACCAGTCGTCCATGGCCTCGGCCACACCACGCGGTAGCAGCAGGCCGTTGCTGGGCGCCCAAAAGTCCTCGTCGTGATACGCGTCTCCAAAGATGCGTCGGAACATCTTCGTGCCAAAACACTGCGGCACAATGTGGGCAGCCTGCAATAGGCTACCCTCGAGCTCTTCCTGGGTAGCTCCCTGCGTGTCGAGCTCTGGCAAGCCCGCCATTCTGCGCCCTCTGACGTTGGGCTCCCAACCGTTCAAAGCCATGTTCCAGAGGTGACAATTAGCAATGTTCAGGTACTCGCCCTGCTGCCCATACGTCTGGATCAAGCCTTTTCGGAAAGATGTTTGCCTGCCTATGCTGCGACCGATCTTGCGGCTAAAATTGGACCGAATCTGGTGATGACTGTGGGTTTGGTACACGGCGCGGATGAGGCTGCTACGGAGGAGAGCAATGTGCCAATCACGCCGCCGGAACGGCTTTTCCTTTATCGGATCCTCTCTGGTTTTGGTGTTGCTCGCGCGCGAAGGAACTCGACGTGGCGAGAGCGTGCTAAATTGCCTGACAGTACACGCCTGCATATTCCCTGCTCTTGCTTGGTAGCATTGATCAACTGGAAGCTTGGCGACTAAATTCTTGATAATGTCCAAGCATGTTGGAAGGATGATGCGGAATACAGGGTGTGTGGGGGACACGGCGAGCACGTGGCGAGATGAGGCTCAGAAGGAGCTCGGACTTCCCCACGCGTGTGCACGTGACCGATCGTCATCGCAAGCCACACGCAATCATCCCCCATCAAAAGCACGCCGCCTGGTCCATCACATCGACCATCGCCAATTTCGCGTTTGGCATTTAGCATAAATGATGCGGGTCTTATAGTGGTATATCCTAATGTTTCTTTTACCACGTTCGTGCCGTGTGGCGCGTTCATCTTTAAATCCTTGCAAGGCTCATGGCACGGTACTTGAGTTCCCTATTGTCAAAAGCATTGCAACCTATACGACCTTGTCACGGCCATTTCCATGCGCGCCAGGGGTCTTTGCAGTACCCCAACATGCCAGGGAGCGCGTGTCTGTTGGCAGAAAGCACCTTGGTCAACGTGCAAGATTTATCAGTCTTGAAGCTCCGCGTGAGCCTACAGCAGGCAGTGAGCCGGGTATCAACATCCAGAACGAGGATGCATGGCCCGAATGGAGGAAAAAGAGCGTCCAGGTGTGTATTTGCGCTCTTCCCACGCCTGCCACGTCATTGATGATACCCTTCCTTCTGACGCTTCAGCTGAAATGATTTCTTAGTCGCAAATAACAGTCGTGGATTTCTCCGTGGATCGCATAGAAAGGCATGAGCTTACGAACTCGACCCTGGCAAGTTTTCTTGAGAAACCTCGCGAGGACTGGGTCACCTGCCGATGGTAAGACTTCTTTCTCGAGCACCGCTCTCAGGACATTCACTGACTATGTGCTCCTAACGACAGGTACTCTGTAAACGGTCTAAGCTGGGATGTGGTGCGAATGCTTGGCGCGAAGCAAAAGTTGCATAGTCTTGCCATCGAAGATCTCCTTCATACAAGAAATCGCACAAAAGCAGATTGGTTTCCAGAGCATGTATTCGGTAGGTTCTTGCTTGTGAATCCTTGAGTATCTTAACAGCTAACCCATGATAGTACTATTGACTCTACAGCGACTGATTCGCACATCGAACAATGCTACCGGACCCCCACCATTCCGCCCCAAACATGTCAGCATCCATAGCCCGGCCTCTCGAGAAAAACAGGTCCCGGCTGAATACCAAGAGTCTGTGAGAACACTTCAAGCCTATCGCCACGATTTGGGTGACGAGAGAACAAAGTACATGGAAGAGCATTCAACTCTCGCTACGAAAGGTCTCATGGTTTCCGTTGAGCAGGTGTCCATTTTCCTTCAAAGCGACAACACTTTAGTTTCGTTCTTCGAACATTCCGCCGATGTGATCGAAGAACCCATCTTAAAACGCTTGCAGTCGTCCGAGACCGTCTTGAGAAGAAGTGGCGATGCAAGCATGGTCATGCATGCAATAATCGATGGTATCGTCGACCTTACTATACCTATCGCGACGGCATACGAGGAGAGCATCGCAGAATTGGAATTAGAAGTTCTCCTGGAACCAAACATTGCTCATTCAAAAGCTCTGTACGTTCCTCCTCAGGTGCAGTTGCACATATTATCAGAGTCACTAACGCACGCATAGCTACATACTCACCTCCGAACTCTCTCTCCTCCGATCCCAGATCGCTCCAATCTCAGGCCTCGTAAACGCCTTGCGCCAACATAACTCCAACGCCCTCCTCCAAACGACGGACTCACACCAAAATCCTTCATCCTCCCACATTGCCAACTCGCCGCCTCCCTTTACCCCTAAAGACCCGTCCACGGGATCTATTACGATTACCACGCTAGCGCATACCTACTTCAGCGATGTGGAGGACCACTGCATCATGGTGCTGGAATCGTTAGAACGTATGCGCCGCTCGGCGGATCGTATGATTTCGTTGATCTTCAATACAATGGGCGCGTATCAAAACGAGAGCATGAAGCAGTTGACCTTTGTTACAATATTGTTCCTACCAATGACGTTCCTCGCAGGATACTTCGGCATGAACTTTGAAGAGTTCCCTACGTTGAAGAATAGCGATGCGTATTTCTGGTGGCTTTGCATCCCGGTCACCTCGGTGATGATCGTACTACTGATGTAAGTAGACGTCGATCAAGTTGATGTCTTGGAATGAAACGTACTGACGATATACAGGCGGCAAAGAGTATGGCGTGGGTTGAAGCGCTTCTGGCGACGAAGAAATATGCCGAAGTGGCGTAGGGCGAGACTGGACAGACACAAGTCATGAGATTTCTACAAAAGAAATAATTTTAATCGCGCCCTAGAAATACACCCCTGTACACATGTAGGCCACAGCCTTTCAAACTTATATAAAGTCACACTCGGGCCCTTTTCGATCAAATATCATTTGCCTTGCCACCTCACATCACTGCCTTCACGCATCTCATCAATATCTTGACGTACCTCCTTCAACTGATACCATAACTCTCAGGCTCCATCTTGTCCAAATTAATCCACGTCGGATACCAGAGATAGTAAACGACCATCACGGCGAACATTATGACTGAGTCGAACATGTATAAAGTCCACTCGTGCTTGAGTGGATACCCATCATTACCCAACGCATATTCGACCACGCGAAAAAGCGATCGAATCATAATCAGCACGCTGACAATGAAGAGCATACGCATGCTTTTCTGCCAAGGCATAGCGGAGCTGCGAGACTCAGGTGTGGGACAGCGTTTGATGCGCGTCTGGAAGATGATTGCAGTTGCGCCAAAAAGTCCGAACATGATGACCTGGATCAACAGACCGGCGATCACAATGCCTTCTCCAATCTTGGCTTTGCCGGTTACCATGAGACCAGCTGCACCGCCTTGCACCAAGAACGAAAGAACGTCTCCACTGACGAATGTCTTCGTGAGGGTTTGCGGCTTAATGAGCGAGAGATGGTTGGCGCGGATGCCACGGATGATGCGACTCAAGCACATGTATATCGAAGCTGCGAAGAGGGCCGGACCGAGTAGGATGAACATGTTTTGAACGGCGTATGGCATGATGCGGGCTGTCTTGTTATGAGCTGAAGCTCTGGCGCAATAGCCTACGAATTCGACTGTTATTTTGGGTCAGCACTAGAAGCATAAGTGTGGTGGGCGAACTGTATTACAGAATCCCCCAATCACGAATGGCGTGCAAAACCAAGTCTTGGTCTTATACATGCGCCATCCGACTAACGTGGTCATGATGAGGAATAGCAAGATGAATATGACGGCGGCGGGAATCGATGGGAGGTAATTCCAGAGATAGTAGCCTCCTTTCGTAGGTTGTAGTACTGCCATGATGGAATAGGGCGGTAGAAGTAGACTGGCAGACCAGCACGCATTCGAAGCAATCAGGTGAAGGGAAAGCGCAGGAAGAAAGAAAGATTATGTAGTGCGACGGCCAGAGAACTTATCTTGAAGAAATATATCATTGCGACTGCGTTTAAGCGAGGACATCCTATTGATCTTTCGTATCAAATGAGATGAAAGACATACGTGTGCTTCGTAAATACGCTGAGGCAGGACAAATTGAGCAACGCAACATATGCTCTATACGACGTATCGCGGACCAAATTGTCATGTGATCTATACGACGTATCTGGAGTCGCTAGCGCTCCTCCTGGTTTTCAACTGGCCGAGCGTACCCACTCCGGCGGGGCCGAAGCTCTTGGTAACGTATTCGTATAACTCTATGCTTCTCACCGTGTTGCCCCAATCATTTCTCCCATCTCCAATCTTGCATTCGCAGAATTGCATTCGCCCATACGGTCCTTGGAAGGCCTTGCTATTCTAGTGTCGTCGGAAGCCTCGTTATGTCTCGTCGCAGGCCCCACAAGAAGTCACGGCTTGGATGCCGGGAGTGTAAACGTCGCCATGTGAAGGTATACACTCCAGCCCTTGACTTCATTCACTTTTCGACTATTGAACTTTCCTAATCAAGGTTGATGTTTGACAGTGCGACGAAGCTCTTCCCACCTGTAGGAATTGTTTGGCTTTTGACCGAACCTGCGTTTACCCTCCTGCATCACATGCACAGCGATCATCTTCGGCACCGACGACGCGTCCACCTTTACCCGAAGCAGCAGAAGATGGCAATTATCTGCTTACCGCAACGACTCCTTCGACAGTTTCGTTGTGCCTGACGGCTCAGACATCCAATACGCCAACGGTTGCTCCCTCCCTGGAATCGCCATATCTAAATACGAGGTCTCCCGCGCAATACGACACCTTAAATCCGCCTCTGAATATGCGCCACATGGAGCTGCTCAGTAACTTCATCTTGGAAACAGCTCCAAGTCTTGCCCAGGGTCGGATTCTTGACACTGCATTCCTTCGTGCAACAATGCCCATTGCCCTTTCTGCCCCTTACCTGATGCGTCAAATACTTGCACTTTCCGCCATGCACCTTTGCCACGCCAGGCCATCACACGCAACATATTACCACGAGGAAGCTACAGCCCTCCAAACGCAAGCCTTAACCCTACTCAACGACAGTCCAGTGGAGATCAACACAGAAAACTGTGCGCCTATGCTTGTCTTCACGAGCTTTCTGGGACTGCACGCTCTCGCAGAAGCGGTTGCGACCTCGGAATGTAATGCGGACTGCTTCTTGGATAGATACGTCTCGTATTCGAATCTCCATCGAGGGGTCCGTGCCATCACGGAACGGTCATGGAGTCTACTACTGCAGTCTAACTTATCCCCAATTCTCAGGCAGTCAGAACGCTCATTGAGCGCTGCATCGTCGCAAATCCAGGAGCGCGCCAAGATGGTCGCAGACCGTCTCCACCGCTTGCTGGACGACGCCGATATGAGCGCAAGCTCAGAGAAGGCTTGTCGTGATGCTGTATCGCATCTAGAGCTGGTGTATAAAACCGAGGCTTCTCTTGAAGAAACCGTTCCTGAAGAAGGTCAACCTGCAGGGCTAATTTGGGCTTGGCCTGTTCTTCTTTCCGCGAATTTCACCGACTTGTTATTGAGACGCACGCCTGAAGCCCTGATTATTCTCTGCCATTATGCCGTGCTCCTCCATCAGCATCGTGATTTGTGGCTTGTTAGGGGTGCAGGTCGGATGCTGATCGAAGCGGTTACTAGATTTCTAGGCACATATTGGAAAGACTGGCTGGACTGGCCAAATCTTATGATATCGTGAGAAGGTACATAAGGGTGACAGGAAACGAAATTCCAACGCAGCTACTAACCCATCTCCTGCGCGCACTCAGTCAAGACATATTTGCGATCCGTATGGTGCCCGTTGGGCAAGTTGGGTATCAGCCCGCAACCAGAACGTAGAGCAAATATCTAGGCGCTACGTTGCATACGTAAACCGCATCTATGACTCACCGCTTGGCCTCTGAAATTGCAAAGGCTTGCGCTCAACTGGTCGAGAATGTACGTGTAGTTCGGAATGCTGGAGTGAATGATCGCGTTCATGCTCGGGAAATCAAGTCTTGTGAAAGAGAAAAATCCCCTCACAACGCCGTTGTCTATAGGGCATGATGTTGAATCATTTTGAAATGTAAGTATACATCACTCAGAAGTCTCTCCAGCTCTCCAATGCCTCCTTAAGCTGACATCTCTGTAGGAACGTTGGCTTGTTCGTCTGGGTTGATCTTCGCCGGTTTCTGACACTTCGACGCTTCGCTCCTCAAGCAACTAGTCCAACATCAAGATCTAAGCATCTTGACAGTAATTCGATCAATATTTGGAGTTTTAACATGCAGGACCCTGCACCCGGATTGGTGTTATCATTGCGCTAAGTCATATACACCGGTTACAAAAGTTCGGCTGCTTTCGTTCAACTGCCACTTTAGGAAGAGACGTCTTGGAAAGAAGGACTGAATCGAGTTGGAATATAGTAAAAGTGCAGTTGATGATGAGACAAGCTTAGTCACACCTATATTCCAGTGCTTGCGATACATTTCAATCGAGTAGTTATTTCACCTTGAAAAAATCGCATCGCAGCTTATGCTATAGCACTTTATCCGCCTTCGCCCTATGCTTTCCGAATACGACAGCGCCCTTCATATCGCGTGACTTCGACCTTGAATTACTGTTCTGATCATGACTGGAACGCTTGAAGCGGAAAACGCGATCCCGACCGAGACTTTGGAGCATGGTCTGTCTCGCCCAGCATGTATCCGCACCATCGCGCTCATGATTACAGTTCTCGAAAGGGTTTCCGGAAACTGTCCAATTGATTTCGTGAGAGAGTGGAATTGAAATGAGATCGTCGAATGTGTTCTTGTCCATTCCAGCACGATCCATGAGGCCACCGATGCATGTCAGATGCACTGCGAGAAAATCCTGCCCGCAGGGGACGATATCACATGTCCTTTTCTTGCGATGCTCGTCATGTGCTGGAATAATAGCCTCGCCTAGTTTCGAGCATACTATGACGGCATCGGCAAGATTCGCAAGTGCAAGCCAGCTTGGACTTGCTCCGATCTTGAGTTCTTTCATGAACCCCCCTCTTCCAGGCTCGGAAACGAGATCCATGAATTCAAACCCGTAAAGGATCCTTTTCGTACTTCTTGCCTTGCGGTCGACAGATGCAAGCAGATTCAGACTTAATCCCATTAGCAGCCGGCGGAGCGTAAAAGACTCTGTATTCTGGCCGCAGATAACGATGTCTCCATGGTCTTCTAGCGCTTTTACAACATCACGCCCATCTTCGTGAGGTTCGACGAATGGGATGGGATCGTCTTTAGGAGATGGAGACATAATATTTACCCACGCATGTGCCATATGAAGCATGAGGCTCAGCTTCGGAACAAGCCACGATCGACGAGCTTGCACGTCAGATACTAGTGCAACGTCTTTGGAAGTGTCAAAAAGCATCTTGATGTAGTCTGACGACGGTTGGAAGCGGAGACGGTGCGAGACGAAAGAATAGCTCATTTGGCCGTTGATCCCTGCTTGTACCGGGCTCGCGGACGTGAACTGAAAGCCGGTGGAGATGCCGCTGCGCTGCAAAGTCTTGCCCTTTTTCTTTGCGTCCGAATACATTACAGACATGGGAAGGCTCCTGCTGCCAAGCTGAATGTGTGCGAGATCACACCAACCGAGGAAACACCGCATATTCTTGATCCGAGCATAGTCATTAATTTTCAGTCTTGATTTGTACTCGAGATCAAATGGGTTAATCTGACCGTTGTCACTAATTTCTAGGTGAAATTGCGCGTAAGTAGATTCCAGTCGCGTAGGGAAGAGCACGGTCTGGTAACCTGCGAGAATGACCCCACCATCCACTTCTACGGGATACTCAATAGCTGCGAGGCGCGTCATTAGATCGAATGACATCTCGAGGCCATGCCCGACAGGCTCAAGGCCTTGGGGACCTTCATCCACCACTACAAAGGCTGACTTGAAGAGCTTTTGCCAGCAGCTGTCTTCGATGGAGTGATTTGGTTTCGTACGTATAGAGAAACTGATCACAATCCTAGGGGACGCGTTTTGATCATCTCTCGCAGGTCCCGTGTTCTGAGTAGCATTCAATATGTGCCAAGCCGACGTTGAAAGATAAACTGCTCGTTCCAAATCCTGTGGCGGTGGGCATCGGATCGCTTTACAAATCCAATCCAACGCATTGACGATAGATATGAGTCGATAATAGGAGACGCTCTCCGCGAACTCCACTTCGAGATTGCCTCCATCGAACGACAGGAAGTAAGCAAGCTTTGTGCCGTACTCGTCTTCAAGGACTGCGATTGAGATCAGCTACTTTAGCAAAGGCATAAGTACAATCATTTGGATTGATAGCCACCCAGTTTTGAACATACCAGTTTGGACCTGTGTCCCTGAGCCCGTTGCGCAAAGCTTTGAGACATCCTCTAACAGTTGTACACCTTCAACGCCCCATCTCCGTTGTATGAATTCGATACATGTGACAGCCTTTATTCGCATCGCTCTCAAGCCTACGATGCGCGGTTTCGAGCACACAAAAGCAACATGGTGAAGGATACGATTGTTCATCGAGTTCTCCACACTCGCGCTTTCTTTACTCATAGCGATGCTGGCGATAGCGCTAATATCGCAATCGAAGCAGAGACGAACAATGTAACTTTTGGACCTATAGCCGACGCCTCCAAAATGCCCCAATGAATCTTTCATATCTACGGCTGTTCTGCGTCCATCTAGGATTGAGCTAGATACCTGGTTGAACTCTGGAAAAGGAGAGAAATCTTGCTGCACATAGTCGTGACTCATAATACTAGGATAGCTAGTTTGACTCGTAGTAGGAAAGTTCACGGCAGGCTCATCATACACTGCTCCCTGGCCATTGAATCCAGAGGTGCGACGGTGCTTTACCTGATCTCCCACAGCTGCGGGGTCGGTCTCAGTGGCCTCATGCTCTCTTGGTTTTTTGGCACGGCGACGTTTCCTGGAGGACATTGTGGGATATGGAGCATGAGAGGAGAGCAAAGGGTGAAAGTGACGGACAAGATCAGCCGATAGCAAGGCGACGCGGGTCTGCAAAAAGAGATTGAACGGTGTCAAAAGCCGAACACGCCTCGCGAAAGGGAGTATGAAGTACTGCTGAGAAGAACTTCTGAATACTATTACTTCGAGAACTTTCGGCCACGTACGTCATCGTGGACAACACATCGTGTTATCGTCTATTAGGAGGCCTGCAGGATGGATGGATAGTGATTGACCCATTGTACTGGTCAGAGCCCTGTGAAGTATCTGCCTTGCTTCACCGGTTGATCTTCATGCAGCCCAGTAAAAGGCTAGCCGATTGGGTCGGGTGAAGCGCACTGGTATTCAGCTGCTAGGTTCTGGTTGGTCCCTTCATGCAATCCAGGGTGTGTCGCATTGCATATACGAGGCTGAGAGGGCCACAACTTTCGTCCCAGCCTATCACCGACCGGTGTATCTCAACTCCTCTCGTCCACCGCAATGCAAGAGAACAATCACAATCGGGGTTAAAGCATCCAGAAACTCACAGTACCGCTGTGATCAAGCCCAGGTCTCTGTTCGCTGCCTACTGGTTGAATTAGCCAAGCACTAGCTGATCAAAGCCTAGGAGGCTGCTGTATCTACAAGGCTGAGGCAGTTCGGAAGGACGGTAGAGCCACAACCGTTCCATTTCGCACTCTACACCATCTTAACCCCAGCTATCCCATATACATCCTTCTCCCTCGGGCACCTGACTCTCCTCTCCTTCAACATCTCCCACATCAATCCTTACTCATCGACCAATTTCCCTCTTACGCTCACCTCGTATAAAGATATTCGACTCTCTGATAAATATGCCACATATTGCTACCGCACTCACCAGCACCCCCTCGCACTAGAAAACTAGTGCACCTTCTCCGTAAACTACCACCTTTCCCAGGATCCCTACTTCCACCATACATATGCTCAGCTCAGCGCCATTCATGCCCCCTCGACCTCGTCAACCTTGCCTTGCAGCTTACACAGAGAAAGCAAGGCCTCGTCCGCGTTACCTAGGTAGTGAAGGCAGTGACATGCCCCGCATCGGTCGATATTTCGATGGAAGCCGTTAATATGTCTCATCTAATCTGAAAGGGGATCCTCAGCACCGCACCTCCCAGCTAGCACAATCTCAATCGGTTTTGCAACTCTACGGACAATTCGACAGCACTTTTCCAGCCAGATCGGATCATGCCTTTATGACATGTCCCATTCGCAACCCCATTCGCTGTGCGATGCCCTCGTCGGTGCTAAAGGTTGCAGTGCAGGTTCACAAGTGCCGGTGGAGTGCTCCGTTGCCAGCACCACTAATCCGCATCCGTCTCACCGAAAATTTCGAACTGCTCGTCGGGGCTAAAGATTGCAGTGTTCTTTTGTGTGATAGGGTGCTCTCTGGTCCTTGTCTTTCTGGATCAGTGGGAGTAGGGCCCAGACCACGTGAGCACGGTAGACTGACGCCCTCACACCTCGTCTACGCTGAAGATGCAGCATCTCCCTACCTCTAACCAATATTAGAAATACGCGCGCCCTCTCGCCTATTTAAAGATATCAACTTCTGCTTAAACGTAGACCGCAGACCGCAGACGCAAGACGACGTACAGTACCACTCACCGAAGCTTTATACTGCATATTCCCATTGCTATATCCACAGAAGCCCGGACAGTTCAGCTAGTACATATCCGATTCAATCCCTAGCCCCGTATTCCCACCTTACCTAGGTACTCTTCTCTTCACTTTCATTGGGGCGCTGCGCATCTGAACAAGTTATTATCGTTTGCAAAAAGAATGTGCCACCCCCCCACGGCGCTGGAACACGAAATCAAGGATATTCAGCCAATATATTTACTATAGGGAGTAAAGTATTAGTCTATCTACTTTGGTACACTTATTTTGGCTCTAGTACACTTATTTTAACAGCTTAGTAGCCTATTTTAGGCTCTACCAGGTCCAAAAAGATGAGTTCAACAAGATCTAGCCAATAATTTACTCCCAATAGTAAATATATTGGCTGAATATCCTTAATTCCTTGTTCCAGCACCATGGGGGGGTGGCACATTCTTTTTGCAAAGCACCGATACCCTAGTAACACACAGAAAAGAAAAGAGTACGCAGACGCCTCCACAATGTTCATTCAAGAAGGCAAGGATATCCATCGTCAGTAGTACTCAAGCGTATCAAAGAAAGAAGGGGAACAGGTTAGCCCTACATACCTCGTCAGCCTCGCCCTGCAGCTTACTCATCCGCCATCCCATCCCCCCGCCGGCGCTAAAGAAAGCAGTGAAATATTTCGTGTGATAACTATGTCAACTAAAAAGAGCCGCATGGATCTAAGCTAGGCTTGGCTTCTCGTGCACGCAGAACACAACACCTCACGATCGCAGTACTTTACACGTCTCTGTCTTTATCTCCCAAAAAAAGATGTTCGCACTGGAAAAGGGGATATGATACGCAAGCAAGATAGGTACCCAAACACGAAAAAAAGGGTAGGCCGACCTCGACGCCCAAAAACGCCATGCTTCCTTGCTTCCTTCCCACCAGCAGCCCAGCCCTACCAACAAACAAAAAAAGCCTCAGCCTGTCCCATCCCCATGCCAAAGACAAAGACGAAAATCCAATCATACTCCATCAAACCTCCCAAAACGAAAACATTCCTCTCACTCCACAACCCGCACCCCTCCCCTCTCACCCTCCCCTCATCCTATCAACCCACTCAATCATCAGACCAACCACCAACCCAATCATCAGATCAATCTTGATCAATCATCAGCCGGCTCGACCCTAACCAAAACCTCCTCCAAAAACCCCTCCAAAAACCCACTAACCTCGCCCCCATCCCCACCCCCCACGTTCATCCCACTCATCCAACTCACTAAACCCCGTTTCAACTCCCCAACCAACCTCTTCACCCTCTCATGACACTCCTGCCTCCTCTTCTTCTGCTCCACAAAAGCATGCAAGTCGCGCGGCGCCTGCGCAGCCTCCGTCTTGTTCTTCAGCGAGAGATGGTACGCGCGGCGGGAGAGCGCGGCCTCGAGCGCGGGGAGGACGACGCCGGTGAGGGCGGTGATCTCCGTGGGGGCCGAGGTGGGCGAGCCGGGGTGAGGGGCTGTTTGGGGCGGCCGAAGGAGCCGCGGGACATGGGGAGGGCTTGGTGGGTTGTGGGGCGGGAGGGAGAGGGTGGGATGGGGTTTGTACGCCGGTCATTTTGTTCCAGTCGTTGAGCATGGGGCCGCCGAAGGGATCGTACGATGAGGATGAGCCGGGTCGAGGGGGCGAAGCTGAATTCGGTGAGGGTTGTGATGATACCAGCGGCGAATGGTTCGTGAGTTGAGGGAGTGGTTGTTGGCCAGCGAGTGGCGGGAGTGGTTTTTGAACCTGCGATGGGCGCGGGTTCTGATTCTGATTTAGGTTCTGGCCCTGTATAGGGCTGTGTGGCTGGGTTTGATTCGTAGATGCGATGTTGTTACTCGATGGTTGAGGTTGACCGCCTCGGAAAGGTGGGATCTCTGGAATCGACATCGGCGGAAGTACAGCATGTCGCGTGGGTGTGGGGTCTCGTCGAGGCGTCATCTCCATAGCAGCCATGTCTTCAGCAATTGAGCGTTGTAGATATTCGTCGTAATCGCGACCTAGCGGTGTTTGCCGTCGAGGTTGTGCGGGTGATTTCGTCGGTGTGACCATTCCCCGGCTCATAGGATGCGGCGAGAAGGCCGCTGGTACTGGTGATTTACGTACTTCTTGTGCTGTTGGCGGTGGTAGTGGCGGGATCGATCTCTTTTCGGGAGATGGTGGTAAGGGTACTCGCACGGCAGTCTTCAAGGAGCTCATTGGTGAAGCCGGGATCTCAAGCTTCGCTAAGCGCTTCGTAGGAGATGGAGGCGGGCTCGGTCGAACAGTGTCTGCTGATCCGTAATAGTTCTCGTCTCCATAGCCAGCTTGCTGATTGAGAATAGGCTTCCTCTGTGGTGACGCTTGTCGGGCGTTTGCACCGGACTCGTTCATAGGTTTCAAAGCATTGCCTCCCCGATCCTTGATGGGACGGATGGTACCAAAGTCCCACAGCTCTTCATTTACTGGTTCTCGCTTCTTCACGGGGGTGTCTTCGTCCTCCGAATCAGCCTGCTTAGGGTGACGCGCCTGGTACTCTTGGTACCGGAATATCAGCTCCTGCAACCTTGACGGCTTCCCAGCTTTCCGGATAAAGTTTGATTGTAGTAGTTGCTTTGCCGACGGTCGCTCCTTTGGGTCCTTCCTCAGACAGAGGTTCACGAACTCTTTGAATTGAGGAGTAAAGTTGCCGGTCAATTGAGGCGAAGGGTTCTTGGGTATCAGAAACAGGACCTTCATGGGATGTATATCCGCATATGGAGGTTCTCCCTGTGCGAGTTCGAGCGCGGTAATTCCAAGCGACCAGATATCGGCTTTGTGGTCGTACCCGGACTGCTTGATGACTTCTGGGGCCATCCAGAAAGGAGTTCCAACGAAAGTATTCTTCTTCGTCATGGTCGCAGAGAGCTGGCCCGAGACACCGAAATCGGCTAGTTTGACCTGACCGTTGGAGCCGACGAGGATGTTTGCGGCTGCATGTTTATTAATCCAGTGCCTCTATCTCGGAGGATGCAACTCACCCTTGATATCTCGATGCAGCTTGTGATCCTCGTGCAAGTAGCAAAGCCCCATGAGCAGTTCCTTGAGCATGACGGCAATCTCGCTCTCGTCTATAGGCCCCGGCCTCATCAAGTCTGCGCAGCTCCCTCCAGAGCAAAATTCCATGACGATCCACAGCTCCGTGTTATGCAGATACGAGCCATAGTACTTGGTAACATACGGCGAGTGCATGTTGGAGAGGATGGAGATCTCGCTGATGATATCGTCGACTTCATCTTCGGCGTTCTCGACATCGATGATCTTGATAGCGACAAGCTGGCCGGTCCTTCGGTCGATACTGCGGGAGATCAGCGGCCTGTTCGTACACTGGGATTGCCTGCTGCACATACCCTTTATATACTTTTCCGAAGCTGCCCCCACCTGCATGTCGTCAGCATGGCCCCGAAAGCTTATCTTGCAGATGCGCCTACCTATGCATTGCTGTTTTGTGTACAGTGTCGTGGGGTCCACGGAACCGCTCACGGTAAACCCCTCGGACATATTGGCCCAACTCTTTCGATTGTATGTTACCAAGCGAGGGTCTGTCAAGGAAGCGTATGTAATTGCGTTCTTGGAGGCTGAGCGATAGCAGGGTGCGCTTCGCTCGACTCGAGAGGAAAGGTCGGTGTATGCGGGGCAGACGAGGCCGCAATGGGAAATACAGCGTGTGCAGGGGGAAACAGGATCAACCGTCTATGCGACCGGGCGGAAGTATGTCGAGGGCGTGATTCCTAGGCGGGAAAGCCGTGGAGAAGCGGTAGGAGCGTTCTGAGTGTGAAAGTTAGCAGGCGCCCTCGGCGGCAGGTGCATTCCGCGAGCTCAGACTCACCCGTCAAAACGCTATGGCTCCAACTCCGGTTGACAGGCTGGTAAACCAAGGTACGGCGCAGGCCTCTTTCACCGCAGACAGACACGGAGGGTTGCTTCGCAGAAGTGCAGCGGCTCGAGGGACGTCGGACTCGGCTCCGCGGTGGTGGTGTTTACGACAACAAAGATCACGGCGGCAACCACCAGTTTCACTCGTCCGAGACGACGTCAACACCAGCGCGCCTGGACCGCTGGCTGGCAGCAGGGGTTTCGATATGCCGGGGGAATTGTTGATTGCGCTCGAGGGAATTGCCACCTTGGGCGCCCGGCGTGTTTACTGCCCGTTGTCAAGGATGTGCTGCCATGTTACGGCGCGCCTGCGGAGACCAGGGTGTGGGGAACGCGAGCTGAAATCATCCTGGCCATCGCGACCACGACGCGGTAATTTCGTTCGCATCATATTGGAATACAGCGCTCGATACGACGGGGGCCAAATACGAGGTTCGCTAAGAGCCAATGGCTTGTGTCGCACGAAGACATCGCTGTCGGAGGTTTGGTGGGATGGTGGGGTAGGATTCGCTGAGACAGCCCTACGCCTTCTACCAATCTTCCTTCACCACATTGTTGGCAGATACATCTCCAACGCTTCAGCATATAAACCAAGCGCTAAACACAACATTCCGTGTTCCATTGCTTCTCATCAGCGCCGATAACCCACCGATAGAATAGGCCAACTTCACATACATCTGGCCCAAGTGAGGTTGACGGAGAGATCTCATTCCTACGTACACCCGTGTAATTCCAAACCAATCTTCATAGCCCATAAGGTATCACCCGAAAGAAAGCACCAACTCCCATCATCAGTCTCCCGATTCCACCAATGAAGACGCTCCAAGCTAGACTGTACATGCTCGTTGCCATCCCAAATCTAACCCCAGCCCTTCCCATAACGCAAAGCAAGAAAGACGCAGAAATGTGACGCTAAAAATACAACGGGTGAGGCCCGTACACCGGAGAGGACCGACCCAACAACACCAAGAAAAGTCATGTCCAGGAATTATGCTTTGCAGACCCCGTGTACCGGAGGCATCCGGAAAACTCAGACTTGTTGTTTCGGTCTATCCAATCTTGTTGCTGCCGTCATCGACTTTTCGAACGGGATAATATGAATTCACCGCCGAGACCTGCACCTTACCAGGTGCCCCTAAACTCCATGATTTCGTTGATGCTGCTTTGGTGCCAAATTTCACACCGCCCGACGCCTGTCGCTGAATGAGCGCTCATGTAGCTTTGTGGCGCGTGATAAGGGTGCTGATTGTCGCAAGTTGATCGTATTGGTACATTCGTCATCGCGTACCACCCATTTCTTGGTAATTATTCAGACTATTGCTGTTGCGTATTGTGTGCATGTTGCTGAGCGAGTTGGGCCCGAAGAGTGGTGACTTCGGTCTGCAATGTGGTCATCTTGGACTCATGATCTTGTGCCATCTTTGCCATGCGGGCTTCCATATCCCGTACATATTGCCACATGTCGATCCCCTGGTTGCCCATGACCTCGCGCATGCTGCCACCGCTGCTTGCGCCGTGACTGGACACGCTTCCGGGTTGCGATGGCACCTGTTGGTGCTGAAGCATACTTGGACCGTTCTTACTACCGCCTTGAGATCCCTGCTTCGGCAGCATACTAGGAGCCAATCCAGGCAGAGCAGGTAGGTGAGGACCGTTGTTGGCCTGCGGAGGTGCCATGCCAATGGAAGGTGATCCTCGAGCGCGTTGGAAGTTCGGGTGAATGTTCGGCGAGCGCGTGCCGCCCATGCTGCTGTCTTGCGCGCCTAGTCGGTGTTGATCTTGCTGGCCTGGAGAAAGCGGTTTGGGACTTTCTGTCATAGGGGGACCTCCCTGGCTGAACATGTTCGCTTGAGTCGCCGTATAGTGGAGATTTGAAAGACTTCCGGGAGCTAGTTTGGGCGAGATGTTAGTGGAGTGATTACCTGAAGGGCCACCGGGTCCAGGTGGGTATAGGTTGTTTGCACTGCTATAGGATCCGCGGTTCGCAGCAAGAGGTGGATAGGTGCTGGAGTGCTGACGATACGGACCTTGCGTAGAGCTTCCAGTATTTTGCCTCTTACGCGTCGGCTCGCTAACACGCCGACCTTCGTCATCTTCTTCGCCTTCACCGTCGTGGTAAATGACGCCATCCATGCCGTCTTCTCCCTTTCCGTCCATATCCTCGTTGTCGATTCCGAAGCTGGACCGACGACCCGCGCAGCCACCCTGTCCCTTGTTGTGTCGGGCAAGTGCGTCTCCGCGAGCGAATCGGCGACCGCACTTCGGACAAGTATGCGGGCGTTCGCCAGTGTGGAGCTTGGTGTGGCGCTTCAAATCATGGAGACGTCGGAAGCGAGCCTGGCAAGTTGGGCACTCATACGGCTTCTCTTGGCTATGTGTCAGAAGATGGCTCTTCAGGTTGTGGTGTCGCGTGAAGTCGGTAGCGCAATACGGGCACTTGTGGCGCTTGGCCGAAGGCGACTTTGGGCTGTTCTGATATCCGGGCAAGCTCATCTGGCGCGCTGGCGCGCGGGGATCATGCTCTGCCAAAGGCCCAGGGAAGGTGAAGGCACGATTACTTGGGTTCTCATTCGGATTAGGTGCAATATGCTGGTGATGCTGTTGCGGTGGGTGTGGTTGCTGCGGATGCTGCTGGGATGCGGCTTCCATGGTGATCTGCGGGGTGGAGCCTTCCATGGCAGACGCGTTTGGGGCATTATTTGAGTCGGCTGAACCAAAACTGGAGAGGCTCACGGGACTTGTTTGCATGTTATCACCCGTCATCGCGCCCGCTTCGGGGATGACCAAAGGCTTTTGGACTTTGTCCATGGCGCCACTCGTGTGCGCTGGCGCGTCCTTGGAGCTGTTTACCGCCGACTGAGCTGTTCCGATGAGGCTCTGGACGACGGCGTGCGCGGGGTTGGGACTTGTCTGTCGTAGCAGTTGGTGTTGTCTTTGCCGCTCGTCATTGAGCGCAGCGGCTCCGGTGAGCGGCTGTGGCGAGCGTCTTGGCGAGAGGCCCCGCGGAGACTTGGTGAGATGGGTGCCAAAGGTCGCGGCTCCGTGAGAATTGGGCGTGGCCGACCTATTTGGCACAGGGAAGGGGCCGTTGTGGGTTGGCGTGATGGCTCGAGCCGACGCAGCCATGAATTATAGCGAGGGGTGAGAGCGGTATGTGGTTGATGCTTGGGTGGGTGTTAGCGACTCAACATGTCCGCCAGGTTGAAACATTGCCATGGCGCGGCGGGTATGGCACCTACTTGGGATTGCAGTGTTTTCCACGCTGCGCAGTCTTTGAGCCTCGGTCGCAGCTTCAGGTAGTGCTCATGGGAGCATGCGCCGCCAACAGATGCTCCGGATGAGCCCAGTGCGCGAGCGAGCCAGCTTCTGCGATGCGGCCAGGGTTGGGGTCGCAAAGGTGCAGGGTGTGCGGCTGCAGTTGCTCTCAGCCAAGACAGGCACCGGTTGCAAGACAGGCGAGATGGATGTCGCGCAGCGGGAATGCAATGCAGCTGAGCGGCGCCGGAGAGGGTGCTGGTGCTGTGAGGCGGTCGGCGGTCGCGATGCGACGGGCAATGGCAGCAGGTAGGCCGGGTGGTGGTGGAGCAGAGGTCGAGTGCGGCGCCTCAGCGGTCCAAGCAGTGAGGCTGTGTGAGCGAGCGGGCGATTAGTGGAGTGGAGGCGCTAGGAACGCTCAAGTGCTGCTGGGATGGTGGCGGGCGGGATGCCACTGCAGATGGGCGGCCGAACTGCGTGTGTGCGCTGGCAGCGTCTGGGAGGGCAGCTAGCAGCACAATGGGGAGGAGATCAGAGGAGGAGGCAGCGTCGTGGTGGTGGTGGGCGTATGGGCGAAGGCTGGTGTGCCGATGACACCAGATGTGTGGCTGGATGGCGGGCTTAGTGCAGCGCCGATGAAATGCAACACGGGCCCCAGTCGAGCCGAGCGAGAGAATGACAACGACGAGGGCGCGGAGGTCAGATAAACTACGGCAAGCTGTGGCGCCTGCTGCCCGGTGTTTGCGCACTCGAAGCGACTCGCGAAACGCTCGCGATCAATCGTGGGCGGGAGCAAAGTGGCCCGGCGAGAGCGGCAGCCTCACACGCGGCCTGTGGGCTCTGGATAACTGGGGCCGCGACGCAGGCTGTGCCTACAGTCAGCTGCAGCGGGCCATTCACACACAGCGCCCGCTCGGCTCCGGGCTGCCTGCTCCTCAAAGGGCTAGATGGCACTGGGCAACCATACGAGCGCCACATGTCTTGTCGCAAAGCTCGAACCGCCGTCGACGTCGCACCTGGGCTGGAGGAACATGTTCGCCAGCAAGGCAAGAAGGCCAGGCCAGCCGACCTGGCGAACAGAGACTGCACTCCAGGCTTGGGTAGGCCCGCCAAGCGCGTGAGAAGCTTGCCTCGAGGGCTCGGAGTGGCGCAGTGTCCGTCACCGTGGCCGCCTTCGCGTCCTGGCATCGTCCGATCACTCACCCAAAAGGACGAGCAATCGACCTCGAAAGGCATCCATACCCGCAGCTGCCACACCGGCGAGCCCTGTGCGTGCCCAGGTGTGCCCTTGCTCCAGTGCACCAATCCACCGCACCTGTGGCTCCTCTACCTTTTCGCGCCACAGCCTGCCGAAGCCACCCAGATGCCCATCTTGACTCAAAGCAGGTTTTGCCGCCCTCCTGCGCAGATTCTGCTCACCGTCTTGCGCAAGACGTCACCGTCCAAATTCGACGATGCCTTCAGCCACTGCTTCCAGACTCCTGCCATGTGCCACCAGCGCCTCCAGCCCTGATTGACACGCGATCGACAGGTACGCCTCCCGGCAACACACCGCGGCATCTCTCCGCTGTTTCAGCTTCTCCATTCCCTACCCTTTGCTTGCTCTCCGTTGCACACTTCCCTGCAAACAAGACGCACAGCTCGCCCTCAAGGGCTCCAGGAATGCGATTCCCGACTAAATTTAGCCAAGCACGGTGCACCGCCGCAGGCGACACCGGCGCTCCGATTCGCTTGTCTGACCCCACGATGTGACGTGCCGATATCGATATCAAGCCACACGCGTGACGCGACACTGCAGCCCACCACATGCACCGTCGAACCCTTCCGTAAGCGGCCGGACAGCCGTTCAAGTGGCAGGCTCTTCCATGCTCGAGTCTGGTTCCTTGAAAGGCTTGAGTGTCCTGGTCTCACTTTCTACCACACATCTACTGTGTACCACGATTGTGTCGGACGGGTATCGGTCCACTTGCAGAAACCGTTCCGACGAGAGGCAGCATGTCTGCCAGAAGGGGAAGGTTTCTGATTCGTGGAGTGGGTCGCTGTGGCACCCCGTCTGTGGCGTATCCATGGATCACCACCGCATCGCAGGCAACAGCTCGATGCGAGCTTCGAAGATCTTGCTAAAGCTTCGTCTCGCTTGAGCTTCTCTGTGCTCGGCTGCGCGACGAGATGGCGAATTCTGAATTTCCATCGTCGCTGGAAAGGGGTTTTTGGTAGGTGGCGTGGTAAGCACGAGACGAAAATCTTCATTTGGGTACCATGACCATACGCAAGCATCGCCACATCTTGTCACCAACCGGCATCGGAACTTCTTACGGTTCACCGCAAGTTGGGCGTTAGATGCCACAACTTCGACTCATAGTTTATCAGGTGGTTGGCCTGACATTCCGCGTGGCATACCGGCACTCGCGCGTGGTCCAGGAACCTCTTTTCAAAACAAAAGATACTGCAGGTGTTAATACACGAGCGACCCAAGATGTAGAATTCTGCTATGAACGGGACGACAGCCTTCGAAGAGCAGCTAATGCTTCATGCTGTGTAGACTTGAAGTGTGACACAGCGATAAGTTGCTTTGCTGAACGTGCAGCGTGCACAGCGCTGGGTTTCTGATATCCTTGAGGAAAAGGTGGGCTCAGGGACAAATGCCCCCATTCTCGCACTTCATAATTCTATCTTTATCATTTTTCAATGGTTCTCGTGTCAAAAAGTGCAAGACAAGAGTCGGTGTTGTGCAAGAATGCCGACGCGCGACGCGACCAAGCCCCCCATGATCCTCCAGTAGCGTCCCCCCGGGAGTCGAACCCGAAGAAAGCTAGCCAAACTAGCCCCGCCCACCATCTCACACAAGATGACGGCCCGCTTTCCACCCACATACTGTTTTACACTTATAGTATTCTGGAAAAGTATCTTCTATATATTTACTCAAGTAGAAACAATGACATCAATCATCCACCAGCTACCTTGGTCCAACGGTAGGATAATCGCCTTCCATTAGCACCGCTAAATGCGAGCGATTGGTTCGGGTTCGACTCCCGGAGGTTGCAATTCCTTCATTCTTTTGATTTTTTGTATTCTTTTTGGTGCGTAGGGGGAGGACGGGGATGGATAAGGCGAATATGACTATGTCAAACTCGAAGAAGGTGCGATGATGGTGGCTACCCTTTTTTACTATTTTACAGAGGCCGAAGGAAAAAACCGGACTCTTCTCTCTTTTACGAGCAAAGGTCAGCTGATAACGGAAGACAGGTTACATGCAGTAGGTGCCATCTAAATTAATGTACTTTAGGATAACTCCGTCTATAATCAGTGTCTAGAGATTTAATGTAATACTCTGTCGTCGGTGTTCATTCGTAATTTACGGCCAAAAGTCCGACTTCTACCTTCGACCTTTGTGTTATAATGCACAGCATGCGCGAATAATACGAAAGCGGGCTCAGCATGCTCGCTAGAGAACGGCAAGTCGTCAACTTTGGAAGCTGGGCTGGCCTTGATACCTCATGAAGGTCGGCCAAAAGCGTTCACGATACAAACTCACGATAGTCTATCCTGAGGTTACTCGAGTTACAATGCGTTTCCAGAACTTCGTATTAATACTGGATGGCCGATTCTCGCATGTGAGAGGTAAGTATGGCGCCTCGAATGCTCGTTTTTACGACTTTATGTAAACCACTGACCCGACTCCATTTCCACAATGGCCGACACTGAAGCCTAAATGGGCCTTGGTATCCTCTTGAAGCCTGGCTAAAAGCGTTCACGGCGCAGATTTAGGATAGTCTATCCTAAGATGACTTAAGTTACAATACAAGTCTAGATGTTTAACCCCACATTCTATCTCTAATATCCACATGTAAGAGATAGATTTCGGCGCCTCTAACTAACCTTAAAAACTTACCCTTATCATAATTAGAGCTGACTGCGGCTCCAATATAACATGGCTAATCTAGTAACGAAGCTAGCAAATATCTCAACTTTCGCAAGGCGACTTACAAGAACGTGAGGAGAAATCTACGGAAAGCTACACGGGAAGAGCTGAAGGTTGAACACAAGGCGGTGCAGAAGGAGGGCTTGACACAATCCAAGCGACCCTTTAGAAAAAAGGGTGTACGGCATCTCCCTAAGGCCGCCCAGGATGCAGCTGTGCCCCGACTCGGCACTATCCTTACTAAAGTAGAGCTTTACAACGACGACGATGGCGAGTAGAGCAACACAGGCAAGGCACATGACTCGAGTGTGGATGTTGATGTTGATGTTGATGTTGATCTGGAAATCCCCCAACAGGAGGACCTTTACTAGTACTTAGGAGCTCGACAGCTGGGAAGAGTAAATAAGTCCACGTAACTTCCATGAAAAGAACCCTTCAGAATTGACCCAAATTGTAGTCTGGAACATATTTCTACGTGCAGAGTGGCGGAAGCGAGGGCGACGGTAAGACATGGCAGCCCGATGAGGAGTATAGCATTTAGCGAAACCGCGCCATCATGAAGTGCGTTAACGAGGTTCGTAATCTACATTCATGAGCTGAAGTAGACACTACCTCTGTTTTCCAGCAAGAGTCGGTCGTTCCCCAAACAACCTCATCTATCTTCGTTGCGCGACGGACCCCACGATGACCGCTTCGTCTTCTCCTTCGCGGTAGTCGTTTTAACCTGAACAAGCACACGAGTTACGGCACACACAGTCGTGATAAACAACTCCGGCGCGCTCTCAAGATGGACGGCCTCGACACGAAATCTGTGATAGGTTGCCCCGAGTGCGGACAGCTGCGTAAGGGCGCTCGGAAATTTGTGATACACGTTGAGGAGAGACCGAGGGAGTGTGACTAGGAGGCGATGCATCCTGAAGCGTGAGTTGACTTGAGAAGCATTATGGCACCAAGGCAGTGAGTAAACGAGACTGCGACTCCTATTCAAGAATGCTATCTATCACAAACAGACGCAAAACGGTGGTAGAACTTTTCATGTACCTGAGGTCGAACCCGCACTCATGCACCCTCATTACAGCCGTTTATCCGTAACCTGATCATTTGCCCATGCACGCTATGCCGCTCCCTACTCAAGGTGTCGAAGGAGAACAGACTAAGCAAAAGCTATGCTGGAAGATCAATATCAAATAATGTCAAATCCGTAACGCCTGCCCATCTCTATCTCAGGCTTTCTGGGCCTGCTCGAAGCCATATCTGGACATCTCCCGTTGCGTGGCAAGGAAGGGGTGTAGCGGCGGGGGAAGTGGGTCTCTGCCGATGTTCGGAGGAACAAGGGAGCGGGAGTGGTATAGAGGAAAACAGGGAGGAAACACCTCACATGAAGTCATCGCTAGAGTCGAGTCAGTAGGTCACATGGCTAGACAGGGACTGGATACTCACTCTCCGAAGTCCTCGTCGTATGCATTCGTGTCGGCCTTGTAGCCGACATCGCGCGTAGCGTTCAAGCTGGTCTTGGTCTTCGCAGCCTTGGACTTCTTGCCGCCCTTCTCGGCAGCCTTCTCCTCCTTCATCTTCTCGTTGCTGAGAGTGGTCAGACCACTGGCAATCTTCTTGATCTGCTCGCTGGGCAGGTCTTTGGCGATCTGCTTGGAGAATTCCTGGAGGAACATGGAGTACTGGGCTTTCTTGGAGTTGTTGCCGATCAGCGGCGTGAGCGTCTCCCGCAGCTTGGTGAACTGATCCTTGGTCTGCGGGTTGAAGATCTTCAGCGAGCTGAGGTCGATGACGTTGTTCGGGTCGCTCTCGTCGGTGAGGGTAACGGCCTTTGAACCAGCGGTGCGTTGCTTGCTGCCAACACTGAGGCCTGCGCCGCCGAAGAGATCTTCAGCGTGCGCAAGGTCGGCGTCCTGCTCGCTCTTCCGTAACCGGGCACGACGGGTGGCCTCGTCCTCCTCTTCCTCAGACTCCTCCTCGCCTGCCAATCTCCTGCGCATGTTCTCCTCCTGTCGCTCCTTGATGCGCTGCGCCTTGGACTTGTGGTTTGCCTTTGCCTCAGCCTCCGCTTTCGCCTTTGCCTCCTCGGCCTTCTTTGCCTTCTCGCGCTCGACTTCCGAGTCCTCGGCGGCGTCCCATGACTCTAGGACCTGCAGCATACCAGATCAGTATGGATTTCTCGAGAAGGCGGGGCGCGGGGTCCACGCTGACTTACATCGTCGTCGTCTTCCTCGTCGTCGAACTTGCCACGGCGTTGAGCGGGTGCGGGTGGAGAAGAAGGAGGCGTGCTCTCCTCATCCTCATCATCTGCGTAGCAAAATGTCAGTCGTTGTTCCCTTAGGGCGAATGTGTGGACATCAGGCCACGCGCACGGGCAGGCGAGGACCTGGATATGACGTACCCCATTTGCTGGGAGGCATGGTTGCGGGTGGTTGGAAACGTAGGCGCCGTTGAATGTGCAGCAAGCGTATGCACGGCTGTGTGCAGTCAAGTTTTGCACTGGTTCTTCGTCGTGAAGGCGTTGTGTGGGAGAGGAAGAGTCAAATTGAGGGACCGGAACAAAGGTTTGGGCTTGTCGGTGCCCCGCTGCTGCCCAATCACGTTCGGTTCGCGCTTGGCCTTGTAGAACACCACCTATTTTGGGCGCGGGAAACGTTCGCACATGCACGAGCCTCTACACTTGTCCATCCGGTACTACAATTGCTAGTGGATGCAGCTTGAGTGCATCCAAGATGTACAATCTCGAAGCTTTTGCTCGGACTACGCTCAAGCTCGAGCATTGAAATTTTACGACAACGGAACAGCTTACTCCACCGAAAGTCCCGCAACCGAGGAGTCACGCATGCATTGTTGATGGGTACCGTTAGTCTAGTCGGGAAGAGCGTGGTTTGGAAGGCCGCTAGATTCGTACTACATGCATCTGTTCAACTATGTTTGGAGACAGATGCGCTGTCATGACGGAGAAAGATGTCGTGGATTTCCAATAGCCCCCTTAATTCAGCTGAAGTAAGACATTAGGAGCGAATGTAGCTTGCAAGGTTCATTTCTGTATTGGGGACAGTTTTGAAAACCAGGATCGATTGAGTGCTATGACTTGAAGCACGCCTGTATCAAAGACGCGTCCCAATAGAACTTTTGATGAACTGTGTACGAGGATCAAGTACAAACCGAATCCATTATGCTGCACGTAAAGCTTGAGCCTTGACGTCTAGGCTCAGTATAGAGACCATGCCCAAGCTGAACTTGATGGAAATTTAGATGCCGTGGAGTTGATTAACGCAATGTTAATTATAAGTCTTCAAAGCTGTACTTCATGTGTCCTTATCGAAGTTGTTACTGAATTGCCCATATGCGACCCAGTAGACTGGGTAGTAACAGAAAAGCGCTCGAACATGGCTCCCATGACCTCATCGCGACTAGCAGGCTTAATCAAGATTGCATGCTGATGCAGTCCGTTGCGGTAGAGTCACGCAAGAGAAGAGGAGATCCATTTCATGGGTGAAGAAGAAAATGGAGGCAAACGCAGATGGTACGTCGTTGGCGACGCTGTTAGGTCAGCTCGGACCCCAACGAGCCAAGACTACGATAGCTCCTTAGACGACACCTGGTGCGAGCGGCTCCTTTACCTCGAAAACACACCTCCACGACCGTCCTCCGCAGCCTCCCCACATTCTCTCATTTCCTATCACGCGCTTCCGGCGTCTTGCTTCTGGGTCTAATTGTGCCGTTTCTCTTCGATACCCCCGATTAGCCGTCTGCTCTCTCACCCCGAGTGAGTGTAGAGCTGTTCTGGCGCAATGTCTCAACGACCCATCCCGCTGCACGTCACGCAGCCGACGCTGGTGAGCTTCGTTCTACTCCCACATATCTATGGCGATGCTAACAATTGGCTTTCATAGCTCACAAACCTGAACATCCTCGTACGTTTGCCAATTCAAGGCACCGAGCGCGCCCGAAGCGGAGGGACAACAAGCTAACAGTACATGCAGCCAGCATCAATATCATGGCAGAACTGTGTACGTGCTATATATCACAGACCATACATATCTAGGATGAGGCTGACGCGCAATAGACGCTGGAGTCGGACAAGTACGTCTGCGTGCGCCAGCAGAACAACGACGCCAACACGCCCGCCGAGACCGTCATCGTTGACCTCAAGAACACAAACAATGTCATCCGGCGGCCGATCCGCGCTGACAGCGCCATCATGCATCTGACAGAGCCCATCATTGCTCTCAAGGCGCAAGGAAAGACGCTGCAGCTCTTCAACCTAGAGACCAAGCAGCGCCTACAGACATATACCCATCACGAGGATATCCAGTTCTGGCGGTGGGTTAGCCAGACTACTCTGGCGCTTGTCAGCACAAAGTCGGTGTACCACTGGGATGTGCTGGATGGCAGCAGCCCACCCACGCCGCGCAAGATCTTTGATCGCCAGGAGCAGTTGGAGGTACGAGATACCTAAGAATGTTAGATTCGGACTAACAATTGGGCAGAACAACCAGATCATCAACTACGTCACCAACGACGATGAGAGCTGGTCGTGCTTGGTCGGTATCGCGTCGCATCCGACCGGAGGCATCCGCGGTAACATGCAGCTGTTCTCCAAGGCGCGGAATGTCAGCCAGCCCCTCGAGGGTCATGCTGCGACGTTCGGCACGCTCCGCCTGGACGGCGCGACCTCTGACACGAAGCTCTTCGCGTTCGCTGTCAAGTCGACCACCGGGGAGGCCAAGATCAACATTGTCGAGGTCGACCACAACGCCGCGAATCCAGCCTTCCCGAAGCGCCTGATCCCGATACATTGGCCTGCGGAGGGTACCGGTGACTTCCCTCTTGGAATTCACATTGCGCACAAGTACGGCATCTTGGTTGTAGTGACCAAGTTCGGTTTTATCCATCTGCACGATCTCGAGACGGGTACCGCGCTCTTCTTAAACAGGATATCAGAAGAGACGGTCTTCACAACTGCGCGCGACGACGACGGCAAGGGCGTCGTGGTGATCAACAAGCGTGGACAAGTCCTGCACACTACCATCCGGGAAGATGCGCTCATTCCGTACATCATGGACAACCCCGCATGCTCAGAGATTGCCTATAAGCTTGCATCAAAGGGCGGGCTTCCCGGCGCTGACAACTTGTACCAGCAGCGATTCGAGACTCTGATGAACCAGGCAAACTACACTGAAGCCGCCAAGGTTGCTGCCAACTCGCCGCGTGGCTTCCTCCGTACCCCTCAGACGATCAACCGGTTACGACAGATTCCGGCTCAGCCTGGTCAGATCACTGTGCTTTTGCAGTACTTTGGCCAGCTGCTTGACAAGGGTGGCTTGAACAAGGATGAGACGCTCGAGTTGGCCCGCCCGGTCTTCTCACAAGGCCGAAAACACTTGATTGAGAAGTGGCAGAAGGAGGGCAAGCTTCACTGCTCTGAAGAGCTCGGAGATTTGGCGAAGCCGCACGACCTGAACCTTGCTCTTGCGATTTACAAGGAGGCGAACGTTCCCCAGAAGACTGTCGCCGCTCTCGCAGAGCTTGGCCACTTCGATCTGATTCTTCAGTACTGCCAATCGGTCGGATACAACCCGGATTACAACGTATTGCTTCAGCATATCGTCCGTGGTAAGTTTTCACTCTTGCAGTGCTCCGCCAAAAGTTTAGGGATCTTGCAAAGGCCGAGAACCGAACTTGAGGCTGACGACTGTCACAACCTTCAAACGTGATGATATACTGACTGAATCGAAGTGAATCCCGAAAAGGGAGCGGAATTTGCTTCCAGCCTGGCCAAGCATGAAGGTGGACCTCTAATCAGCGTTGACCGGGTCGTGGATATTTTCCAGTCTCAGGGTATGATTCAACAGGCGACCGCTTTCCTGCTCGATGTACTATCGAACAACCTCCCCGAGGAGGGCCACCTGCAGACTAAGCTCCTCGAAATGAACCTGCTTAATGCCCCTCAAGTGGCAGACGCTATCCTTGGAAACGAGATGTTCTCCCACTACGACAGGGCTCGCATCGCTACTCTGTGCGAGCAAGCCGGACTTCTCACCCGCGCGCTCGAGCACACGGATGATACCGCTGCTATCAAGCGCATGATCGTGCAGACTGACAAGATTCCGGAGGAGTGGTTGCTTAACTACTTCGGCCAACTGACTGTGGAGCTCTCACTGGATTCTCTGGACCACATGCTCACGACCAACATCCGGCAAAACCTTCAAGCTGTGATCCGCATCTCCCAGAAGTACTCGGACCTTCTTGGAGCTACCAGAATCATCGATCTACTGGAGAAACACCGCACTGCCGAGGGTCTCTACTTCTTCTTGGGCTCGATCGTCAATGTCAGCGAGGATCCTGATGTTACTTTCAAGTACATCGAGGCTGCTACGACCATGGGCCAGCTGAACGAGGTCGAGCGTGTCTGCCGTGAATCCAACAGCTACAACCCTGAGAAAGTGAAGAACTTCCTCAAGGAGGCTAATCTCACGGAGCAGTTGCCGCTCATCATTGTTTGCGACCGATTCAACTTCATCCACGACCTGGTCCTCTATCTGTACAAGAAGCAGCAGTTCAAGTCGATCGAGGTGTATGTACAGCGCGTAAACCCAGCGAGGACTCCCGCCGTCATTGGTGGATTGCTCGATGTCGATTGCGATGAGAGCATAATCAAGGGTCTTCTGGGATCGGTCACCCCTTCCTCCATCCCCATCGATGAGCTCGTCGCCGAGGTTGAGTCTCGCAACCGTCTCAAGCTTCTCCTACCATTCCTCGAACACACTCTCGCGGAGGGCAACCAACAGCAGGCGGTGTACAACGCTCTGGCCAAGATCTACATCGACAGCAACAACAACCCAGAGAAGTTCCTGCAGGAGAACGACCAGTACGACACTCTCGTTGTCGGTAAATACTGCGAGAAGCGTGACCCCAACCTCGCATTTATTGCCTATAGCAAGGGTCAGAACGATCTCGATTTGATCAATGTTACGAACGAGAACTCTATGTTCAAGGCGCAAGCCCGTTATCTACTTGAGCGTGCCGATGGCGAGGTTTGGGACTATGTGCTTAGCCCCAACAACATGCACCGCCGTTCTTTGGTCGACCAGGTCACCTCCACTGCGGTCCCCGAGTCAAACGACCCCGACAAAGTCAGCATTGCTGTCAAGGCCTTCATTACAGGCGACATGCCCGCTGAGCTCATCGATCTTCTCGAGAAGATCATCCTGGAACCATCCACCTTCTCCGACAACCCCTCGCTCCAGAACCTCTTGATGCTTACGGCTGCCAAGTCTGACCGCGGCCGCATGATGAATTACATTCACCAGCTCGACCACTACAGCCCCGAGGATATTGCTCAACAATGTATCGAAGTCGGCATGTACGAGGAGGCATTCGAGATCCACAAGAAGCACGAGCAACACGTCGACGCCGCGAACGTCCTCGTTGATCACATTGTCAGCATCGACCGCGCCCAAGAATACGCGGATCGTGTTGATCTTCCCGAAGTGTGGAGTCGGGTCGCTAAGGCCCAGCTCGATGGCCTACGTGTAACAGACTCCATCGAATCGTACATTCGTGCTAGCGACCCATCCAACTTCTTGGAAGTGATTGAGATCGCCACACACGCTGGCAAGGACGAGGACCTCATCAAGTTCTTGAGGATGGCCCGCAAGACTGTTCGCGAAGTCCCCATCGACACGGCGTTGGCTTTCTGCTTTGCTCGCACGAACCAACTTCCCGAGCTTGAGGACTTCCTCCGCGCTACGAATGTCGCTGATGTCGAAGCTTCCGGTGACAAGGCTTACGAAGAGGGTTACCACGAGGCTGCCAAGATCTTCTACACCAGCATCTCGAACTGGGCTAAGCTTGCTACTACGCTTGTCCACCTTGAGGACTACCAGGCTGCTGTAGAATGCGCCCGCAAGGCGAACAGCGTCAAGGTCTGGCGTCAAGTCAACGAGGCCTGCGTTGCCAAGAAGGAGTTCCGCCTTGCCCAGATCTGCGGTCTGAACCTCATTGTTCATGCCGAGGAGTTGACCGATCTTGTCAAGCAGTATGAGCGCAACGGCTACTTCGATGAGCTCATTGCGCTTTTGGAGGCTGGTCTTGGTCTTGAACGTGCCCACATGGTAAGCCAGTCTTATTCCCACTAACCTGCCACACACTGACTGTTTTAGGGAATGTTCACTGAACTCGGTATTGCTCTCACCAAGTACCATTCGGAACGCGTCATGGAGCATCTTCGTCTGTTCTGGTCCCGTATAAATATTCCTAAGATGATCCGCGCCACCGAAGAGGCCCATCTGTGGCCGGAGCTGATCTTCTTGTATGTTCACTATGATGAAGCCGACAATGCCGTAAGTGAACTCGATAAACCACTTGTGGGATACCACTGACGATAAGCAGGCGCTCGCCATGATGGAGCGTGCCGCGGATGCCTGGGAACACCAGTCATTCAAGGATGTGATCACCAAGGCCTCCAACGTCGAGATTTACTACCGCGCGCTTGGGTTCTACCTGGAAGAGCAACCAACTCTTCTGACCGATCTTCTACAAGCGCTCACTGCTCGTATTGACGTCAACCGTGTGGTCCGCATGTTTAACAAGTCGGACAACATCCCTCTGATCAAGCCTTTCCTACTCAGCGTGCAGTCCCAGAACAAGCGCGAGGTCAACAATGCGCTCAACGACCTGTTGATAGAAGAGGAGGACTACAAGACCCTGCGCGACTCGGTCAACAACTACGACAACTACGATGCGATGGATCTTGCCCAGCGTCTCGAGCGACACGACTTGGTCTTCTTCCGCCAGATTGCAGCCAACATCTACCGCAAGAACAAGCGGTGGGAGAAGTCGATTGCTCTCTCCAAGCAGGACAAGCTCTTCAAGGACGCTATCGAGACTGCTGCATTGTCAGGCAAGACCGATGTGGTCGAAGACCTGCTGCGCTACTTCGTTGATATCGGCAGCCGCGAGTGCTACGTGGGCATGCTGTATGCATGCTACGATCTCATCCGCCCCGATGTCATTCTCGAGATCTCGTGGCGCAACAACCTGAACGACTTCACAATGGTATGTCTCCTTTCTCGTGTTACTCATGCATACTAACATGTCGATAGCCGTACATGATCAACTTCCTTGCGCAACAAGCAGCGACTATCGAGCTGCTCAAGAAGGACAACGAAGAGCGCAAGCAACGCGAGGCCTCTCAGCAAAAGAAGGAGGAAGACACGCCCATCCTTGGCTCGCGCCTTATGCTTACGCAAGGCCCCATCGGGAACGCTCCCTCGCCTGGACCATACCAGCAACCCAACGGCATTGCGCCCCAGCCCACGGGCTTCCGAGGATTCTAAGCTCATTCTTACCCAATGAGATGTCTCGGTAATTTTGGGACATTGGCTTCATCTACATAGTTTGATGTTTTGGCGATGATGCAAAAGCAATGTGGGACGGGTGCATAGGTTTGGAAGCGGATGTACTCTACATGGCGTTAAGGCTTGCTTCGGGGCATGTGCGCCGGGGCGGATTTGGACGATTGTATTTTATACGGATAACTAATTTGTTTGTGTTCTGATATGAGTATGTGCGTGATGGGTGTGTGATGGGTGAGATGTGCTGCACCGCGTTGATGTATTTTGGTGTCCTGTGTTGCCTCAGGCTGAGCGATGCGGTGTTCGCGCTTTTGACGCGGGATTGTAGAAGCTTGAGGTTTTGGGGAGGGTCACGCGGTGATATGTGGTATTTCTGCCAACACAGGTCATCACAGATGTTCATTCGACATCTGCGATGCGTCTGCTACTACGCGCCTTGGAAGCTGAGGATCGTCTTCGCTGATCGGCCTAGTTGGGTGAGGAGAAGCGTACTATCTGTGCGTGTTGTGATTGCTCAGCCTGTGGTAAGTTAGTGATAGATATAGATGAGCTGTGTGCGGTTGTGCTGCGCTTTTACAGATAGGCGGGTCTCTGCGTTGTCCTGATTCTTAAGCCCTGCGTGTCGGAACGTCTTGGTCTGCTAGATGTGGTTGAATGGATGAGTGAGGAAAATTGGAGTTCGTGTTTGACTGCTCGCGTAGGTTGTACCACTCCCCTAGATGATACTCTGTAATTTTAGGGGATGCATCTTGTCTTCTGGCGATGATTTCATTTCTGGTAGGGCGCGGATTGCGTACCTCTTATGTAGGTTCGGTAGAAGCTACAGCCATATGTTGAGGCCTTGCAAGTCGATTGATAGATAGCACAACCTAAAGCGAATCAGGATGTAACGAACCTTTGAATTCCCATCGGATGATGTATAGTATAGTTGTGTTCCACGTTACCGCAAGAGACTACCCGATTCAGTTGGCTAGTGTGAAGCTGCAAACCCCGTTATAACCGATGCACGGCGGATGAACTATCTACCCGTTGCAAACCCTGCTTCCGAAATATAAACCCTCTTCCCGAAATCTCCAAAAGTTCCGACTGGCCGAATCAGGTGTTCGGTGTTCTGTTCGGCGCCGGATGACATGGGTGCAAGGCGGAAGAGGCTCTGTCCTGAGATACGTGAGAGCTAGCTCGATGGGAGAGTGGGTTTGTAGATGGCTCCAGCGCCTCATTCGGTTGGCAGAGATCTGAATCACGGAGTGGAGTCGCTGGGGATCCACTGAATGCTCGTCTCCAATTTCTTCCATATACCACGGTATGCCCACATCTTTTTCTATCTACCGCAATTCGCTCATTCCCTGAATAGATCAGGTAGAGAGTCAGTATAAATCTCAGCCACCATCTCGACACCAATCCTCTCCATCCAATTACAGTGTCCACTATTTTCTATTCTCAACCTGACAATAACAAAAGCACCATGCTATTGAGTCTGAGCTTTCCCAATGCTTGGGTTCTGGTGGCATTGCCCATCATTTACTTCTTGGGTTGGATCTTCTACACAATCACCCTCCATCCTCTGGCCAAAATTCCGGGACCCTTCTTGGCAAGAATCTCGCGCTTCTGGTATCTGCGCAAGATCTGGACAGAGGATGTCGAAAAGGATCAGAGAGCTCTTCATGCTAAGCATGGCCCCTTGGTCCGCATCGCACCGAATGAGGTGTCGTGTTCCGAGTAAGTGATGCACCTTTTGTACCTTGTGTTACCCCAGAATAAGCTATGCAGTACCCAAGCTTCCTCCCCATACTGCAACCTCAACCCTGTATTAACGCATCTCCAGCCCCGAAGCTTTCGCAGCCATCTACCGCTTCTCCAACGCATTGGACAAAGCTCCCTTCTACGAGCCCTACAACACGACCGGGTTCAGTCCCCACGGCGACATCTTCTCATGCAAGAGCGACAAGAAACACGGGCAGAGGCGCAGAATCATCAGTAGCATCTACTCCATGACCAATGTCGCCAAGTCAGAAGCGTACATTGATTCTTGCAGTAATCTGCTCACGGAACGTTTGGGAGGGTTTGCTCGTTCGGGGAAGCCGTGTGATTTGGGAGAGTGGCTACATTGGTACGATGTTTTACGGTCTTGGTTCGAAAGTTGAACTCTATCGGCTTTTGTATCGCTACTCTGGGGTAACTCGTTATACTCACGTGAAGGACAGGTACACCTTTGACATCATCGGCGAACTGTTCTATGGTCGTGCATTTGGCTTCCTCGATGAAGGGAAGGACCAGAACGATTGGATCAAGTCTCTGGACAAGATGATTCCCTTTGTGTGCTTGATGGGTGTCGCGCCGCCATTTCTGAGGCCCCTCATTGGCCTGGGAACCATGCTTACGCCTGCAGGGAAGGAGATCAGGAAGGGAGTGTACGTTGTCCAGAATCCCCCAACATGCTCACAAAGGCTGCAGCGTCGACTCGGACTTTCGTGATAACGCACACGGTGAAGAGTCCGAGTCTATCCTGACCCACTGTGATATCTTTCAAGACTCCTCACTAACACTCCAAGTCTAGTAAGAACATTGGCTCCTCTTCTGCTCGTCTCATGAAAGAAGCCTACGCCTCCCGTCTCTCAGCTCCCCGAACAGACATGGCCCAGCAAGTTTTCGATATCTACGAGAAGAACGGCGAAAAGATGAGTTTCGGCTGGGGTGATGTAGAGCAGGAATCCTACGGCGCGCTCTTCGCAGGAAGCGACACGACTGCCATTGCCTTCCGTTCGCTGTTCTACCACCTAATGCATAACCCATCCGTGTACGACCGCCTCGAGAAGGAAATAGACGAAGCCGTCAGCGAGGGCAGGCTGAGTTTGCCCCCGAGCTACAAGCAAGCGAGCCAGCTTCCCTATCTGTGCGCGTGCATCAAGGAGGCGCTGAGGATCCATCCCGGTGCACAGCTTTGTGAGTGGTTTTATTTTTCCGTCTTCGCACTGCAGCTACACATACAAGATGCTAACTCACCGCCCACGCAGCCCTCCCCGAACAAGTCCCCCTCAGGCCTCCACCTCAACAACCACTTCATCCCCCGGCTACACCATCGGCATCAACGCCGCCGTCCTGCACTTCAACCCCAAAATCTTCGGACTAGATGCCGAGCGTTTCGTACCTGAGCGCTGGCTGGATCCCGTGCGCGCAGGACACATGGACAAGTACATGATGGCGTTTGGAGGCGGGACGAGGACGTGCATTGGGAAGAACATCGCGCTTATCGAGCTGCATAAGCTGTCGCCGCAGTTAATTTGGAATTATAGATTTGCGTTTTATGGTGGGGGGAAGACGGAGTGGCGGACGAGGAATACGTTTTTTGCGAGGCAGGAGGGGGTTATTGTTGGGGTCAAGCAGCGGAAGCATTAGCAGCGTGTACGCTTGAACGGCATCGCATCGTCAGGTTTCGCTGCTGCTGATTTCTTGCTTCCAAGACCAATGATTTATGGGCTGCGTGTGGGTTTCAACTTGGTATGGTTTATCCTAGGGTAACTTCGCGTATTTTGAAATTACGAACCATTGACGGGTCTTGAGATCGTGCTGGTAGGCGAAAGTTTATGCTGGAGTGGTTTGAGGTATTTAGGCTTTGGGGAAGATGGCGGCAAAATTTTTGAGTTTGAGAGAACGACTGGTGGTTCGATTGCTTGGGCGCGGTACAAGCCTGTGGTTTTGGAGGGGATCCGGTACGATGGCAGTGGTATGGCGAAATTGACTGGCATTTCCCATTCGAAACGTGAAGACGATGCGAGAAAGGTTGGTGATGAGCCGATCGTGAGTTTGTATGCCGGTCCAGGTCCAGATAATTTCGTCGCTGTGAACTTATCTGTGGTCGTAGAATCCGGTAGAATTCCCCCATCCAAACAGTGAATACGATGCATACTTTGCACAAGCGCCTTGTGAGGCTGATAAGCGTTCATCTAAACCACATCTCGACTTTCATTTTCGAAGGCCTCGGCTATCAATCAGTTACTGGATGCCTTATATCTCGTCTGCACCTGCACAACTACGTTTGGTCATCCCCAGTCCAGCGTCGCGTCATCGAACAATCTTCCCTCTGAAAGTAGCCATAACCAGGACCCCAAAATACCCCTCTTCGTAATCCCTCATAACTTCGCAGAACGAAATAAAAATACAATTCGAAATTGCACGCCTTCCCAGACTTTGCGAAGTTGTCCATCACCTCAGCAAAACCAGCCAATCACCCACAGCCCCCCGCGCTTCATCACCTCCCACAACAACCTTTCCCCACACAACTTTCTTTCTTCGCACATGCAAACCATACATCACGGGGTAAAATCGGGGTTTCTAAACGCAGGCAGCGGATCCGCAAGACGCGCCGCGCACGCCCAAGCTCCCGCGGCTACCTCTCGGAAGCTCCTGCCGAACTACTGCGAAGTCGTCCGCACCCGCGGGAAGGCACCCGGCGGTGTATTTTCAGTAAGGTAAGCGCGGCGTGAGGTCATTTCGCTTTTTAGGATCTACGTGTTGCAAAAAAGGGTCGAAGGTAGGATCCGGGGTGAGGGCGTTGGCGCACTGGATGGATGGGGGGGTTGTGTACGAGACGCCTACGCAGGTATACCTAGGTACCTTAGCTGGAGGGTTGTGCATCACGTGACGCCGATTTGGGGCCCGTCCCAACCTCATTTTAGCCCAGGCATCGGACTTTCAACGTCCTGTGCGCTATTCACCCGCGTTTTCCGCAGATTTGTCCCTAATGTAAGAAAGTGCTGGGTATTGTATTGAAATTCTAGATTCTAGCATATATCGTAGCTAAGGTTCTACGTGGGCTGAGCTTCGATGAAATGGGATTCACTGCCTCTGGTTCTGGTTTGACGGGTCGACAAGTGGTAACTTTTCTTGGATACTTTTCCTCTACCTGGAGCGTGCAGCGCGCATTGGGCAGTCAAGAGATATATACCATAGTATTGATTCGCAATTCTTGGTTCTGTGCATAATACTTTGTTGCATGTGGGGGTTACGCGTTTTGAGCTGGGTCAGGCACGCGCAGATGATCTCCGCCAAGGGGGCTCGGCGGACTTGGTGGCGCTGGTGAGCCTCAGATTGTGTAGAGAGTGGATGTCTGTGAGAGCGGATTATGCATGTAGAGCTGCTTGTGTGGATCTTGATATGTGGGATCTGCGTAGTGTTGGGTGTGGAGTGTCATGATGCCATTCTCGCCCGTCTTGCGATACTGACTGTACATATCTGCCTAGTCCTTGTATTAAATCGGACGTCGGCTTTAGCTCTCTGGACGTTGGAGCCATCGAAAAGTCCGATATGTGATTGCGTATCCCTGGATTACTTGAATCTTGAGAGCTAACCTGATACTGTATCCTTGGTGATTCGCACCTACAGGAGAGGCTAGATGCGTCGGTGAGGATCCACCTGGACGATACCCAAGCTGCAGGCGAGCTCTTCACGAGCACTTCACGTGTTTACGGTGTGGACCCTGAACCCATGCCCAGCACCCAGCCGTTTCGCCGACCGTGATGGCCCACGGGCCTAGGGCATGCAGCAACCACCAGAGCAACGCTCGGGGACAACTCGCGCACCCACGATTTCTCCGAAGCAGCCTCGAGCGCGTGAGTAATAGCTCGACGACCTGGGGTCGAATGTCTGGAACAGGGCAGAAAAGAAAAGCGCCCGGAAAAGCACAGCGCGCGATGCCTCAAGAGGTTGTGCAGTCGCCGGGAGCCCGTTCTTCGGCTATCTGGAGAGTGTATCGACCAGAGGATCGTGAGACGGGCAGCCGAAGCAAAGCGCGCTCCGTTGTCCCGCGGTGCCGAGCTAGAGGCGTGTTTCGCGGAAAATAGCAGGCAGTGGGCTATCTGGGGGGGCGTGAGGCATGGGCTGGAGACGTCGGGGTAGCAGAGCGCGGGCTGCTCACCGCCAGCTGGGGGAGAATGTGATTCACATGGCGGGCAGAGACTGCTGGACCGCGGCGGCGTGGGGGCGTCTCGCTAGACGTGGCCTCAGGGCGTTTGCAACAGGTTTTAGCAAGTTGTTCCGCTTTTTGCGTGTTGCAACAGCTGCTGCGACGCATGGGGGAGCGGGCGACGCGGGGAGTGGAGCGCGGCTTATCGATGGCTGCATGGAGGGGCAGCAGGGCAACAAGCAACAAGGGGAGCTCCAGCCATTGCAGGGCCCGCCCACCAGAGCTGTTGCTTTTGCGGGCCTGCAGAGTGGACAGTTCCGTCACCAGCGTCGAGCCGGCTTGGTGTTGGCTTTCTCGACCCAATTGCTTAGCACGCTGCTTGCAGACTCACGACTGACTGGCCGGTACCGATACCGCCCACTATATATCACCGCGCGCCCTCGGCCACTGACCCGCTCAGCAATTCCTCCCTCCCACACTCCCCTCCCTCCCACCTCTACACACACAGCCCCGCCATGACTACGCTGGCCGTCGACAAGAACGCGGCCGCGTCGGCCATTGACGAGAGCGAGTTCGACGACGAGCACGGCGAGCATGGCGAGCACCACCCCCACCGCAACTCGGTGCACCACCGCCTGCGCGCGAACAGCTCCATCATGCAGCTCAAGAAGCTCATGGGTAAGCCCAACACCCAATTGACCCCGCGGGTGGAATCTGACGGCCTCCGCAGTCGCCAACAGAGGAGAGATCCCCATCCGCATCTTCCGGACGGCCCACGAGCTGTCGCTGCACACCGTCGCCATCTACAGCCATGAGGACCGCCTGAGCATGCATCGCCAAAAGGCCGACGAGGCCTACGAGATCGGCCACCGCGGCCAGTACACGCCCGTCGGCGCGTACCTGGCCAGCGACGAGATTGTCAAGATCGCCGTCGAGCACCAGGTCAACATGATTCACCCGGGCTACGGCTTCTTGTCGGAAAACGCAGAGTTTGCGCGCAAGGTCGAGCAGGCCGGTCTTATCGTGAGTCTTCGATTTTGTTTATGCTATGACGATGGAAGGCCGGGGTGCGCTGCACCTGCATGCCCATTCGTCGACTCGACGAGCTTCGGCGGGGCACAAGCGACCGTGCTCTTGCCGTAGGCCAGCCCGCGGCGATCTCGGGCGCCCCCAACAGTTCACATGAGTTGCTGCAACACCAATTCCGCGCATCACCGCTGACGTGTGTTGGATAGTTCGTTGGCCCCTCGCCAGACACCATTGATGCCCTTGGCGACAAGGTCTCCGCCCGCAGACTCGCCATCAAGTGCAACGTGCCCGTCGTGCCCGGTACCCCCGACCCCGTTCAGAAGTTCGAGGACGTCAAGGCCTTCACCGACGAGCATGGCTTCCCCATCATCATCAAGGCCGCTTTTGGCGGTGGTGGCCGCGGTATGCGTGTCGTCCGCGACCAGGCCTCGCTGAAGGATAATTTCGAGCGAGCGACATCGGAGGCCAAGTCTGCTTTCGGCAACGGCACCGTCTTCGTCGAGCGCTTCCTCGACAAGCCCAAGCACATTGAGGTCCAGCTGCTCGGTGACAACTACGGCAACGTGGTGCACCTGTACGAGCGTGACTGCTCTGTCCAACGTCGCCACCAGAAGGTCGTCGAGATTGCGCCGGCCAAGGACCTCCCAGAGAAGACCCGTGACGCCATCCTCAACGACGCCGTCCGACTTGCCCAGTCCGTCAACTACCGCAATGCTGGTACCGCCGAGTTCTTGGTCGACCAGCAGAACCGCTACTACTTTATCGAGATTAACCCTCGAATGTAAGTCTCTTGGGCCAAGCCGAGCCATTGCAGCGCTAACAGATAGTAGTCAAGTCGAGCACACCATCACAGAAGAAGTCACCGGCATCGATATCGTTGCTGCGCAGATCCAGATTGCTGCGGGTGCCTCGCTCGAGCAGCTTGGCTTGACCCAGGACCACATCTCCACCCGTGGTTTCGCCTTCCAGTGCCGTATCACCACGGAAGACCCTGCCAATGGCTTCTCCCCAGATACTGGAAAGATCGAGGTGTACCGCTCCGCAGGTGGTAATGGAGTTCGTCTCGATGGTGGAAATGGTTTCGCTGGTGCCATCATCACCCCCCACTACGACTCTATGTTGGTGAAGTGCTCGTGCCGTGGTTCCACATACGAGATCGTCCGACGAAAGATGCTGCGCGCCCTGGTTGAGTTCCGTATCCGTGGTGTAAAGACCAACATCCCCTTCCTGCTCAAGCTCCTCACACATCCCACTTTCATCGACGGAAAGTGCTGGACGACCTTCATCGACGACACGCCCGCGCTCTTCAACCTCATCGGCTCCCAGAACCGTGCCCAGAAGCTGCTCGCATATCTCGGAGAGCTCGCCGTCAACGGCAGCCAGGTCAAGGGTCAGATCGGCGAGCCCAAGTTCAAGGGCGAGATCAAGGTCCCGGCCATCATCGACAGCAATGGCAACAAGGTCGATACCTCTATGCCGGCGACTAAGGGATGGCGCAACATCATCCTCGAGCAGGGCCCCGAAGGCTTTGCCAAGGCTGTCCGCGCGAACAAGGTAAGTGACTTTTCAAAATTGTTGCTTTTCAAGTATTAATCACTCTGGCAGGGCTGTATGATTATGGACACTACATGGCGTGATGCCCATCAGTCTCTCCTCGCTACTCGTGTGCGAACTGTCGACTTGCTCGGCATTGCAAAGGAGACGAGCCACGCTTACGCCAACGCCTGGGCTTTGGAGTGCTGGGGTGGAGCAACCTTCGATGTTGCCATGCGTTTCCTCTACGAGGACCCCTGGGAAAGGCTGCGCAAGATGAGGAAGCTCGTACCCAACATTCCCTTCCAGATGCTCCTCCGTGGAGCTAACGGTGTTGCCTACTCCTCGCTTCCTGACAACGCCATCTACCATTTCTGTGAGCAGGCTAAGAAGAATGGTATGGACATTTTCCGTGTCTTCGATGCTCTCAACGATGTTGAGCAGCTCGAGGTCGGTATCAAGGCTGTCCTCAAGGCTGGCGGTGTTGCTGAGGGTACTGTGTGCTACAGGTGAGTTAGAAGTGTGAGTCTCTCCAGGCTTTGTTGACATGTGTACAGTGGAGACATGTTGAACCCCAAGAAGAAGTACAACCTCGAGTACTATCTCAGTGTTGTCGACAAGATTGTCGGCATGGGGGCGCATATCCTCGGAGTCAAGGACAGTCCGTCATCCCCTTTCTTATCCCTCTCTGATCCCTTCCTCCATCTTTCTACAGTACCAGTACACAACTTTTGTTACAGTATTGCCCATCCTGATTCAGACTCATGTCCAGGTGCAGTGCGTCAGTTGTTCTTTTGCTAACATTCCCTAGTGGCTGGTGTGCTCAAGCCCCGCGCTGCCACCCTGCTCATCGGTGCTATCCGCGAGAAGTACCCCGACCTTCCCATCCACGTTCACACCCACGACTCCGCCGGTACCGGTGTAGCATCCATGGTTGCTTGCGCCCAGGCCGGTGCCGATGCTGTTGATGCCGCTATTGACAGCATGTCTGGCATGACCTCACAGCCCAGCATTGGTGCCATTCTGGCGTCTCTTGAGGGCACTGACCAGGACACTGGTCTTGATCCCCACATGATCCGCAGCCTTGACGCCTACTGGGCTCAGCTCCGTCTCCTCTACTCTCCTTTCGAGGCTGGTCTTACCGGCCCCGATCCCGAAGTGTACGAGCACGAGATCCCCGGTGGTCAGCTTACCAACCTCATCTTCCAAGCCTCGCAGCAAGGTCTTGGTGAGCAGTGGGCACAGACCAAAAAGGCGTACGAGCACGCCAACGACCTGCTCGGCGACATCGTCAAGGTCACACCCACATCCAAGGTTGTCGGTGACTTGGCACAGTTCATGGTCTCCAACGGCCTGTCCTACGACGATGTCCTTGCCAAGGCCGACAAGCTCGATTTCCCGTCGTCGGTCCTTGAATTCTTTGAGGGTCTCATGGGCCAGCCCTATGGTGGCTTCCCCGAGCCTCTCCGCTCCAAGGCTCTCCGTGACCGCAGGAAGATGGACAAGCGTCCTGGTCTCTACCTCGACCCCATCGACCTCGCCAAGATCAAGTCCGACCTCAAGGCGAAGTGGGGCGATGCTACCGAGTGCGACGTCGCGTCCTACGCCATGTACCCCAAGGTCTTCGATGATTACAAGAAGTGGACGTCCAAGTACGGCGATCTCTCCGTCCTACCGACCCGCTACTTCCTTGCTCGTCCCGAAGTCGGCGAGGAATTCCACGTCGAGCTCGAGAAGGGCAAGGTGCTCATTCTGAAGCTCCTTGCCATCGGTCCGCTTTCCGAGCAGACTGGTCTCCGTGAGGTTTTCTACGAGATGAACGGTGAGACCCGTGTCGTCTCCGTCGAGGACCAGCACGCCGCCATTGAGAACGTCCGGAGAGCCAAGGCCGATCCTACCGACACTAGCCAGGTTGGCTCGCCCATGTCTGGTGTGCTTGTTGAGGTCCGTGTCAAGGATGGCAGCGACGTCATGAAGGGCGACCCTATCGCTGTCCTCAGCGCCATGAAGATGGTAAGTAAATCTATATCAGCTGGGTCAAATGCAAATGCTAATCATGCCTCAGGAAATGGTCATCTCCGCACCCCACTCCGGCAAGATCGACGGCCTCTCAGTCCGCGAGGGCGACTCTGTCGACTCTGGCGACCTGGTCTGCAAGCTCGTCAAGTGAGCCACTGCGTTGCAAACTTGAACTCTTCAATGTTTACTGCTTTGGTGCTCGACTAGACCGGTCGCTAATTCGGCGTGCGCACGCAGGGGCGATTGAGCTCGCGGCGACTCTTACCACGCGAAATGACTCGAGAGAGACTAAAATTGGCGTATGTGTACATTTGCGAAGCGCTCTTGGAGTTGGCCTACTTGATGACGCATGAAATGACGGCGATGAATGGGGGATGGAATGTAGAATGAATGAATGCTATGAAATGGATGGTAGCTGGGTGCTTATATGGAGTGCGATTTTGTATGCAAGTGTTGTGTGATTGTGACGTCGGGACGGAGGGTACGGTACCTGCAGCCAGTGCTCGCGAACCCCTCGGCGGGGCTAGAGATTGCAGTGAAATGTGACGAAGCTAGAGGCAAGAGAGTCACCACTGCAATCCCCGTGCCTATGTTTCGACACCTCGCCGACGCTAGAAAGTGCAGTGCAGCTCCAACGGTCTGGGTAATGGAACTGTTGTTGGAAGACCCGCCCCCAGGCTGTTGGGTCCGGTCCGGTCCGGTGAAGTCTTCTATGGGCTCACCGGAAGGCGGTTTTCTTTGGGCTTGGAAAAGCTGGTGTTGGTGTTGGTGTTGGTGTTGGTGTCGGTGCGTAGACGTTTAGATGTCGGTGATATTGTCAGCGTGCGAGCCTTAGATGTGGAAGGGGACTGCTCGTCGGGGCTAAAGATTGCAGTGTAAAACTGTAAATATGGGGTCGGGCCGTGCAGACAAGGGTGTGGACCGTGTGCTTCACTGGAAAGATGCTAATGTGGTCTGATTAGGGTGGAGGGGACTGCTCGTTGGGGCTAAAGATTGCAGTGCTGAGTCGAGTCACTCCACCGGAAAGCTCTCAGGTCCAATGAGCGTAGAAGGGGGACGACTGCTCGTCGGGGCTAAAGATTGCAGTGAAATTACTAGCTCCGTCGGTCTTTGCAGCAGCTCACCGGAAAGCCCAAAAACTGTCCAATCAGTGTGAGAGTGCTGCCATGTAGAGGCGGCGCAGTGGAGTTGATCAGTATGAGGCAGCAATGTCGCTCACCGGAAATGTCTTGATGTTGTCTAATAAGCGCAGAGAGTGAACTGCTCGTCGGGGCTAAAGATTGCAGTGTAAGGTGAGGTCGTGCAGGGGCATCTAATGCAGGATTGTTCTTCACCGGACACCGGGAATGTCTTAATGTTTTCCAATCGATGTAAAGGGGGAACTGCTCGTCGGGGCTAAAGATTGCAGTGTAGAGACGTAATCTATGTCGTACTTCACCAGAAGATCTCAGTGTTGTCCTATGAGCGTAGAGAGGGAACTGCTCGTCAGCGCTAAAAATTGCAGTGTCAAAGGTCAGACCAGCGCCTCATGCAAGCCACCCGCCGGTGAAGCCACCTACACGGGATTGCAACCCTATGAATCAGGTACGAGCACGCCAATCAGTGCAGCAAAAAAATTTGCTCTTGGACGCTGACCTGGCATATTAACGAATCAACATCGCGAACTATACATGATAGAGCTGCTCGTGTGGGCTAAAGAAAGCAGTGAAAACTGAGCATTTCGAAACGAATCAGGGATCAATGAGTGTAATAATAGGTTGTCAGCTTGACTGTAAACTTTACTATATTTACATTAAAGCGCCTTACTGGATATTTCTAGATAGCGAAGAATTGTACATGGGTGGTAGGTTGCTCGTTGGGGCTAGAGAATGCAGTGCTGTCATGCAAGTTGTACCGTGACCTGAGGAAGGATCGTCTACTTCACCGGAAAACTTGACATCGTCCAATGAGCGTGAGAAGGGACTGCTTGTCGGGGCTAAAGATTGCAGTGAAACAAACTACGTTAATTATTACTCTTCCTGGACTCAAAACATCACAGTGTTATCCAATCAGGGTAGAGAAAGAAGTTCTTGTTGGGGCTGGAACTGCGGTGAACAGCCATCTTTCTAGGATACCCTTGAATTAGAGCCGCCTCACTGTCCTGCACTGCAACCTTAGCCCCAACGAGCAGTCGATGCTGCGCTGAGTAAACTGCTATCATACACTCAGGTGAATTTATTCGACTCTTATACTCTATAGTAGTCTACTGACATCATTTGGTACATGTTCGTATATTCGTAGTGTCAGTTAGCTCATACAACGATTCTATTGTACAGGATGAAGTTAAGATAATAGTTAGCGTATAGCGTTATTTTGATACTATATGCGAGTGAATAGGGTTGCTAGGGACAGTCGTTGGTTCGTGTGTGAGTGCCTCAGTTAGCGATGTCTGCTCGTCGAGGCTAGAGATTGCAGTGTTAACATTTTGGTTACTGGACGGTACGAGGCAGATTCATCGGCTCACCGGATAACTTGAAACTTGTCCAACCAACGTAGAGAAGGAAACGTTCATCGAGGCTAAGATTTTATTGTAAACGAGAAGCGGCCCCATTCCTGTTCACCGGATGAGCACACATATAGCGCAGACCAATCAGCTAGACTGGTATGTGAAGAAGACTTGCTCGTCGGGGCTAGAGATTGCAGTGCAGATATTGCCCATTGGTTAAGGGAAGTAGGCCTTTGTGGACGCATTTAAACAAGGCCGTGGAAGAGCGACCCTTGCCTAAGCGCACCCAATAAAAATGTCGAAAGAGAACATTGCCTGAAAACGTAGAACCGTCGACTCACCGGAAAACTCGAAAATTGGCCAATCAGCGAACCGAGGAACTGCTCGTTGGGGCTAAAATTGCAGTGCAATCGCGGTTAGCAAGCGCCTACCCGTTATGCTTGCTGCGTTCACCGGAATGATGCTGGCGTGATTGGCTAGCCCTGTTGCTTGGTTGCACAGTAAACAGACGGATCGCCCCGTCGAGGCTAAAGATTGCAGTGTCGTGGCGACTTTTGGCCTACCTTTCCCTCAACGAGTCTTTCGGTTTCACTGCCGATCTCCGATCAAACACTGCCGGACAGGCCTTCCCCCAGATGGTCTTCGACCATTAGCAGTTCTCCAGGGCGGTTCGCTACTTGACAACACTACTATGCCTGGTAAGATCGTTGCCGACGTGCGTAAGAGGAAGGGTATCAAGATTAAGGTACCGGGTGTTGACAACGTAAGTTATGCCCCTTCTATTGATAGAAATCAGTATACTAACTTTCTTCACAGTACTACGACAAGCTATAGAGGAAACGTGGCAAAAGCAAATAAGAAGTTCACCGGAACGATGCTGGCGTGATTGGCTAGCCTCGTTGCTTGGATGCACAGTAAAGCACAGACAGATCGTCTCGTCGGGCTAAAGATTGTAGTGTCGTCTCACTCGAGTAGCCACCTCACTGCACAGCGCTCACCGGAAGGTCTAAACAGGCAACAAGCAAAACAACGAGTTGTGTTGAGAAAAAATTCTTCGTTCACCAGACGACTTTGGTTTTGCAGGCTAGTGTTTGATGTTTTCATAAGATCTTTGCGGATGAAATGCGATGTACAATATGCGTGTGGATGTGGATGGACGGTTCGCTTGGGCTGCTGCGTGGATGCTAGACTGCTCGTGTACGCTAAGAATGCAGTGCAAGCACAGCTTTGGCCCCCAAAAGAAGCCGTAAATGATCGTAGCCGTTCACCGGATCGTCGAAGCTGCTATTGGTTAGCATGTTCGCTTAGCTGCACGCAGACTGTAATCTACAGCCTTTTGGTCTTGCGATGCCAGGATTACGGTGAGCAGTTGAGTCTAGAGGCTGCAACGTAAATTCATGAAGCTTTATTTAGCTAAGAGGTAGAATTGTCAGACGAAATAGTGCTCGTCCGGGCTAAAGATTGCAGTGCGATTCCACTAACGCGGAAGCAGTACCACATCTAGTGTGAGGGCAGGCTGCAAGGCAGGCTTCCGTTTCTCTGGTTATTTTGCTTACCGGAAGAAATGAAGGCAGCCAATCAAATTAATAAGTAGAAAGTATGTAGACTGCTCGTGTGGGCTAATATTGCAGTGTTAGGGCAATTGATGACATTGACGCGGGATATCTAACCTAGGGTCCTCACTGGAGTCACTTCACCCAATGAATGCGGCGAGCGGACTAATGTGCAAGTGTAGCAGCTCGTAGCTCTTCTGGCCAGCTTTTAAGCTGCTGAATGGCTGACACTTGTTGTTGGCTGGGCGTCCAGCCGCATGTCGATTGCAATCTCAATCTTACCAGAGAAGGCAAGTCATCTCAGAATCATTCCCTGCAAAAACAACTCATTGTGACGATAACCTTTGGTGCCAAGCTTACTACTCTAAACTGCACAGCCGATAGATCCAAGGTCCTAATGCTCACTCTTCCCTTCCTGGCTCCGACCTCATCCACCCTAGCCGCTTGTGAAGGAGATAGTCTTTGCTCCGAATTGTATGCCAAATACCTATAAATCCTGCCCATGGCCATGCGTACTTAATTCTGCAGATCTATGGTAGTTTCTGTACACCCAATTGCCGAATGATGTCGATCTTTATCTTGTCGTAGACGCTCGGTAACGTTATGGCACAGTAGCGCTGTCGCAACGCCTGGTACCAGTCCTTATCATACAACCCCCAAAACTCCTTCTCTTCGAAAATAGGATGGCGTCCACATAGTCGATGTCGGGCTTGTTAGTCGCCTCTTGGACAGCAGCGATAGTGTTGTGAGTGCTCGGGTATGCATGGTAGACTAGTTTGACAAAGCGCTTTGCCGGTATCAGACTTAGTTCAAGCTTGGTTATTATACCAAGAGTCCCAAGAGCACCTGCAGCTCCGCGGAATAATTCCGCATTCACGGAGTTAGAAGCCATGATCACCCTGGATAAAGAGGCGAGGTTAGCGATAACACCGGTGACTAGACAGGAAAGAAGGATATATTGGCGAGTCACAAGACCAGGCACTCACTACAATATAGTCAGACAATGGCTTCGGATATATGTGAATTACAATCCACATATTGAGACGAGGAAGAAAACATACCTCTCCATTCCCAAGCACCATTTCAACTGATTTGACAGTCTCACTGAAATACCCCGTACTTGAACGAGCTGCTCTCACCAGCGGATCCGGCGTATCCACCGCCAACAGTGATGCCCGGAAACTCCATCACAACAGGTGGAATCATCCCATGAGCAAGCGTAGTTTGGACCAGCTTATCCATTGGGACATTCGGTTCAACAATTGCTGTTCTGGAGTTCCTGTCCACTTTCAGGATATTAGAAAGCGAACTAATATCGACAGTGTTATCATTATGGGCGGGCCTCGTGCTGTTCGTAGATCCATGGAATATGCGAAAGGATTGTTTGCGGTCAAAGAGATCCTTTACTGTAGCTGAGATGCGAGCGACCGCTTCTTCGTGAAGTGCCATGGCGGTGGGGAGCAGGCGAGGAAGAGGTGATAAGCTGTCGCAAAGCAAAAATGATGGGTATGAATGCTTCTTGCGACTTGGCGACCAGTCGATGTGAATGATTGGTGGTTTGCGAGCGATGATTGGACTGAGAGAGATCGGTGGACTGCAACGTCAACGATAGGTAATTGAGTGCGGTGAATACTTTGTTCGAGGAAGGTAATATCTCTACTTGATCCTAAGTGTGCCGTTTTTTTATGTGACCCACGACTCGTGAAACGTGTTGGATTAAAACTTCGTTAGGATAGAGGTCCAAACCGGTGGCGCATATACGACGTAAACGTCAGGCAGGGGAGCACGATATTTCTAGACCGTGACTGTGGGAACCATCCAGCTGCGAAGATGAAATCTGTTCTCTCAGTGTACTGCGTCGGTCGCTAGAAGGTATAGTTACTGAATGCGAATTGAGGTTTGAATCGCATGCAAGTTGAGGGAAGGTGGGGATATCCAAATTACATAGCCCAACAGAAGACATAACAGCACTACGACCGTTGGGCAAGGACGGACTATTGTCTGTGCGACAGACTGATAGCGCGTGGTCACCTGTCCCAGCGCAGCCAACAGCACGTTCTTCGACCTTACTGTAAATTCAACTGTACTACGGTCTGGTAAGCCCGGTCTATTAAGTGGTCTATTTCACACAAGGTCGTGCATAATGTGAGCCGTGCAGGACAAACCTTAGTACGGTCAAAGCGGCGTTACACTCAAGGCACGTACTGTTGGTAGCGCTGATGTGTCGTACGTATAAATCCAGCATCGCCTCATTGTATAAGCATATTTTTGTGACTTGAGCATCTCGCAATGTGACATTACCGCTGACTAAGGGGTTCAATTGCTTCATCAGATTCACTAGGTACTGACGCTACGAACAGTTTGCTTCTTGCCCAGCACATCGTAGAACGAGGTCTACATCGACATCAAATACGCCGTTACATTTGTTCTCCCAGAGAACCTGATTTGATAAAGCAGCAAATGAATCAAGAAGAAGAAGAAGAAACCGTCTTCGAAACCACCCACCCTATGAGCGGGTATAATGAGGGAAGACACGATCCAATGATAGCGCAGTTGCATTCGATTGTGGACCACAAGGCGATCGCGGTATCATACTTAGGGTTGTGTTTCGTTGCGCTATCATGCAGGGACTTCAAGCGAACGATTGATACAACGCAGACACTATCATATTCTTATCAGTCCGAGTTCTGGACATCACGTGCAACTAGAGACTTTAACTTACAACAAGCCCAATGCAAACAAGAATGATAAGCCTGCCTTGTTGGTCTTCGACATTCGTAGTCCCAGAAATTCTGGGACGGGTAGTAACACAACAAGGAAGTGGAGAATAATACTCAGCCCAGCATTGATGTACGCGGAGAGCGTCCCCGGAATGCACCAGCCTTGGACGCTATGGTCCCATGAGGCAGCGAGCGGGACGCAGGGTACGATGCTTATGCCTACTATCCAGAAGGTGTAAAGGGAAAGAAAGGCAAGAACTAGGTAGAATGCTGTTCGTCGCTTTCCGTTCCGTAAGATGCGATAGCAAAGAATGAGGATCGAAAATTGGGTAAGGCACAATGAGACATTGTACCCGATGATAGCAGCATAAGTACCCTGGCAAGGGTCAGGCGTATGCTCAATACAGTTTGAAGGACTTACTGACTTTCCCAAGATTCAGCAGCGCTGATTGGGATAGGACGCTATAGCTCATGCCAAGTCCACCTTTTGCTACCTGAAAGTGGATGCTTATGCTGCTTTCAAGCGAGGCAATCTTTTAATGCGTCAGTGAATTTCTTAGAGCGCTCGCCAAATCAACGTACCTGCGCCATGACAACGCAAGCATCGTCAACCCCCAAAGCTTGACTGCGCTTTGACCGTACGTAAATGCGAAGACCAACGAATACAGCAGCCACAGCAAACGTACTGTACGCACAAACAATGAGATTATCTCCACGGGTATTTACATCCATGTTTGGATTTTCTTGTGAATATTCTTTCTTTCAGTCCTCGGCATCTAGTTCCACCTTTTATTCAAGCCTCAAAATGAGCAACGACGCCATTTGCGGCAATGTTGTTGTATTCTATTACCGTTTTCGGGTAACCCCAGCTCTAGAGCAATACTGTTAGAGACATACAAGCGAGGTGGCCCGTAAACAGGTGAAGAGACATCCGACCTGAATCAGCGTAGACGTCACGAACAGACTATTGGAACCAATCATAGAAGAAGCAGGTTAGGAATGAGAATCGGCTTCCAAAACAGTAACGATTGTGAGAGATCATCAACACAAAGGCAGGCACGCACCAGAAAGGTACAGGAGCAAGCAGCTACACGCGGCAGACGGAGCGCGACTTACAGGTAAACTTGGACTTTGCTATAGGGGCGATGAAGTCCGAGCATGGCCATGTGTTTCGGCAATGTTCAGGCGAGATTCTCAGGTCTTGAAACATGTGTCAGACTCATGTCCCGAAAGCAGCGAGAACGCCAAACCCGCATCGCAACCAGTGTCCCAAAACTATCTCCGATCATCCGTATTTGGACATTCTGACGTGGTTAAGTACAATTGACGTAGAAAATTTTGTTCTAATAGGTCCAATAGAAACTTAATGATAGTGCAGTACATTTTGAGGGTCAAAGAGGTTGCTGAAGTCGTCGCCGCAGCCGCAACGTCGGCATTTGAGAATGCAATGCAGTATTTGACGCCTAAAGATTAGCGCTAAAGTGGACTCGGTAATTACGGACTAGATACCGCCTCGGACTAAAGATTGGATATCTTTTCCTAGGTAAGCGGTAGTGATGTGGTTCAACTATGAGTAGTGAGTTAGGCTTAAGGTGAGGTGGCTCTGCTGTGCTTGTGTTATATAAGAGATGGACGTTTTCCTGCGTAACCGTAATTGGAATGTTCCTACCCTTCGGGAAGTTTTTTTTATGATTACGAAAGTCGAATTGTCCTGTGAAGATGGAATAACACATCTAGACGTGTTTCTTTTGATGTCGAGAGATCTGCTTACATCTGAGCTACGAAACTCATCTAGACCATTGTACAACCGTATGGCTTAGTACGAGAAAGATCTTTTTCCATTCATTGCACAGTTTTCAACATCCCATCCGAACAATGCTAAAGATTTCGCAAAGACTCGAGAATACCTTTAACGTCCGCGAAACTCAACTCGTTCATTGTCTCTAGCCAAAGTCGCTCCGAGATATCCCTGCCTGCTGAAGTGTACTGAAAAGGAACGTACCTGAAACAATAGACGTCATCATCAGTATGATTGCATATTTCTGTGATATGGTATGACTTACGGCGCAATTTCCCAATTTGTCAGGATACATCCGTGAGATTCCTTGCTTTTCACTGCGCAAGCGTCGACATATGCCGAAGCACCAACTTGAACAGTTCTAGCCGCCGCAGCCTTGAACAAACCGAGAAGAGCTCTTGTACCAAATGGTCTATCTTTGTGAAGGTCGGTTCCCTTTACAAATCCAGGCTCGACCATGTTCACAACCACTTCTTCAGCAGTCACCAAGTCGGTGAGTTTCCAAACAAACATTTGTCCCAGTAATTTCGATGTTGCGTAAATATCTGAGGCGTCGAAGTATCTCTTATCGTCGAACGAGGGAAGGAGTGGGTCCTCATGTTTGTTGGGAAACTTGGCAGTCATGGAAAGCATAGCTGTGCTGATGGTCAACCTCCCTGGGCCAGTAGGAGATTTTGTCTTCAGGCTCGGAAGAAGTAAGACTGCAAGGAGCATAGTGGACAGGTAGTTGACTTGAATGGTTTCTTCGTGGCCGGTACTGGGAACAATCTTGAAGTCGTGGAAGCCTACGCCAGCATTCAAGATTGCCATGTCGAGCCGTGACAGTTTTCCTACACGCGCTGCTAACGCGCGAATAGAATCGTACGAGGTCATTTCGAATTGCCAAACTTCGATGACGGCATTCGGGTACTGGCTTGTAAGTCCAGAAGCAGCATCTTCGCCCTTTTTCACAGATCGAACAGCTAGAATGAGCCGAGAGAGCTTGTAGGAAAGCAACTGTCTGGCGCATTCGAGGCCAAGACCGGTGTTTGAGCCCGTGACAATGGCAACTCTACCAGATAGATTGGTAGTTTCGGGAGGAAATTGTGGCTTGGTTCCAAATTGGTTCCGGATGAAATGATTGGGAAAAAATGGTGTCTTCGAAGGGGCAAGCTCTTTGGATGCCATTGATCGATGGAGTATGCTCGTCTGGTAAAGGACAATAGACTTCATCATGGGATGAATGTGATTAGGATTGTATATCTACATGGGAATTGCGTGTGATTGTCGATTATGCCTAAACTAAAACGGGATTCCAATCTGCTGCATTAGCGTCTCATTTGCACTGTGTGATTGGTTGTGGTCACTATTGAGCGATACCAAATCGGGATATCAATCTGCTGCAGTAGCGTCCGCTCAGGTACCGCACCTTACATGCGTCATCATAAGCATTGCCTGGAGGACAACTTTACTCTTTTCTACTTCCGCATTCGCAGCAGTCCTGCACCCCTATAGTATTCCCGTCATGCACTGAGCACACTGTGTCAAATCGTCGTATCGCATTGCGAAAACAGGGATGGCTGCTTCAGGACCCAGTGGGTTATCTCACACCGCGATACGGCGACTTCTAATTCCGGAACAGCGGGCATAACTTTCATCTTCACCGATGGACGTGGCGAGGCTGAACCAAACATACGCAAGGCCATAAGGCAGCATGTGATGCTTGGAAAGAACAAGGGCAAGACTCGCAGCGCGCCTCGCCGAAACATGCCTGCCGAGCCAGTCACTCCATGTGGTGAAAATACGATCAGCAATACAGATGAGGATTCTCGGCTCTTGATGAAGATGCGTTATCCTTCGCTTCCAAATAAAGTTGGTTCTGAGTTGTCACTTGCCCGTTTTGCTGCTGCTGCGGAGCCGCGACTGATACATGACCTTCTGAGATGTATGTATGGATGCAAATAGGGATACTTGGCTGTACTCATTGATTTTTTAGTTTGCTTCGTCACCAAAAAAATTATGTACCCGCTTGAAAGACATGTTGTCTTTCATAAAGAGTCTAAAGTCGATACGTCGTGGCTCGACTTCCTCACTTTAGATGCGGCCTACATGCATGCAGCAGTCTTTGCATCTCAAGCCTATGCTTTCCATGCATCCTCTCGGAAATCTTCCGCATCAACCAGGTCAGCCTTAGTTCACTACTCTGCAGCACTGCGCCTTCTTACCGAAAGAATGACTACGCTCAACGAGCACAGTGTGACGGATGCTACCATCCTTTCGGTTTTGTATTTGACGCTACACGCTCATTTTGTTGGCGACTATGAAACAGCGCAGAAACATATGGAAGGCCTGCGCACCATCGTAGACATCCGAGGCGGTCTCTCCGCTTTTCAACATAACACAAAACTTGTCATGGAGCTGCTGAAGTAAGTGACACTGGCTGTCAGTTTGGTGATCAGTGTCCAGCTGCTGACTCTCCAGGTGTGATGTGGGGATAGCCCTAGATGTGGGGTCAGAGACCTCATTTTCCAGGAACGTAGTAGCCACATACGGCCCAATGATGCTGAACATAAGGGCGTCGAAGAGATCGACAGCAAAGCTACCCTGGGAGACGGATCAGGACCTCAATGAGGATCTACGACATGTCTGGGTATATCTAAAGGCTTTCTGCGTAGAGTTCAATACAGCAGCTCAAAGAAGTCGGCGATTGCCCGAGACTACACTGCTTCATGCTATGGTATTAGTAATGTACCGACTTCTTGGAATGAATAGCTTTCAGGAAGATTCCATCGTCGAAGGCATCCGTCTTGGCCTACTCGTCTTTTCGTCGCACATCTTTCTCAGCTGGCAAGGTATCGAAGGGCCGCGCACACATCTGCATCGTACCTATCGCGCTGCTCTCATACGGCTTACATTGCCAAGCGGACTGGCCCCAAACATCATACTCTGGCTACTGGTGGTTGGTTCTCTCGCCATCTTTACGTCTGATGATGACGCTTGGTTGATGCCTTGGATTCGGGCCACTATCGAGACTTGTGGGGTGCAGCATTGGAGCGAGTTGCTTAAACAGCTGGAAGCACTTCCATGGATCCATTTGGTGCACGACGGGCCAGGGCTAAAGGTATACAATGCTGCGCTGTCATATCTTCATGATAGCAGTGATTGTTATTGAGTTTGTTTGCGGTCGCCCCAGATGCTCAGGGTCGTCTCTTCGAGAGACAGATCCATGACGAGCCTCTTCCAGCACTTTATCACGTGGTCAGTCAGTTTTCCCTCCAGTATAGCTTCCAGGTGGAGCGATATGCTGTAGACAAGTGTCAGGAGATGATCAGCGCGTCTGGTGGATTGGTTCATTCTTCCTATGCGATCGTGTACATCATCCGAGTCTTTGCTAGCACGGCGATTGAATAACGATTCCAATGTCAATACACAGGTCCCCGAGGGCCCATATTTTTGGTTTTATTGGAGAACACGGCGATCACATATTTTGGTGGGTCCAGCAGGTTTCAGAAGTTTATGCTGCCTGAACAATCACTATCACATTACCAAATCCGAAAATGGGTTCAAGGCTTGTACTGACTGCCCTGAGAAGAAAAATGGATCAGACATCATGTTATTGTATGGCATTTGAATGGATTTGTTCTATCCGGGAAAGTGTAGCCTCCAACATTTGCCGGCATGCCCATCCCCGGCGTAAACCTTGATCAAATGCATGCTACACCGATCGCATCCCCAGTCGTACCCGAGGCACCCCTTGTCCTCGTACCTAGAGATCACCACTTGATTGATGTGCTAGACGCCTTGATGAGACAAGGATCGCTCCGTTGGAGAGAGCCAAGGAGTGGGGTCGGTGAGGATTGAAGATTAGCCGGATGAAATACTGATTTCCAAGTGCGCAGAAGGACGACAAGACCTCTTGAAAGTTGGAATCACGGGAACTACGACATCAAGACCCACCGAAACCAGTATACCTAGCCAAAAAGGTGTCTAGGTGTGAATGAGAATATTGGAAGAGGTATCGGTAATGAAACTTTGAAAATCAAGACATCGGAACTTATTTCGGTGTTATTCAATTACGCAGTCCTACCACAAACATGGACAACCCTTGATTGATCAACTTTGTGCTTGCACCGCGTTTCAGAGACGTCCTAGTGACCAGTTCACGCAAAAGCTCCGCGCTCGTTCATATGCCGGTAGACGTTTTTTAACAGGCAGCGCTATGCTGTACGGTAGTTATTCACTTTAAGCGAGGAGTAGGGAATGGGACGCAGGTAAGCCCACCGCGTGCAACCAGCCAGGGCCGATGTCGCTGCCGCCAATCGGCACTCGCGCAAGCTTCGTCACCCCTGCCTGGTTCCCGTACCGCCGGCTTTGCGCGGCCTGCAGGGTGCCTTGCCACCACTAAACCCCAATCGAACGTCGACCGCGTGCAGCAAGCTTTCACATCTTACGCCAAGTCTCAGCCCCGCCTTAAACCGGAGAGTAGTCCCAGTTAAGCAACAAGGATTCAACCGTTCTACACGGATTGTACGAAGACATCGTACCAACTAAAGTCGAAGACGCAATACATAGATGTTTAGACTAGACATAGACGTAACGTCGCACTTTAAACACCGCTTATACCACCCAAGTTGAAGGATAGAACAATCTACGGGAAGTAGCACCAGAAGATCGCTTCGAAGGCTCCTGCATCTGACCTAGGATTAACTTCCTCCTCCAACACTTCCTTTGCATTTCGTTGGAACTAGCACAAAAACATATCTAGGTAGCAGAGTCGACTGGTTTGGTCATCGGAGCTGCGTTCCTGAGCATGACGGCTGTTAGGGAGCTGTCTTCGTCAACAACACCCCAGCCCAAGCTCCAAACATTCTCGATCCCCGTCTCTTTTGCATTCCACGAAGCTTCAAAATGATCGCTGACACTAAGCAAAGCAAAGTGTCCATAGAACCTGAAGCCTGACGTGGTGATTTCGGAGCTGGAATTGGCACTGTCGGCGAAGCCAATCTCGCCAGTGGAATTAGAGACATAGAAAGACTTGGATGTCCAGGTCACATTGCTCGCGGCGATAGCAGTCCAAATGCCATCAGAAGTTGCCGTCACTCAGCAAGGTCAGCCTTGTTAGAAAGGTAATTTCAGAATCAGATGTCCTTACAGTTGACCGCTGTCACCTCAGCACCGTCGGCCAATGCCGCGCTGTCGCCAACATAGGCAAGTCCTATGGTCTGTGTTAGAGTGACAACAAGATGTCAAACATACGTAGGATTAGGACTACCGCACCGTCGGCATAGAAGATCTCGTAGCCCCCAATTGCCTCACCACCGTAGGCGTAGAGCTTAAAGCTCTCCGAAGGCTCAGCTTGACGGCTCCTGATTCCAGCCACTGCTGCAACAGAAGTAGTGGCCAGGAGTGCAACAACGAAAATTGCTTTGCGAAGAAACATGATGTTGTACTTGGCAGTCAAACTCAAGTAATTTGAATATGAGAGGATATGGGAGAGAAGTCTTTGAGAATGCCTATCTTTATATGTTGAGCGCAGGGCAATATTGGATTCTGACCATTCTCCAGTCAAGCTACACAACGTCGGCAGTACGCGCGATAGCTTGCTCCGCGAATAGTCCCTGATAGTGATGTGGGTGGTCAAAGCGCTCATGGGGTTTCGAAACGGGTCACTCATGACATGGGCCGCGTAATCCGGCGTGACGCCAAGCAAGACATGCGGACATGCAGCATCTCTGCGGTCCCCTGCTCCAGTCCACGCGTACCTGATCCTATGGCTACCCGATGTGTCTAATCCATTTCCAGCGCGGACCGAATCGCTGAGAAAGTCGTTTGTAATCGATTTGCTCGTCCGTGCCCCACCTTCTGGGGTAGCAACCCTCGGAAAGGCTTCATATCCGCGACTCAAGTCCGAGTTATGCCGCGTTTAGCAGCGTAGGCGATTGGCTCTATGCACACAATATCGGAATTTGGCCACGCTACGAACCCAGTATCCTGGATCGGTGAGCCACGGGGCCGAACCTTACGCAAGTGTACCTTAGTCTCGGGACCAACCGCGTCGGTGTGAATGCGGCCCGTCACGGGAGTAGTCCCCCCGAGTATTGGACAATCCACTCAGGAGGAGGCTTTCAGGCACCGTTGAAGGTGAGACCCACAGGTTGTCGTTAAGGACGCCCCGTGCGTGCCGCGGCTATGACAACACCCTTCCTTATCGCTGTGTTCCTGACCCGCCCTAGCCTGCATGATGTTGCCTTTCAGCGCTTGGGACATGATCTAAAAGGTGTGTGGCTGCAGAACATTATTCTGGCAAGGATGTTCAGGGTTGGCCACTTTGACGAGTCTGTAGGCATGCTCCTGGTCGAAAACCATCGGCAGAACGAAGTCTGGCTAAGACCTTAACTGAGCGAATGACCTTTAGTGCCTAATTGAGATGATATGACATCCGAGTTTGTAGTTGAAAATGTAAAGACACGAAGAGAATAGGCCATGCCACACCTGATGCACCAGCAGTTGGTGGCTTGCGAAAGCGCCTAGTGAAAGGGTGTACCGATATATGCGCTATAGGGTACTGAAATTGCGGAGGACTATCCTATTGCGTTAGCTTGCCTGGCCTGAGCCGATAGTTAGGTTTGTACGGAGTCGGGAGTATGCAGCAAGTCAGGAGGAAAGGGTCGGACACACGGGGCTACACACTGCCGGTCCTGTACGTTGTAGGGAAGAATGAATGCGATGGACAATAAGTCCCACGTTTACAGCTACGCCCTGCATTATCACTTGTGTCGGTTACCAAGAAACCGGTATCATTCGCCTCGCCTCCGCATTCACCACTAACATGCTAGCTCATCTTACTTTGAGGTAGCAAACTAACATCTATCTGCGACTCCATGTAAGAGAATGCAACCCTTTTGCAACAATAGTCAGCCATCCCAGTAGCCATCCACGATGCAACATCACATTGTGTGTCCGGAATTTGACCGACCGCATCATAAATCCCTGCACCGACCGCTCAAATGTCAATCATAGACGCCCAAGATGCACGCTAAGATATTGTTCTTATCGAAAGCCTCGACCCCTAGCCAGCGGACTTCGGGTCAGTCAGTGGCCGTGGTCAGCACGCATTCTCACGATTCTAGGATTCATTGAAAATTGCCAAACGTGGAACGGCAGCTACGGCGACGACATGCAACCGACCGAACATCGTGTCAGGAGGACACCACCAGGTGCTTCAGAGCACATGAAGGATGCGTCTAGGTCAATAAACTTCTAATCTTGGCCAACGCACAGTTACGCGTCAATGAAAGGGCGATTTCGCGCTGGGAATTGCCTCGGACATATCGTGTGAACGATTTCAGAGCCATAACTCAGACTTGTCATTTAATGACTTAAAAGCACGCTCCGAGAACAGCGATAACTCATCATCGACGGGTCGGGCCTCTTCGCTGGCCACTTGTTGCTCTTCAGACGTTCCGCTTCTACTTCAGCGCTTCAGTCTCATTCTTGTCCCTCTCTCAGACATTCCTACATCGTCAAGATGATTCCGAGCTCGATATGGGTCTTACCCACGCTGGCATCAATTTTGATGGCCAACTCTGCTGTAGCTGCAGTCATCAAAGGCACGCCCCAGAAGAGAGCTGCCTGTGCTGGTAACACAGCAAACGACCGCGGCACTTGGTGCGATTACTCGATCGACACCAATTGGTATGACGAGGTCCCCGACACCGGAGTTACTCGCGAGTACTGGCTAGAGCTCTCTGAGACTGAGGTTGCCCCTGATGGTTTCACGCGGACAGGCATGACAGTGAACGGTACCATCCCAGGACCGACCATCGAGGCCGACTGGGGAGACGAATTGGTCATTCATGTGATCAACAACCTCAACATTAATGGAACATCTATCCACTGGCATGGACTTCGACAGAATTACACCAATCCCAATGATGGAGTTGTATCAGTGACACAGTGCGCTCAAGCGCCTGGAGACACGTTCACCTATCGTATGCGCGCTACTCAGTACGGAACTTCTTGGTACCACTCCCACTTCTCACTTCAAGCCTGGGATGGAATATTCGGCAGCATCGTCATCAATGGTCCCGCCACCGCCAACTACGACGTGGACGCTGGACCAATCATTATCGCTGACTGGTTCCACGAAACGGTGTACTCCTTGGCCCAGGTGGCTGCTACTGGGGGCCCACCCACACCAGAGAATGGCCTAATCAATGGTACCAACGTTTTCGGCGATGATGGCGCCGACAATCAGACGGGCTCCCGCTTCGAGTTGGACTTCGAACCTGGCACTTCCTACCGTCTCCGCTTGATCAATGTTGCGATCGACAGTTTCTGGAAGTTCAGTATTGACAACCACACTTTGACTGTTATTGCTGTCGATCTTGTCCCCATTGTGCCCTTCACCACAGACGTCGTTAGCATCGGTATAGGTGAGTCGAAGACCCTTTCCATGTTCTGACTAGATTTCATACTTACAACGAACGCAACAGCACAACGAGTCGACGTCATTGTGACTGCGGATCAGAGCGATGTCGCAAGTGACTTTTGGTTACGCTTCATACCGCAGTCAGCATGCTCTACTAATGATATGGCCGACAACATCAGAGGCATTGTACACTACAGTGGCTCTACCGGTACACCGAATACAACCCAGTACGATCCTGTGGATGACTGTCTTGATTTCGACATGGACCTTCTTGTTCCGCATGTTGCTCTTGATGTGCCCGCGACTCATCTTTACGAGGAGAAAGAGGACGTTGGTCTGTCCTTTGGCGCGGACGGTACCATCAAGTGGACGGTCAACGATTCTTCCCTCCAGGTTCAGTGGGGCGACCCGACTGTTGTGCAAATTCTCAACAACGATACCGACTTTGATACGTCACAGAACCTCATACGGCTTGATGAGGCTAACGAGTGGGCCTACATCATCATCGAGACGACCCTCAATGTTGCTCACCCTATCCACGTCCATGGCCATGACTTCTTCATTCTAGCCCAGGGAGATGGACTGTATAGCACGGATACCGCACTTAAACTGAGCAATCCTCCTCGCCGTGACGTTGCTATGCTTCCAGCCGGTGGTCATCTTGTACTCGCTTGGGTCACCGACAACCCAGGGGCTTGGCTTGTGCACTGCCATATTGGATGGCACACGGTGTAAGTACAACATCATATTTACTTCTATGTTGTACTAACGATGACAAGGAACGGTCTTGCTTTCCAATTTGCCGAACGTATCAGTGAGATACCGTCCATTCTGGACTCTTCTAGCATCCAGGGAACTTGTGATACTTGGAATGCGTTTGCCGACGAGAGAGGCATTGTAGTTGATGACTCGGGCGTATAGAAGAGATGATTACTGATTCTTAAGGAGATGTTATCTTGTATCTCGACCAGCTTCATGGTCGGCGAGGGTGACCTTTCCTTGTAAACGACTTTTCATATGTATCGAAATATGAATTTTGAATAACAATGTGCAACGTTCATATCAAGCATTTCACTAAGCTCTTATTTGCCCCTATGCTAGGATTCCTAGGCAGATAGGAGAGGATGCCTGTCTGATCCAGGGAAGTGAGCAGGGCGCTGTGACACGAACAGAATCAAAGTGAAACGAATGTGTCGAGCGAATACATTTTATCATTGCATGTTGATCATGAAACAATAGCTTCCAGAGGAACGACATTGGTTGGGTCTTTTCCTTTACACTTGAACAATTAGCCATTATCAACCATCAGTCTTTTTTCACCGACAAGGTATCGCCTCTTTCTTCGTCACCTCTTCCCGTCTTCCTCTTGGGGTAACTCGGGCACATTCGCCACACACACACAGCACAGCATCTTTCAATGCTATCGCAATCACTGACACTGTGGAGCCATCGGTAGGGCTGGATTCCAAAAGGTGGTGCTCTCATTGCTTGCTTGCGAAGTCACCAGCCTTGCAGCGCATGTAATCATTCGAACAGCATAATACCAACCTAGATACACGACTTGCCCCTCTCCCGAGGATAGCACGTATTATAGAGTATGTACATTTGTGCCTTTCATGTCAAGCAAAGTGCACTCTTTGATTGACCGACTCTGGAGTGTATGGTTCATTGAACCGGAATGGGTGGATTTCATTATGACGATTGTTTTTGAGCCCTACTATCTCGCAATCAAGGCAATAGACATTCGACTTCGCCATGATTCCTTTGGTGTGGCTGTGGCCCGTGCAAGGTGGCACGGGGCAGAAGGCTGGTGGATGTCGTGACTTCACGAACTTGAAGAGCACCATATGTGACGAGCAAGCAATTTTCGCCGACTGTTTTATAGAACGTTCTCAACCCGTGCAGAAACTTTGTTACTAAAGTCATCGCGTTGAAACATGATCGCTCGACCATTTCGGCGCATCTGCTCACCTCAATAGATCTTATCAACTTCAGCCTACTCAGGCATGGAATGTGATCTTGCTCGAAAAAATTGATGTTTGGCTTCAATATATCCTAGTTTCCAATGGCAGAGCTTCATAGATCGTCCACAGAGGCTTAGCAAATGGGAGAGGCGCACCATCGCAAGCTCCTAGACGTGTTGCATATGGGGAGCACAACCAGGGCGACACGTTTCGACTGCATGCCCCCATTTCCAATTTTCACTGCTTTCTTAGCCCACACAAAGCGGTCTTCGTGCCCTGCTAAACACCAATCAGACATCACCAGTGGGTACAGTCAAAGTGTAATTGGTGCGGCAGGTATCTGATCGGTGAGTACATTGCAAAGCTCCCTGACCGGTTTATCCACTGGATCATTACCCTAACAAAATGCATAACACTGCCTACGACCCTCCCGGTCGCAGCTCCAAAGCCGAAGGGCAAGATGACCGGTTTCACAAGGGCCTTTGTCGACGTGATTGGAGCAGATCGCTTCGTATACGGGATTTCGCCTCACTCAGTAGGTCGCTTATACGAGCGGAGAAGTCAGATTGGTCGGTTAACCACTCGAGCCATGCGGCACGACATAGCTCGGGCCTCGACGGATTTTTGCACTGCAATCTTAGCCCGCACGAGGAGTGCCGTAGCGACGATCGACTCGAACAAGGAGTCTCTCACTTTGCTCAGCATCTGTAGCGACATCATTGGCGCAAAGGCGCTTAGCTAATCCACATCATCAGAGAAGGATTCGCAAGGCTGGCTGCTTTCCAGGCACTCGGTCAAAGACTGGTGAATCTTCACTGCAATTTTAGCGCAGGCGAGGTGGTATTCCTGCCTAAGAGGCACCAATCAAACATTGCTTACATAAGAGTAAGCAATTGGGAATGATGGTGGTCTTGTGATTGACTGCTACAACATCACGGGAAGTGTGAAAGCTTCCGAAGTGCACTATAACGTTACTTCGGTTTTCCGTACCGCTTCCTACTTGCTTGGGGGCAAGCTAAGATGAAAAATGTAGAGTGATCGCCGGAAGACGCCATAGACAGGCAGCTTGACTTGCGCCGAGTACATATGTAACATGTAATCATCTACATGACGCAGCATCGTGTATGATCGTATGAGCGTACATACTTTTACTCTTCGGTTGCATCGCCGGTGGATCACTTCACCAACACGCCACGGACGGATCATGTGCACTGCATTCTCTAGCGCGGGCGAGGACCGCGAGTTGCTGACTAGCCAATCAACATGCAAATCTACCTTCGATCACCATCGTGCATAGGTGTCCAACCTCAGAAACGTCACTGCAATCTTTAGCGTGGATGAGGAGACCAAAGCCAGAGGTGTACACTCGCTTTGTGCTCGAAGGACACCTACTCGATGTGTTACTTCTAGCGCTGGTAAGACCGCTTGACGCGCAATCTCCCAGTAAGTGTTCCTCTGCTGTAGAAAGCCAGTCTGATACCCTGAATGTCTAGATTGTAGCTTCAGACCCCATCACAGTGGTATATCCAACCCATCCTCTTCCCTCCCTCCCCTTCCTACCCATCAATACCCCACCTTCTTCTCACCCTCCTCCAAATGCGTCCTCCGATCCACAACCAACCTCCTCTGAAAATACTCCCCACCCCAAACTCCTCATACTCCCCTCCTCCTAAACCCCTCCAACACACTAACCCTCGCATCCTCATCCGGACTGAAAAAGAACGGCATACTATACCGCTCCTCCCCCCCGATATTCCGCACCCGGTGCACAGTACTCATCCACGCTCCCCCAGTCACTAATTTGAGGAAGTCCGCGATGTTCACCACAAACGAGTGAGGCTGGTGGTGCACGGGGACCCATATGCCGTTTGCGTTGAGGACTTCCAGCGCGGGGTACGCGGTGTGGCTTTGGGTCACGAGCGTGAACCAGCAGAAGTCAGTGTGGGCGCCGATGCCGACGTCGGAGTCGGAGGCTTGGGGTGGGTAGTGCACTGCGCGGACGTTGGTCATGGGGTGTTTCGTGATGCTGTCGAAGTGGTCTTCTGGAAGATCCAAAGCGAGGGCGAAGATGCGGAGGAGGCGGCGGGAGAAGGTGAGCATGGCGGTGTAGTAGGTGTAGAGGGCGGGGCGGAAGAAGGTTGCGGTGGGGTGGGAGGGCCATTGGTTGCGGGGTGCGACATGAAGGGGAGAGGGGGAGGTTTTGTTCTGGGTCGGTGGCGTCTTCGCCCATGAGGAAGCCTTCTTTGAGGTCTGGGTGGGGTTAGAATTGATGAGAGGGGTGAAGGGGGAGAGACGTACCGCCTCGGGTGCTGGGATCGAGTTTGCCTTCTAGGAAGGCTTCGTAGCCCCTGAACTTCTCTGTCTTTTGGTTGTGGACCTCCATCTTGACTTCTGTGGGGAGATCGAAGAACCGCTTCACGGCTGTGAAGGTGTCGTCTAGTATCTGCTCGTCCACCCCGTGGTTGACTGCATAGAAGAAACCCACATCCCGACATGCGGCACCGACCTCTTTCGCTAGCTCCTTACGATCCTCAAAGCTGTCCGAGTATATGCGGCGCATATCAATCTTTGGCACCTCATTGAACGTACTCTTCGCCGCCTTGCCAGTCAGAACGCGCCGCTTCCCAAAGACCCCGCCATCGTGGTAGTGAACGTACGTCTCGGACTGTGTTTCAGTGGTCGACATGGTGAAATGTGTATTTTAGCAAGCCTCCCCTTGTCCAGCGTGGGCACCCTTCACTTTAAGCATGGGATGGTGAATGGACCGCGGCAGTTCCACCACTCAGCCTTATGTCACCGGAAATGCGCGACTGCGCGACGGGAAGTCTAAAAGCAAGCCCAGCAGCTACCTCGTACCGCCAATCGGGGATAAACACATGTGATGCCATGCCCAACTTCCATGCACGTCAAAACGGATGCGGCAATAGGCGCACGCGAGGCCTTCCTCCACCCTATAAGATAATTGTTCGCAACGGATAAGACCGCAAGTTCGCCGCAGGGCGCCGTAATCAGCTGGTCGCTAGGCCATTGTTTGATTCCTCCGTGGAGAAGGGGGTGTAGTTTCCGAAGGCGTTGGTCGGCAGATGCACTCGGGATACCGAGCGTTCGGTAGGCCATGTGGTCGACTAACGCAGCACGCCGATATCAGTCCTCGGTTTAATGTTACGAGGGAGTGGAGCGAGAGCGTGATTTGTTGAGCAAGTTAATGGATCTCTGGAAAACGATAACAGCCGGGGCCAATGTGTAAGGCTGTAGGGATGCGAATCCTCCTGGCGCGTACTGCCGTTGAAGTGTAGCAGTGAACACGTGTAGTAAGCGCGGAGGAGCGCGCATCGGTGTGATACCTGATCAGCGCTGCAAGTAACTCCTGACTCGCACCTGAGGACAAATCTACAATGTCTGGCGAGCGCCGAGATTGGCCGCTTCGTGTATCACGCACTGCTGGACTCGTGTCTTGGTGGAGCGTGTTAGCCAAGTTGCTGTAGATCAACATTTACCCATTACCCCGCCTTCACCGTTTACAACTTTCGCTGAGCGAATGAGCGAGTAACAGCAGGGACACGAACTTGCCGGTTGCCGACTGACAGTTGTGAGAGGATGCTACACTTCATGGGGTGATTCATTTCTCAATCACACATGTGCAACTCAGATGGCAAGCTGACTCGTCCGGGGCAAGATAGAATGGCTGTAGTAAGAAGGGACAACGAACGGGCGCATAACAAGGGGTCGAAGTGCCATAGATAGCGCCATCCATGCATGCCATAGGAGGGGCTACCAATACCCAGACTGTGGGGCAGGGCTGCTAGAGCTGCGTAAAAAGTCGTAATTGGTTCGATTTGACCCTGTGTATGCAAAGTGAGGCTTCCTCGGTATGGCGCATGGAAAAGAAAACCATTCGTTCTATAGCAGATTGCTGTCGATAACTCAGAGCGCACCGTGGCAATAATGCCACCACACGCAGGACCTCTAAGTGGGAAATCTAAAAGGGCAGATTCGCATTCCTCGCAACCCATCAAACTCCAATCCAAGTCTGTCAAGCCGCAAGACCGTGCCCGGGGGATATCATATCGTGGACCTCTCCAAAGACCACGCACGCAAACAAACCAAAAAGACGCCCACGTCTGCAAGCTACTTCTTGCCACCTAGCTTGTGCAGGAACTCTTTGCCTTTGTCTACAATGCCCTTGTCCGCCTTGCCGTCCTCCCGCTTCACATCCTGACTCTTCCTCTCGGCAGGCTTCTGCTCGCCGGACTTCTTCTCCTTGGCCTCAGCAGCCGCCCTCTTCACCTCACCACTCGCTCTTGCCTTCTTCTCGTCCTCGGTTATCGCAATGTTCGCCGCACCCCCGCGCCCATAATGATGAGGTCCCTCGGGTTCACGATGCGTCGGCGCCTCGACGTCTTGGGCGGCGCGCGCGAGCTCCGGGTGGTTTGGGTCGTTCTTGGCCATGTTGCCGGAGCCGCCGCGGCCGGTGGTGTAATGGTCAGACTTGAGGGTCGGCGTGACGAGGTCTTTGGTGGTGATGTGTGCGGCAGGGTCTTCTTTGCCAATGTTGCCTTAAGGAGGAGCTGTTAGCGGGCGCGCAATGCGTAGGTGTGCGGAGGGCGAGAGGTGGGAGAGGGCGAGAATGGGGAAGACGGACCTGCACCGCCGCGGCCGTAGGAGGCGACGCGATCGGGAGTTGCGCGCTGGTCTGCCATGTCGTCTGCGTGTGTGTGTATGCGCTGAAGTGGTTGTCGCAAAGCTTGAGGTAGCGCGGGTCGCGGTCGGTCGTAGAGTCAAAATGCGGTGTGAGGTGAGAGCAAGTCCAAGTCGCAAGCGGCAGGTGTAACAACAGACAAAGCCCGGCGGTAGATGACGCGACCAGCAAACAAGACAGGGCAAACAAAAGCGTGGTCAATCTATCTCACCGCGCGCAGCCCAGGCAAACAAGGCGTCATCGTGGTCCCGCGCCACGGTAACAGAGCCTTTTCAGACCCTGCGCGCCGGTGTGACGGCGCCAGCGCCCTCTAGCTGTGCCTGGCATCTCTGGGCACCGACTTCTTTTGCTCTAGGCGAGCCATGTGCGTGACGAAATTAATTGACCGTTGCCCTGTTGCTCTCCAGGTGGTGCGGGATTCCATTAGCTAACAGTTTGGCATGGCGGGGTGAGAGTGCGCCTCGGCGAATGCGCGTGCTTGGTAGGCGCCGTTTGTATGGATACTCGGTGGGAATGTTGTGCTATCTCGCTGGAAGTTCCATGTCGCGGACCTTTATGGTGCGTTGTGATGAGATTCGAAGAAGGTAATGTGGCCTGCGATGCAGCTCTACACAATGAACTGACCACGCAGCAAAAAGCAAACATCCTCAGACGTAAGCAAGTGATGCAATCGCTCACACTTGCAGCGCCAAGACGCTAACCTCAAAGCGTATCTCTGTACCAACCATTCGTTTATCTTCAACATCGACAACAATGATCGACCTCTTATCGCTGCTCTTATCACGCTCAGATAGCGAATCGATTGTATTGACCTCATACCCGGAGATGCGGAACGAGAGTGGTCATCAATGATGGCGGTAATTGAAACGTCTAGAAGCGGAAGCTCAACCGCAGCCTTCGCTGCTCAACTTCCATTGACACTAACAATGGAATGGTAATAGAGACATCAAGGAGATGGGTATACCGACAACGCCAACATCCATTCCAGAAATCGTGACCACCTGTCAAGATCCAATATGGACTCCAGTTTCGATCTTGATCATAACAAAGCTCCCTTCTTCTTCTTCTAGATCTTCAACAACATCCGCACCGTCGGGATGAAATGCTTCGAATCATCCTCTTGCTGCTCAAAACTTTGCTTGAACGCTGCCAACCCCGCAATGATACCGCATATCATAAACACCAGACTGATCATGGACCAGATGATACCCCAGCACTGAGAAGACCCGCCATACCGCTTCGCGAAAACACTGGCATCGGAGGAATTCACTTTCCTCAATATGAGGTCATCGCAAATATCCCACACCGAGTACAGACTCGACATGACGCCGATGAAGAGCTGCACACTGTTAGCGCCCATTGCAAAACCGAGGATTTGAACACTCACCACAACGAACCGAAGCGCCTCGGCATGCTTGATAAACCAACACGCAATTAACAACCCCACCGCCAGCAAGATCGTCAGAATCGTAAGCCAGTCTTTCTTTCCCCACCACAGCGTCAACAAAAAGCACACCCCCAGCACAATACTACAGATCTTGCTGGCGTTGATGTTGAACCCGCAGAACGTCAACAACGCGCCGATGAGACTCGATCCAAGATAGCCCGCAGGCAGAGTAATGGCCTGCTTCCCGCCGCGCATGTGCGTGACGCCGCCCTCATGCGGGTCCAACGAGATGGACTCGACGCGCCCCCCGGTGCAGCACGCGGTTATGGCGTGCCCAAACTCATGGAAGGCGATGACCAGCATCTATGCAAATATGAGTATTTCCACACGCGATATTCAAACTTGGATACATAGGGATGGGATGCAGGAAAAGACTAACCTTGAACGGCCACAACACCCACCGCACATACGGCAGATTCCACAACAACGCAATAACAACCACATACGCGCATATCACACCCAGCGTCACGCCCTGCGTGTGGTTCACGCTCAACCCCCGTCTCGCGATATGCTGAGCCGTCGCGGGCCCAGCAGTAACTAAAGCGCGGCGCGCTAGAGCACCCACCGTAGCGCGATCCACCGAAGCGTGCGAAGGTATCAGGGGCGGCATGATGTTGTTCACCTTGTGTCTGCCAAACAAAGTCCAACGAAGGTACTGCAAGCGAATGTAATAGGAATGAACACGAGAGAGATGCGAATAGAGCGGGGAAATGTTTGAGTTTTGTTAAGCTGAGGTTTGACACGCATGTCGGCAGGGCAGATGACGACGCGCGCCGAAGCCGCGCCACTACGGCTATTTTTGGTGTGGCGCAGCGCGGATCGGGGCCTCCCTTTCTCTTGGGAGTGGCAGCTCGACTCTGCATCAACGAGACCACTTCTATTGCCAGCGTCCGACGTGCTTCGTGACGGCGCAGGCACATCCAGTCTCTGTGGCAATGCGCTACGTGTAGGATAGGCAGACCGCCAACTTAAAGATGGGAAGGCTTTAAGAGTCTAATGCCGCCGGCATGGCGACGCGCAAGCAGCACCATGGTGCACCTGCAGAGCGCACTCCACGCAAGGAATGGACAGAGCTATTCCTGCGACTATTAACGGATGCAACGGCTTGCCGATTGGTGGCCTTCGCATTGGGAACCGAGAAAACCGCTTGCTGATGGTGGTTGAGGATTTTGCGAGGTCCAGACATGTCTTTTAAAGGTGATGTATCTGGCCCTATTAGATACAGGTGAAGCCTCCTGCTCCATACCTCCTAAAATCTGTTGTGGTAGTGGAAATTTCATGGTACACCTTTCTTCAAACCGACAGCTCAAGTCCCATTATGCTGACCAGCTCACAATACTCACGCCTGGTGCGGTTATGCTCTCGTGTCCCTTAATCGAGCCGTCCGCCCTCTGTTCTACACCTCCGCTAGTCCCCTTTCACGCAGCTTTCCTTGCGGGACCTTGATCGCCGAACGCATTATGGAGGCTTTTCAGTATCTCTCCCAGCTCTTCGGGCCTGCTCTTGTGCCGTTCCTGTAGCCCCTGGATGACCATGTCGTAGAGAGTTGCGCATCGCTTGTCCATGTCAGCGATTTCAGCCCTCAAACCCGTATTTTCGTCGGCCAATTGTCTCCCCGCTTCTTTCAGCTCTTGGGTCTCGATCTCATGCGGGCCTTCAAGCCTACTATTCCACTCCCATAGGTAGTTGAAGGAGAGGTTCCTCGCTCCATGCGCCTTTTCCTCCCTATCAAGGGCGTCGGAAAGCTCGTCAACCTTTTTTTCAAGCTCTGGCTTCTCGAGCTGGTACGTCATCTTCGTCTTCTGTATTGAGCATTGCCACAAACTGATTGTGAGTGTTTTGCGCGGCTGCAAGTTCGTTCATTGCGTCCTGTAATATCTGCGAGGCAACCCCCAATCCCGCCGAATGTCCTTGTGCGGTCCTCTTCCGCTGACTCAACATCTTCACTGGTTTGTTCTTGCGACAGTGAGAGATGGGTACGCCTCGTGGTATTGTCTGCTCGTCGCGGGATGATGATCGAGGACTCGTGGTCAAGTCGATAGCGCCACTGGTAGAGTCGTGAAGGTTACCGGCTGATATCTGTCGAAGAATTGCGGAAAGACGTTTAAGCTGTGGGCCATTAGCAAGGGTCGCACCGAAAGTATTAGTGTGAGCTTACGTTTTGCAATGCCTCATTTACAGGTGCGCCGGACCCGCTCGTGCGCGTCTTGCCAACGGATGACACGGACGCAACCGTCGACGACCTCGTTGTCACCATAGTGACGACGGTGGGAAGGGTTGTGAAATGAGTGGCACAAAATAAGCTGCGTGAACGAGTGGAGGAAGCCCTAGGAGCGAGAGGAGCGAGAGTGTGTGCAGTACGTCAAGTCTAGTCATGGCCAGGCGGGCGAGGAAGGTACAAGGGACACAATTCGGCAATTCCACGTCAGAGAGGGAAGCTGCGGACCTGCACTTACTTTCGCACATTCTCGTATATGAATTCTACAATCTCCTTATTCTGCCGTCTCTTGCAAATACTGCGGGCCACTCTCTTCCGCTCTTGAATATGATCTTACAACTCTTATGACTAGAACCGATCTAGTGAATGCTGATCCCTTTGATGCCCTCAAAGAGAGCTTCCTCTCTCACCAATACCTCCCTGTTGAGGTCCTTCTTGTTGACACTGGGAATGCCCGCAATGTGCAAGGTCAGCTCAAGGTCTCCAATCAAGCTCTTCAACACATGGCTCACTCCACCCTCGCCGCCCAATGTCAGACCGTAAACGTACGGCCTTCCAACCAGCACGCAGTCTGCACCCAGAGCAAGTGCCTTTGCGATATCCGCTCCGGATCTCACACCGCTGTCGAAGAAGATCTTCAGCTTGTCGCCTACGGCATCAACAATGTGTGGGAGCATGCCTAAGCTGCTGTTACCGCCATCCTGGATTCGAGTCAGTGCAGTTCGTCCAAAAGATAATTTGCATGTCTAAGTCATTATCGATGGCGGCTGACAGATCCCGAATGGTGCCAACATCCGCGACAATCAAAACATAGATTCTGTACCCCGACCTTACTTACCTGCTGCCGGCCTCCGTGATTGCTGACGACGATGCCTTGGACGCCAATCTCAGCAGCTTTCCTCGCGTCGGCAATGCTCTGGATTCCCTTGAGTACGATCGGACCATCCCAATGCTCTTGCAGAAATTTCACATCTTCCCAACCATGGCTGAAGCCGTTGAAAATAGTGCGCATCCATCCCGCGGCCGCTTCACCCATCTTCTCCTCAACCTCAGCCCCGTTCTGCTCCTTGAACTGCTTGCGATACACCGGGTCTGAAAAGCCAAGCGCGACGCCAATCTGATCAGCTCGCAAGAACGGATTGAACCCATTGTCCATATCCGAAGGCCGCCAACCTAAGAGGTAAGTATCCAGCGTAACGAACAGCGTCGTATAGCCCGCTTTCTTCGCCCGCTGCAGCAAGGAGATGGTTATATCGTCATGTTCGCGATTCGGCCAGTACAGCTGGTACCATCGCTGTCCGTCTTCGCCGTTTGCCTTTGCTACATCCTCGATGCTCGTGCTCGCTGCTGTGCTGAGTATGTACGGCACCGCTTCTTTTGCTGCGGCCTTTGTAGCAGCGACTTCGCCTTCGGGGTTGAAGATCCTTAACACACCAACAGGCGCCATTGCAATTGGGACCTGCAGCTTCTCTCCGAAGATTTCCGTTGTTAAGTCAGGGAACTTCTTGTGACCTGTCAGTCTCCTGGGTACGATACTCCACTTCTTGAACGCGGACTTGTTCTTGTCGTCTGTTTCGCGCGAGCCCGCGGAGCCGTAGACGTAGCCTTTTGACTCGGCGGACATGCGGTCACATGCTAGAGATTCCCATTTCGAGGCTTGGAAGGTGAGAGGCGGGCGTTCGTATTGGAGACCTTTCTGGTAGGTCTGCATTTCGTAGTCATATGCATCTTGCTGGGGTTTGTGGTCCGCGAACTTGGCGCGGTGGTGCGTTGCGTGCTCGTGCGACATGATAGTATAGGTGCGATGGATTGGTTCCCAATGCTAGATACAGGTGGCCTCGCGCTTTTCAAAGGCTTCTATTGACCGCGTATTAAGGCACGGCACCGCCGTAGTGGGCTCCGACTTCTACATATAGTTTCCAATATGTACACATACGTAATGTGTGTAAAAGTCGGAACTACCCGGCTTCGAATGACGCAGGACAGCACTCAGTCTTCTCCCACTTCTACTGACCCAAATATGCAGACGTGTCCCCTATGTAGGAGGACTCATGAGAGTGAATCAACCATTTCCTTGGCCGAGAAGAGACTGCCAAGATGTCAAGCCTCACAGGAGTGCCGTTGCCGTGGCTGGAGTTTGGTGATGTGCAAGTACGTCATCGCGTTGAACCCACCGACCCCGCTCCATCAGGAAGGTGGGACCCTCGCAACACCATGATGAACGCCGTTTGAAGATCTCAAGACATAATGCCTGACCATCATCAAAGCTGAGCCAACAGCTTCTCAATCGACTCCCTGCCCCTCCTCGCCATAACCTCAGGCCCACACTCCTCCCTCTCCGTCTCCTTCAAAAACCCCTCCAGGCTAACCCACCCATCCCATCCGTACTCCACCAACCATGCCCGGGCAGCATCCACAACCGGAAAATACCCAGGCTCTTCCAGCGGAAACGGCCGCGCGATTCTCGACCACAGGAGTCGCGCATCTCGTACTTCGAGACTCTCAAATGCAGCATCGTTCATCGAGAGCGGCGGGCTCCATCTCGACGCATCGGACAGCTGCACGTAAGACACGAGCTCTTTCGGGCAGTCTGAGAGGAACTCCTGCATCGACCGTCTAAGCGCTTCGTCGCCGCCGGGTATACGTCCGTCCGCGGCGCAGGCATCGCCCCAGATGCGGGCGTGGACGTGGTACGAGTCCAAGCATATCTGAAAATTAGGCCTGTTAACTGCTTTTGTGATGCGGAGGCTGTCTTGCCAGAGGGCGTTGTGCTGTGCGAAGGCCACGGCTTCGTAGGCGATGGTGAGGTTGTGCTGTGAGGCGAGGTCGGACAGGGCCTGGAGCTCGCTGACGATGAGTTTCGAGTCGCTGGTGGAATTGGGGAGGAACATGGAGGGGACTTGGATGATGCGTGTGCCGAGGGCGAGGGCGACGTCTATCCATTCTTGCGCGTGTTGTAGGCGTTCTGAAAGCGGGACTTGGAGGTTTCCTTCGAAGTTCTTGAAGGCGTTTATTGTTAGGATGGTGATGGAGTGGTCCGCTGCGAAGGCACCGATCTGGCGAGCCGACTCAGTTGGGGACTGCGAGTGCGATGCTGCATGTTGCAGGAGCTCGTTGTAGACCAATTCGATGCCTTGGAAGCCATTCGCAGCCGCTGCCTGTATCTTGCGTTCGAGCGTGTGAGAAGGGTGCTTCCCTAGCGAGATGGATGCCACCGCCCACTTGATATCCCTACTGGGCTTCATAATGGATATTCTTCTATTGAATTTTAAAGCATTCTGCCTGCTAAAGCAAGCCAACCGTCTATATGACTCCGGAGCAATGCGCTCATATCCGATCCGATCCCTCACCGGCCTTCGCACCCGTGCGACCCCTCGGCCCGATATCGCTAACCATTCGCAAGGTAAACTAGAAACTGATACACCCGCCATCAATCTTCAGGAAACTGCCCGTGATGAACTTGGAATCCTCGTGGCCCAGGAAGGCGACTACGCTGGAGACGTCGTGCGTCTGTGCGAAGCGGCCCAAGGGCATACCGGCCTTCAACTCCTCCAGCTTCTCCTCGCTCCAGGCCTCCCGGAACATGGGCGAGTCGACGCCGCTGGGGTGGATGGTGTTGACTCTGATGCCGTCTGGACCCAGCTCGTTCGCGGCCGTGAGTGCGAGGCCCCGCAGCGCGAATTTGGATGCTGAGTACACGCTGAGTCCTGGCGTGCCCCGCAGACCGGCAATCGACGAGGTCAAGATGATGGAGCCTCCGTTTCCAAGGACCTTCATCGCCTTGCCCACGTGCTTGAGGCCGAGGAAAGCTACAATCTCGTGTGTAAGTACTGTGTTGGATGCCCGACAGGGTGTAGAGGAGCCACCGTTTAGGAATAGCCCCGGCAAGACATACCCGACTTGACATTGATGCCCATGACCTCGTCGTACCGGTCCTCGGCCGTCTCCAGCAACGGCGTCGCCGGGTAACTCACGCCGGCGTTCAAGAAGGCAATGTCTATCCTCTTGAACATCTTCAGCGTCCGCTCGACGGCGGCGACCACGTCCTCCTCTTTCGATGCGTCGCCGACGACGGTCAGGATCCGCGATGTGGCAATCTCGCCCGTGTAGATTGCATCTTTGAGCGAGACGAGTGCCTGTTCCAGCGCCTCGAAGCTGATGTCCATGAGCGTGACGTTTGCGCCCTCGCGGATGAGCCGCGCAGCAGTCTCGACGCCAATCTTGCCGCCTCCCCCCGTGATGAAGGCGATCTTGTTGGCAAGGCGATGCGTCGCAAGCGGCACGCGGAAATAGCCCGTGGGGTTCCTCTGCAGTCTGGGCGTGTTAAGCGGCTCCACGCCGATGCCTGGAGTCCCGGGGGTGTTCATGCCGGCCATGTTGTCGTGTAGTCTCGTGGTAGCTGGTCGTTCCTGGGGAATTTTCTAACCTGCGTTGCTGCGCGGGGTGCCTTTATCAATGCTGCACCTGTATTTTCGTCATGTTTTGAAGATTTTCAGTTTGAGAGGGTCCCGCGAGTAGTGGCTCCACCTAGCTGCCCACCATCGCTCCACCCATTCGTTGCGTCACCACACAGCGCGGAGCATCTAATCATCTATCAAGGGACGAATACTGGAGCTCGCATCTCACCGGTAGCACGTTGCTGCGTAGCGCGGCCGAGTAGCCTCCCTCCCTGCACACCGACTCGTTCGAGAAACCTGCCGATGTCGCTCGGCAACCGGCAGCCACGTGACATCTCCGCAGTCACTACCGGTGCGACCCTGCGCTAAAGGGACGATGATTCAGGTAGCTCGTTGGCACTGTGGAGAATCAGAAGCTTGCCCCGTGGGCAGGATCGTGAAAATTTGGGGAGAAGTTTTCCGATGACTCCAAGGACGAATAAATTGGCTCCCATAGCCAAGCGGCGGGTGGCTGGCGGTTAGCATTCCAAGGTTGCTTGTTCCTCAGTTCTCGCATTGGACTGTCACCCTCAAGTGTCTTTGAAAGTGTGCGTCGGTAGGAGTCGCAGAGATGAAGAACCCTTTTGCGCTCAAAGAAGACGCATATGTGCACTCCGACATACCAAACGAAATCTATGGAGCCCGGCCGTACATTCTTGCCTTTTCGGCAGCATGGGCAAGTTTCATAGATGGCAGATAACATCATTGTGGGTATGCATTTAACCGTTCGGCAGGCTTCAGCAATGTACGGTTACGACAGCGCATTCATCGGGACGACTCTCGCACTGCCCTCTTTCAAGCACCGCTTCGGCCTCGATACCGTCTCTAAAAGCGAACTGACCAACCTCTCTTCGAACATTGTGTCCACTTTCCAGGCTGGCGCATTCTTTGGCGCCATCCTCGGGTTTTTCCTCGCCGAACGATGGGGCCGCAAGATCACCATTATGGGTGGAGGTGCTCTCTTTATGGTAGGTGCTGGATTGATGCTCCACGGCACTCTGGGGCTTCTCTACGCCGGACGTGCGCTAACGGGGCTTGCGATCGGCGCAACGTCAACCATGATCCCAATCTACATTGCAGAATGTAGCCCAGCGCTGATTCGAGGACGCCTTGTCGGCATCTTCGAAATCATGCTGCAAGTTGCGCTCGTCTTCGGGTTCTGGGTCAACTACGGCGTCGAGAAGAACATCTCCGGCACGCTCGACAAACAATGGCACATCCCCGTCGCAGCGCAATTCATACCCGCTGGCTTCCTCCTCATCAGCATGCCCTTCATCATAGAATCCCCGCGCTGGCTCGTCAGCAAGAACCGCCTTTCCCAGGCCACAAAAGCCCTCTGCTGGGTCCGCAACCTCCCCGCCGACCACGCCTACATCAAGTCCGAAATGGAAGAAATCCAAGCCTCCATCACGCACGAACTCGAAGTCAGCGGCGGCCGCCGCACCACCATCCAGATCTTCCGCGAGATCGGCGCCCCGGGCATTCGCAACCGCGTCCTCATCAGCGTCCTGCTCATGCTGCTGCAGAACTTGACCGGCATCAATGCCATTAATTACTACTCCCCGACCATCCTCAAAGCCATCGGCTACACGGGTACATCCGTGGGCCTCCTCGCAACCGGGATATACGGCCTAGTCAAGATGTTCACAACACTCATCTTCATGCTTTTCTTCGTCGACCGCTTCGGGCGCCGCCCCGCGCTGCTTGTCGGCGCCGTAGGCGCCATGGTCGCTATGTTCTACCTCGCAGGCTACTCCGCGATGAGCGGCAGCTTCGAGGGCAAGACGCCGGCCAGAGACTCCGGGAGCCAGGCTGCCCTGGCCATGATATACATCTACGCCATCTTCTACGGGTTCTCGTGGAACGGCATACCTTGGATTTTCGCAAGCGAGGTCTTGCCTAATAGGGTGCGCACGCTGGGCATGGTCAGTCCAAACTTGCTTGACTTCGATGAAATAGCCCTCCAGCTAATGAAGAGCAGATGTGCGCCGTCTGCATGCAGTGGCTCGCGCAGTTCCTCGTCGTGTACTCGCTGCCGCACATGATCACCGGCATCACGTACGGGACGTTCATCTTCTTCGGCGCGTGCACTGTACTCGCTTTCCTTTTCGCGTATTTCTTTGTGCCTGAGACTAAAGGGGTTGCGCTCGAAGACATGGATATTATGTTCGGGAGTGGGGCGCCGATTTGGGCGAGGATGGCGAGGAAGAGGTATGAGGAGGCGCATGAGGCGGGGATCAATACGGTTACTATAGCGCATGTTGAGGATAAGGAAAGACATGCAGCGAGAGACGGAGAGGCGTAAGGGCCTGTCGATCTGAGAACAAAATGCAAAAGCTTATTGTATGTTATCGCGGAGTTGCGCGTATCTTTGCCTGTCGCGGTCTCACTGCGCTGCTAGTCTCACAACGGATAACTGAATACGACAACATAGGAAGATGGCACGAGAAACTCTCACAAGGTAATCTTTATTTTGAGAGAACGCTTACGTTTACGTCATCTAAAACACGTCCTTCATCCGATGGACACCCGTTTGGAACGTTCAGCCGTACCTCCCATGGACGAACAACATACGAAGACACCACTTCCGTGGCCACAGCTGTCACTTTGCGCGAAACTGGTTGAAGACTATAATCGAAGAGATCTTGCCTTCGACTCCGACATCAACTCAGTCCTGCGTTTCCTTCGCTCTTATCACAAGGTCTATCGGAACTCTGTTTTGACGTAGTTCTCGTTTAGCGCGCTGGCAAAACACTTCGCAGAAGTGTCTTCAAAGCACATACTCTTCTCAAGTTAGTCTTCGGTTGGATGGCAGAGGAACTAAATCTGGATTGTGGGAGCTAGACATATCTAACCCCATTTCAACGAAGACGATGATGCACCTCATGGTAGCCACATATCGCATGTCGATGGCTTCGCCTTGGAGGGCTGGAAGGCGTCCACACATACACACAGGATATACTCTGGGAAATTGTGTAGGCAGCCCGAAGGCCTCCGTTTTTGGACGTGCTATCAGCGAGACTCAATTTCCAGAAAAAAGGGCATCGCGTATCGCCAGACGCTCGGTAGAGTCTTCAAAGAGGCCTGGGAAGCGCAGGATCTTGAGGAAGTGGACGTAACGCTGGGTTGAGCTCGGAGCCTCAAGAACCCATCGACGAGTCCATCTCGGAGGTTGTTGCTGACCACAGCTACGACCGCCGGTGCGCGTACCAGCAGGTGGTCCTCGAGCACAAATACCGAGCCGGGAATCCGTCGGCAACGTCAACCCACGCGGTTGGTAATGTAATTCCAGGATGCCAGAATCCTTTTCCATCACCAACGCGGGCTCCGATCATGCAAGCGTCGCGTTATCCAGTCTCGAAACGAAGAGAGGCGGTGGGCCAATGGGGGCGAGTCAAGATCGATAATTGCAGGATTATTCCAGGCGCTTACATGGGTAATGCACCTGATGCGTGGGTTTTGCGCACATGGGGCTGGGCGCACTTCCCCATCCTCGACAGTCTTGTCTAATTCTGACTCAACCTGCAGCTTCGCGTGTGAACCATTTGCATGAGAGGCGTTCTGTGGGAATTCTAGCGGCATAGGCTGCTCAGCGCTTCTGCCGATGGATTCGACCTTCCACTGCCCAGCAGCAGGTGCGTGCTTGGTTTCAGAACGGATATGTTTCTGCTAAGAGACAAGGAGTACTCCGAACAGTTTGTTAAGATATCGTGCCTTTAGTACCAGCACAACGGTACCGTTACGTCGGGTAGATGAAAGCGAAAGTGCCGAGACTAGAGGGGCGGGAGGATTCAAGACTAAGCTGTGTTTAGCGAATACGTTCTGTATCCCTGCTAGGAGGCGTGGGTCCAGCGTGGTCACGTCTCGGCCACGTGCAATAGATAAACTACTCACATCCGCGCGGAACCCTGGAGACGTTTGGAGCTGCCATCCTAGCCTCGTCGTCAATTGTGGTCGATTCGAGGCTGTCTTTTGAGCCAGCAAATAAATTTTCCGAGAACAACTTTTGCTGCGTTAAGGTTTGTGGGTCAGGATGTCGGCGCTCGGTAATTGGACGTTCACGGCGCTCGTCACGTCGTTCCCGTCGACGGTGCTCCCGAACTTGGGCTTCTGGAATGCTTCCAACGGCACGTGGGAATATCAAATTGAAGTCGCTTGGCCTTTGAACTGGACTTCGCGAGAGGACACTGCCATCGTTGAGACATTGTGAGTTCGTTCGCTTGCTGCAGCCTATCTATGGTATTCGTAGGACACAACTGCCATATGATGTACTGTCGAGTTTCGTTGTTAACATTTATCGCAGGTACGTCCTCGATGGAAACGCGCAAGGAAACGTTGCCGCACAGGCAGTCCGCAACCGCAAAGCCGTTGAATTCGCGCAGCCCGACACCATCGTAGTCAGCTTAGGATACCCCGATCTCATCCCAGATTCACCATACAGCGAAGGCCGATACTACGACTACCAGCCACCAGTCTGCGCGACTTGCCCTGCACCTGAACAACCTGGCGTTCCTTCTAACGCGGACAACTTCCTCGCCTGGATTGATGAAATCCTCAAGCCCTGGGTCCAGAACGAGCTCTTCCCTAACACCGAGTTCTCCCGCGATGCGCTGCACGGGCACTCCTTCGCCGGACTCTTCGCGACCTACGCTCTCATCGCTCGCCCGGAACTCTTCGACACTTTCCTGATTGCCTCACCTGCGCTATACTGGAACGACAACTACATCTTCAGCCAACTCGGCCCACTCAAGAAGCCCGCAGGAGCCAACGGCACCAAGCCCGCTGTGGCACTGAGCTACGGCGGCCGGGAGCAGAATCCTGTTAAGAGACGTGTGGAGACGGAAGAGGAGTTCGAGACCAGGAAGTCGTTCCTTGCGTTCTCTAACATGACGACTAACGTTAACGCGTTGTACAATGAGATCAAGAATAGCACGCAGTTGAGGGATGTCGAGCTGCACGAGTATCCGTTTAGTGATCACGCTGCTGTGGGGATTGTGTCGATTGCCGATGGGCTTGACTACTTCTTTGATTGGGCGCCGAGGATTGCGTTCTTGAACATTACGGTGTAGAGAATGAACGAAATGTGCATGGATGGCTAACGTCAATGTGAGCACTTTTGTCGAATAAAAATTGCCTTGCAAGACCTTCATGTGCCATCTTCTCATGTCACTGTGATTGAGACTAGCAATGCGGTCAGTTGGTTAACCCACAGATAGCAAAAGCCTAGCAGCGCGGCGAGAGAATTGCATCCTGTATAGTGTCAGAAGTGGAGGGACAGTGATTCTGCAGCGCACCCGAGACTGTTTGTGATGCTTTAACAGTAGGCATGAATCGTGAACGCGATGAAAAACATCGATCCAGCGCCTTATTTCTTCAATATCGATCCGAGAAGAATCCATAATATGATATTTGTCGTCCCGCCACTATGGCCATGCCGTGTACTATCAGTTCTCTGGCCTAGTAAGCACAATAATGATTATAGTAGTCTAAGTACAGTACTTGAGTTACTACATTAAAAACCAATTCACACGGTTTTGTGATACGACATTCCAGGTCGCCCTCAGAAAGATCGGCATTGCGAGGGATCTCGTTCTTCTTGATCATGTGGCATATTTGTTAGCAGATTACACAGCTGACTCGATCGCATAATTCAATGAGTTGGTGCATGTATGCTTCCTCAATCGATGTGATGTGTCAGCAAGGATGCGATGCCATCCAGGAGTCGGACTTCAGTAGAGATTTACTAGTCTGATCGCCATGAAATACTTTGAACGGTATTACAAGTCTTGACGAATCGGTATGCGATGATCTAATCAAAGGCTGTCGTTTAGAAGGGATGACCTCTGATATTAGGCGCTAGCGTTATTGGATTAGTCTGCATACCTCTGGAAGGCTGCGAGCAGGTTATGTCATCGACGAGTGCTCACGGTAATGGAGAAATACGCTAAGTGACAGCCAAAACACTATAAAAACGCACGAATCAATATGAAGCATAGAAGAAGGCCTGGTCGATCATGCAACTCACCCACGCTAAGTTCGCCCCGCCCCGCAACGGTGCGGCCTCGCCCGCTAGCTTGCACCTGCCATTCCTACACTAATTACTTTTTGATACCAACACCATGAATTGTACTCGTTCCGATGTAGCTTCGATAGGTAACTTTCGATAGCTAAATGTCAGTTCGTCGTGGCTATAGTACTCCGCCGTTCAGCGACAGATAAGCTGTGCCAGGATAGCTGCAGCTTCTTTAGCCTGTTGGCCTACGATGCTGGTCATTGCGAGTTATTACCATATCAGACAATGATGCGCTTCCACAAACCTGGGAAGAGGGGTAAAATGGTAATAAGTTCACGTTTGCTTCATCTTGACCGTTCGCATGTAAGGCTGACCACCATCCCACCACGGCATGTCGGATACACAATCCACCGACTTTCAACAAGGCACAATTTTTGAAGCTGAGATTTCATAGTGTTGTTAGAGGGCGAAAGATCTTGCTGTTGTATTCCACGGACGATGTAGTGTCCTGACGAATACCACACTTTCGATCCGATCCGATGCGATTCACTAGATAGTCGTTGGACATAACCTCACGCATCGCTCACCACGACCCTCACCCAATGCAGTAGATGCGCCGGCATCCGGTACACTGGGTGCCGATGTGTCGTCTGACTGACTTTCTGTCCAGTGGCACTGTTACCGGGGTTGTCACGATACAGAATCTGCAGGTTGACCGAAAGAACGAACCAGAGGGCTTTGTGACGCGCTTGTACGACGTCTCTTTTGGGCTTTTCATTTAATAAGACCTATCGTTTGCTACGAGGTATGTGCTACGGAGCATCCATTGCGCAGCTTACTCAACCAAGTTACCTCAATGGGCCCACCGTTCAAACAAGTTCAGTATGACAGAAAGCCTCTCCACTGTCCAACCAACAGGATTTTGTGCGTAAAGCTACTGCAATTCGAGGATACCCATGCTTTTAGCGTGTGCGCTGCTTATACGCTCGTGATATCATGTATAAATCATGGCTTGAACCCCAAAACAAAGATTCTCATATTTAGCACTGTTGTCAGATAACGATACTTTCAATATATATCTAGCACCGCACCTTTTGCTATCTGGAATGGACTCCCTGGACCATGATCAGAGCCTAAATAATGAGACTAGTGCTGCTCTCGAGCAGTCAGCATTCAACATCAGACATCAAGACCTAGACGTGCTCGTCGTCGGCGCTGGCTTTGCGGGAATATACCAGCTGAGGAATCTTCGCGATTTGGGTTACAAGGTACTCTTGGTAGACAACGGCTCTGACTATGGTGGGACCTGGTTCTGGAATCGGTACGTAAAATCGAATTGCTGCGAGTCCCTGTCCTCACATTGATTTTCACTGGCAGCTATCCCGGTATCCGCGTAGATTCCGCGGCTCCGCAGTATCAGTACTCTGACCCTGACCTATTGAAGGACTGGGAATATTCCCAGCGATTTCCCGGGGGCCCAGAAATCCGAAAGTATCTCGCATACGTGGCAAACAAGTGGGACTTGCGCAAAGACACAGATTTCGATACCTATATTGGGTCTGCAACATGGGATAGTCGGACGGCAAGCTGGTATGCTACTGCGAGAAGCGGCAAAGCGTACAGAGCGAAGTTTTTGGTACTGTGTACTGGCTGCTTGGTCGATAAATTCGTTCCGAAATGGAAGGGCGTCGGGGAATACAAAGGTACATGTGACCGCCAATCAGAATGTCAGTCAGTCGCTAATACTCTAGAAGGAACTTTATTCCACTCATCCTCTTGGCCTCGTGAGAAGCTAGACCTCGGAGGCAAGAAGGTGGCGGTAATCGGCACCGGAGCTACTGCAGTGCAGATAATCCAAGAGCTGAGCACTGTTGCCGGCCAACTTACTGTGTTCCAGCGCACGCCTAATACTGCGCTTCCTATGCGTCAGGTCGATTACGATGACCAGAACAAGCCATTCTCTCTTGAAGAGGTCGAGACCTCGCTAGCAGCACGGACGAAGTCGTTCGCCGGCTTCGACTATAACTTCTTACCCCGAAAATGCTTCGACGACACGCCGGAGCAACGTGCCGAGGTGTACGAGAAGCTCTGGCAGGAAGGTGATTTCAAATACTGGCTTGCTACGTATAGCGATACCTTGTTTGCGCAGGAAGCGAACCGAGAGTGTTACAACTTCTGGCGCGACAAGACGCGCGCTAAAATCAATGGTGTGTACAGATGATGATGAACTCCAAATAGTAGACTAATCTTTTACTTGGTTTTCAGACCCAAAAGTCGCCGATCTTCTTGCGCCCATGGATCCAGTGTACTCGTTTGGGACAAAGCGCATCCCGCTCGAACAAGGCTATTTCGAGGTATTCAACGAGCCTAATGTCAGGCTCGTGGATCTCAGAGCTACATCCATCGAAGAATTTACCGAGAAGGGCATCAGAACGAGCGCTGAGGAGTTGGAATTCGATGTCATCATTGTTGCTACAGGTTTTGATGCTTTGACCGGCACACTCACGCGCATCAACATCAACGGCAAAGACGGTACGCTGTTGAAAGACCACTGGAAAGACGGTGTCAAAACATATTTGGGCATGACTTCGCATGGCTACCCCAACCTCTTCTTCCAGTATGGTCCACAGGCGCCCACTGTGTTCTGCAATGGCCCCACTTGCGCTGAAGTGCAGGGCAACTGGGTCATTGGTACGATCAATCACTGCCGTGATCATGGAATCAAGATGATCGAGGCAACGGAAGCCTCAGAAAAACAGTGGAAAGACAAGGTGGTTCGCCTAGCGGAGGCTAGTCTCTTGCCCGCGACAAACTCGTGGTACTATGGCGATAACATACCAGGCAAGGTGCGTGAGCCTCTCTTGTATCTTGGAGGCCTGCCTTCGTATTATGAGGATCTGAATGTGGTCCGTGATAATGGGTTTGAGGGATTTGTGCTCGATGATGGAACGAAGTCGTCTAAGCTGTAAAGGTGACATCTGGGATCTCATGGCATCCGTCGCGCTTCTAGGCCCACCGAGGCGGTTGAAAGGAGAGAGGCAGCCTCTTGTGAAGAAGGCATTTGCCCGATCTCCCATGGGCAGTGCCTCTGCTAGGTTCTAGGCCTCCGATGGTTCACTTTAGCTTATTTCTGGCTTTCAATCCATTATGGGAGGAACACGAGGTTTTGTCGTAATGATTCACTCTTTTCCACGACAATGTTTCCACGACTCTGGTCTCAGATCCACTTGGAGGTGTTGTACCTCTCCTTTTGGTGACATATTGGTAATATCTCAGTAACCTCTCCCGGTGAGATGGGATGACGCTGAAGCTGAGCGGGTAGGTACTGGTAGCGGTTTCTAAACCCTTTGACACTGAATATCCTGTGCTCATATTGCCTTCTTCGCTTTTCTTCCGGTCTGCTCATCGATCGGATTCTTTTGTCAGTTGAGCCCCGTCGTTGGTTGCCAACTTGCTACATGCTCCTCATCGTTCGTTGCCCGCTATATCCCTAAGCCCTAGCCGGCGACACCAATTCAAACAAGCGCACACATCTTCTCCTTTTCCCGCAGTCCACGAATATCAGTGCTCGTATTCAAGATGGTCGCGTTGTCCATACAGCCACAAGCCTAGGTGAATCATGAACCTTGGCGATGATTCATTAGCATATGTCGGACAACCCTCTCAACGCAAAAACTCCCCGCTTGCACGCTTCGGCGCGACAGTCGGTCCTGCTTTACCGCGCCGCAATCCCTCATCTTGGCCTCCCGCATGTCGGTCCCTTTATTATCCTTGGCAATGCGCATCCCACCAAATCAGAACGGCTGTACCGCGATAAGGGACGTCGCTAAAGCCAGCCAAGGGATTCTTCTCCGCGCGGGGAAAGAATGTCTGGGGTATTATGGGGATTGTCTACCGGTATGGTGGTGCGACCTGTTCATTTTCGTTCAAGAACATCGAAGAAGGCTTGGAGTGAACGCAAGCATCCTTGTGACAGCGCAACTGGAACGAAATATATATATGCTGTCGATCATCCCCGGGTTCTGGACCTGTACCTTCCCCATCTTTCGTCCTAATCTGCTTGCAGTAAGGCATCATGGTTACCAACGAAAAAGCATTTGTGGAGACGCGAGACACACATGTTGAACATGTGTCTCGAAACTCGACCCACGATAGTGTTGCTGCGGAAGTACGGGGTGGTGACTTGAGCGAGCTACCATCGAATTATTACTGGAATTGGAGGTTTATAGGATCTTTAATCGCTGTGGTGTTCATGGCCCAGGGATTGTATCTCGGTACATGTCAACTCTGACTGGTATTAATGCCATTGCTGACCTTTCGTCCAGGTTATGTACTACCCGCCAATACGATCACTATCATCAATGCCGACTTGGGACCAGACCCTAATTATGCTCTCATACCCGTCGTCAAGACACTCTGCGGTGGTGTGGGGCTCATCATGGTTGGACGTCTTAGCGATATCTTCGGTCGACGGTGGTTTATGATCAGCGGAGGGGTTCTAGCCATAATCGGATCCCTGATTAACGCAACAGCAAAAGATATCAATACTATTCTAGGAGGTACCGTCTTCATCGGGCTCGCAGGGGCAGTCCAAGTGTCTTTCAGGTACGTCGTCTCCAGCTCAACGGCGCTAAAGCTGACCCTCTACAGTTTTGTTCTGATGGAGCTTGTTGCCAATAAGCACAGAGCCGTCCTGACTGGCTTCCTCTTCTTGACAACCTGTCCACTCGCGGCTTTCGGTCCACTGATCGCCCGTGCTCTTGCTGCATACACTGCACTCGGATGGCGATGGAACTACTACCTCAACCTCATCACGAATGTTATCTCAGTCATACTCTTCTACGTCTGCTACTATCCACCGAGCCACAGGCAATTGCATGAGGGACGAAGCATGCGACAGGACCTGAGAGACCTTGATTGGGGAGGTATCGTATTGTACTCTGGTGGACTGACAAGTTTCATCCTGGCTCTTTCATGGGGTGGTGGATTGTATCCTTGGGCTTCCTATCACGTCTTGGTTCCCCTTATCCTGGGCTTCTTTATCCTGGTCGCTTTTGCGTTTTATGGTACGTCTATCATGAATTTGAGGCTGCTTTGCTGGCTAACAATAAACAGAGATCTACATGCCGCTGAAGTATCCGTTGATCCCGATGAATCTGTTTTTGAACGGCCCCTTCATGGCGCTAGTGGGAGTCGCATCTGTGGCAAGCGTACGTTGATTTGGTAGACATCGTCTCGTGATTACATACTGACCCCTGCAGATGTTTTACTACAGCTTGACAGTCATTTGGCCTCAAATGGTCACGGCGTTGTATGAATCGGATTCGATCATGATTGGACTGGTTTCAGGTACTCTGGGCGGCTGTAAGTGTGGCAATCCGTACCAGCTCACCAATTATTGATTTCCCTAGCCATCGCATTCGGACAGGTCTTCGGTGGTGGTTCCATCAAGCTCGGCTGGGGTCACTGGCAACTTCGTGCCTCGTCTCTTGCGATGTGCGGCTTCATCGGGGCCATGGCAGCAACTAATGCTTCCACACGCGGCCTAGCGATAACCATGTGTGCTCTCGGAGCCTTCGCGGTCGGTATCGTAGAAGTCGTTGGCATCGTCGCCGTGCCTTTTACGGTTGCACCAGAAGACCTAGGCCTCGCTAGTGGTCTTCTAGGCTCAGTACGCTCGACTTTGGGCTCGGTAGCCACAGCCATCTTTTCAAGCATTCTCACCACACAGAAAGCAAAGGAGATCCCACCTCGACTTACTTCTCTCGCGTCTCAAGATGGCCTTGCGCCTGCATCTGTCAAGGCCTTGGTCAAAGCTGGACTTTCGGGTGCTGCTGCGACAGTTGCGAAGATTCCCGGTATCTCAGCAGAGAGACTACCGGCATACATTACCGCCATCCGCGATGGCAATGCTAAGAGCTACCATATGGTTTTCTACTCGAGCCTGGCATTTGGAGGGATTGCAGTTATCTGCGCGTTCTGCTGCTCAGAGTTCAATAGCCACTTCACGAATCGCGTCGACCGCAAGTTGCAGCATCCCAAGAAGCAAGGGACTGAAAAGGATGTGTAAAACACGGGCATCGGATTGGAATTAACATATTCGATAGGCAGCAATAATATACCAACAACGCCTGACCAACAAGCGCGTTAATTTTTCTCAAGGAATGACTCCACCGCTGAAGACTTTTCACTGATCATTTCCCAACAGTCCTGGAGCCTGGACCACAACAGTTCTTCCAGTCGCGCTTGAAGGTTTGTTTGAAGGGACTCGTTCCGTGATGGTACACTGCGAGAATCAGACCGCACGCGGCCTATTCGCCCAGTCAACGAAGCAAGACAGATGCAGCGATCTAGACGCGTGTGGCCTTGTGATGCTGGGTCTCTCTGTGCCCTGCATTCCCCGCTCGCTCAAGCACTTTTAGTGGGTGCGCCACAAAGCCTCCGCAAGCGACTCAATCACCAGCAGGGCTCATCCTCCACGTCATTGCGCACATGAACGGCACGAGGCAGAACATCCAGCCGTCTTGTCTGCAATGGGATCGTAAATCTCCTCTTTCTCATGCCATGCCTGGCTTCCTACCTTTCCATCCCAATTGAGAGCCCAACATAACGCCGCCTTTGCTTTTTGACATCGCTCAGGGAAGAGTGGAGCCTTTCATACGCGAACGACCCCGCAATGAAAGCTGAGACCAATCACGTCGAGGCGTCTGGCCTGTCAACTCCTCCACCAACACCGCCCGCCTCAGCGACCCTGTCGAAGGCTCAGGCACTGAGCAATGTGTACTCGCTTGCAACGGCCTTCGCGACTTGCGTCGAAGCCTTCAATTTAATCCATCCGCACAAAGATAGCGACCAGGCGCAAAAGGTTGCCCTCACCAAGCTCGGCATCCAGCAAGGGCGCCTCCTCATTTTTGGCGATGCAGTCGGTATCTGTGCGCCTCCAGCGACCATCGCGCGGCACATGGTGCCATCGCGTCCTGGACTGACGAACCCCGATCCTACCTTACCCGTCAACTTCGGCATCAGAGATACAAGGCTCGACGACGAAGATGTGCGGAACAAGGTTACGCGCGCGCTGGAAGAAATCTACGGACGACCTGCGCATCTATCGCGCGACCAGCTAATGGAGCGATACGGGCTGAAGCAGCCGAAACGCTTCAGTGCGATCGAACACCCATCGCTAGATACCAACCGCCTCGAAGCGTTCCGTGAGAAGTACGCGCTTCTCAACGACCTCATGCAACAATCTGGCATTCGTCCCCAGAACGCAAATAGAAAGGGGAGCATGGCGATGAATCACTGGACCATCAAAGATGTTGTGCGCTTCGATGCGTTCGTCAACACCGTGCGAATCGAGGTCGATGGCTTGATTGCGCTGATGGGAGTCAAAGAACAAGTGGACAGGGGCATGAGGACCGACATCAAAGCTATGGCGTGGCATCCCGATTTGCAGTCTATGATTGTTCGTCAGGACTGGGAAAAGCTGAGGCTGATTCGGGAGGCGGTGACGGGAGATTATCCGGAGTACGTGGAGGTTGCGGACAAGGCATTGCAGTACCTCGTCGAAGAGCTGCGCGGTACAAAGATACAGATGCTCAAGATGGCGCAGATGGGACAGGCGTCGGTAGGCATACGCCAAGTAAGCGACGAGAAGGGCGGTGCAAAAGCAAGCGTACAACCACCCAAGGCTGGGGCGCAAAAGGAAAAGCGACCAGGCTTCTGGTCAAGGATTTCTGGGTACAAATCCAGCAAGACCAAGCAGCGCTCCCAAAGCATAGTTTCTGCGCCGGAGGAAACCGACCCGCAGCGTTCCCTTTCCGACTCAGGCGCGCCCCGCACCTCGGAAGACGCGAACACGCTCACTACCGTACGCTCCAAATCCCTCTCAGCAGTGCCAGATGACCAGACGCCTTTCGACCTCAACGCCAGACTTGCGGATCTATCAGTGCAGATTGAGCAGGAAGGTCATAACGAAGACGTACAAGCACCAACGTCGGAGACTACATTCCACGACGTGCCCGGCGCGGAAAAGACCCACGTCAATGTACAGGCCACGCTCACGCAGATCCCCACGAGAAGTACCGCTGATATCGACGATGTAGACCCATTGAATACTACTAACAGCAATGGGTATAACCTCTATCATGCGGATACGGCGAATTCGCTCATCGATAGACATGATATGTTCAGAGGTGTCGGACGGATGGATACGAGGGATATCAGGGACAAGAGTCACGATGCGGCGGGGTGGTAGGTTTGTAATGGGAGGTAGATACACATGGGGGTGCTATTATTTCGTTGGAGGTTTTGTGTTCTCGATACCAGGTTGCGCATTCAGTGGTTTTTGTCTGTCATCTAATTTTCTCTAGTCGGCATGCAGGGTAGGTGGTGCAGGGCGGGTGAAGTTACATAATGAGCGAGCGTAATCCATCTTGAACACGATGCTTCTGTCTTCCAAATGGTATATCGAAGCTATGTTACATGAGTACCCTTAATCTCTTACTCAACTTTTGAACACCTTCAAGTTTGCTCCGCCTTGCCGTAGGCATACCATGCTTATATGCCGACCAAGAGCTTGGTCTGAACGCCTGATTCTCATGAGACCTCGTACGGATCTACGAAGTAGTGGCCTGTTTCGGCGAGAACCTAAACAGGAGTCCAGGCGCCATACCAAAAAAGTACGGCAAGCTGATTACAAACAACCGCATAGCGAAAAGTAGTAGAACCATACAAAACAAAGATAGCAAGGCCACAAGAAACATAAGGTATGCAGCAATCATCTCGTCACCCCGCATACGGCATCCCGCTTGGTGAGAAATCCTCATGCGAGCAGTGTATTCTGCACAACAAAGGTAGCAGAACTGGCACCTACATTTCGAACCTGATCTATCGTAAGTCTTTGGACCATCCTGACAGAGCTCCAATGTACTTACAAATCATGCGATTGCACCCAGCGCGCTTCTCGATGTGCACTTTACACTTGGGGCATTGCTTGGTCAGGCGGTTGATCGCTTGCTCGCTGGCGATATCCTCCTTCGACTTCCGGTGAAGCTTCTGATACTGGGCGCAAGTCTGCCCGTGGTGGGAGCGAACATTGCACGCAACGCACATACGAAAACCGCACTTGCCGCAGGTGAGAACATTGCTGTATGTGCCGTCGTGGATTTGACCGAAGTTGCACTTTGGGTTTAGACACCATCGGAAGTCCGGCTCTTTGCTCAGGACTTTGAGTGTTTCGTGATGGCCGATTCTGCTGCTGTGTTAGTTTGATTTAAGAGTAATTTTGCATTAACCGACCTGTCCATGAGTGTCGTGGGAAGTTTGCCTTGCACGTCCGAGGAGGTGAGTTCGCGTCGGCAGAGATCGCTAGGGCATCGCAGGTCGTTGAGTGGGCTCTCCAGCAAGGTGGCAATCCAAGATTCCATACACTCCAGGCATGTGTCGGCAGCGTGGTCGCATCTGTCAAACGAGGGGAATGAATAGACGGGTTGCTCCAGTGCACAGGTACCGCACTCCCGCTTGGCTCCTGTCCCGGCCATGACAAGTCTGCGCACCTCTGGTAAACCCGTGGTCGCAAGGCAGGAAATCCCGATTTTTGGCACGTAGGTTTATACGCAATTGTGATTGTATCAAGTTGAGTTTGATTGTGCTTGACAGCCGTGCGGAAGGTGGGCTTATGTAGGCAGCCGTGAGACGTCTCAGGAGCACGTGTCGCAGTGAAAGACAGTGTATTATGCTCGCACGCACAAATATTTGACCCATAGGCCCAATTAGGACGCCCTGGGCAAGTTGAAATTCCTCATTCTTGGATCGCGCTTTGGAATCTGTCAGCCTGTTCTAAGTGCCACGGTCCCTGGCAGCACGAAAACGCTCAACTACGGCGTCTTCGAATTGTTTCACTCATATGAATGTTGCTGGTGTGAGCGCGGTAAACAGGTCATTCGGCCACGACTAGGATGGTAACATTACTGGCAGAGACGGCAACTTTCCCCTAACAACTGTAGTACCGCGCAAAGCGTCTTTCCAGTAAGAAGGACATCGTCCACGACCACCACTGATGCGGCTTTGGGGATTGCATCTCGCTTTATTTCTACTCGCTGCTCATTACGATTTTCCGTGGCCTTCTTATCACGGTCCTCGGTGGCTCAAGATGAAATATACGACGGGGTCTTAACAACACAAAGAGTTGTTGGGAGGTCTTTGATGTGTTTGCTGCTCCCACATATCAGGACCACGAGGAACCACCGTACTCGTACCATCGGTATAGTACATCAGAACGTTCCAGAGGGCTATAAAAATCTTGAGAATCTCCCAGTAATGACTTTCATCCTTCCATCAATGTGCGCATGTGCCGAACCCTCATACTTCTCCAATGCAACGGTGAAGTCGTTAACCTTAGCGTCAGCCACATTTGTCTCGACATCTTCGTAATCGGTCAATGCATTGGAGGGGCTGTATATATACACCCGTCGCACTTTGTAGCGTTGCCCACATCATCGTTATGCGACTTGTACTAGTTGTCTAGACTATCAGGTAGAAGACCTAGGGCCATCGAGGCGGTCCAGAAGACGGAAAAAGCGTAGAGGAAAGGCGCAGCGATCAGGCATTGAGGAAATGGAAGACCAGCACTAACAAAGGCCACGGCACGAGGGATGTGGAAGACGCCTGGGCACGAATCGAAGATCGTGATGTGCGGGGGGAAGGCGTTTCTCATCTTTGGGGCCTGCCATAGCAGCAAATTGCTCGTATAAGTTCGCGATACTGGAGGAGGCGCCATTGGAGAATACGTGAATGAGAAGAGGTGGCGAAGAAGACAACACTGGTGTCTGGAACGCATCGCGAACGACGGAAGCAGCGGCTTTCATGGCAGGACCGATCCGCGATGGACGAACAATGCAGTCCATAGTGCTCCTAGGGAAAATTATCTGAACAGCAGGATACAGGACCTAATATTTGGCTGTGTACTTGGCGATGTGGACATCTTTGCCGTCAGTCCAACTGGAGATGACGATAAGTCGCGGTTGGTGGTCGGCACTTGTGCTTGAGGACTCTGATGGTCGGTAGAAGAAGACGAGCGGATCAAGCTTCTCCATGAAGAAGGAGGGCTTTTTCGCAGGTATTGGTGCTGGCGAAGTGGCCGATATGGCGCTGTGAAGATGAATGAGCAGAGGGAAAGAAGTTGAAAGATTCAATTGATGGACAAACGACAAACGTTAAAGCTGCGAAAGAAGAAGACAGATCTGGCGCGAGCGCGATTAATTAGTGCCTGTTTACTCGTATTATCACAGAGGCACGGCACGCTGGCGCCTTGGATCTGTTTCCCTAGCCGCATTTGTGCTTAACCCCATCTTAGCGCGATGAACATGCTTTCAGGCAGCAATTGCTTTAACACGGAGTGATTGCGCCGCAATTGGACAGCGAAAACAGTGACAAAGCTTCTTGCGCTGAGCTCTCCTCCCCCTTTGACCTGGGTCACTACAACGCCTCGTATCAATTTCACAGTCTGACGAAGACTAGGAGTTCCTCAAACTTCATTCCGGTCTCCACACAAGCTGAGACACACCCAAAGTTGACGAGCATGAATGTCTTTGCACGATGGCGACCGCTTGCAGCCACCAAAGCTGAAGCTGAAGAAATCGATCGCCGGACGGATTCCGACTCTCGCTCTTTGACTTCTGTGTCCATCAAGCGTAAAGCATCAGCTGCGGACCGTCCTTGGACGAGTCCAGCAGCATTCCACACCATCTTCGACCCGGACGATGACAATGACAAGTTATACACCGATGTCGTAGCACCTAGCGTCCCAAGAGTTTTACAAGGTGAAAATTGCAGCTTCTTCGCATATGGACATTCTGGCAGTGGCAAGACGCATACAGTCATCGGATATGACTTTCAAGAAAGTAAAAATCTTGGACTATGCCTCCGCGCAGCCAAACAGCTCTTCGACACATTGAACAGTCAGAAGGGCTGCCAAGAACTGGGCATCGGACTCAGTCTCTTCGAGTTGCGCAGGAAAACAGGTTTCGATTTGCTCAATAATCGAACTCAATGCTATGTCAGGGAGGGTCCCGATGGAAAAGTCCACATTCGAGGGGACACCGAGTTGATGGAAGGGGGCAAGGTTAGAGTCCGTCCTATTGTCCAACAACCGTGCTGGAACTTTGAGTCTTTTCAACAGAAGCTCGTCAAAGCCCTTGAGCAGCGTGCTACGGGTTCTTCCAGCGTCCATGATCAAAGCTCTAGAACTCACGCATTTCTGCAATTGGAGATTGTGAATCAGTCTTTAATGGACACGCGACATGCATTGTTTGATCGACAGTCCGAACTGGTTCCTGTGGGTAAGCTTGCAACAGACGTCATGATGGAAGAGGATTTAAAGAGCGTCATTCGCGGACTAGACGGAGCATGGGTACTTAATCGCGATTACCAGAAGGACCAAACACGTATCGACACTATCGAAGCAGAAAAAGCCAGGTGTGAGGCTCGAGTTTCAGCTGCAGAAGAAGAGATCGAAGCTATCATCAAATCGAGGTCCACCCCATGTCTAGGAGCGAAGATGGTGTTTGTGGATCTCGCCGGCGCAGAGTACTACGAGGCGGACGGATTTCGATCGCAGGCATCAAAGCAGACTCTACAGGAGCGTCAAGAAGGCCGGCAGATCAACAGTGATCTGCTGGCGCTGAAAGAGGTTATGAGAGCTTGGTCACAAAGCCGGAAGAGAATCCCTTTTCGATCGTCGACTCTAACAATGGTACTCCGAGAGCATTTCATGAGCACGGGTAAGGGAAACTCTACTATCATTGTTACCCTCTCACCCGCAGCGGAGCACTTTGCAGCGACGCTCAATTCTCTCAAGTATGCAAGTCTGGTTGGAGCCGTAAAGACCTGAAATCTGCTCGGAACTCCCCCAGACCTGTAACGACACTCCGAACTCACTACTATTCCCCTTCCCTACCAAATTTACATTATTTAAGTAGTGTAGATAAACTCTAAAGCTCCTATGGATCTGATTTGCTGCTTCTCACTCATTACGGTATATTTCCATACTAACAAAAGCCTCATCCTTGCCTTATTCACTCTCGACAGAACGCCATCTCAAGTGTATGCTGGGAAATTTGAAGATGGCGGTGTCGATGGAGCTCCGCAACTTGAAGAGGCACGACCCAAAACGAACCAGCCACCGCGCCTGAAGCCGATGCGCTTATAGCATCCCGACCAGTCTACGTACACAAAGTGGTCCGGCTTGAATTCGGATGTGTTGTAAAGATAGCAGTCGCGAAGATCTGTATTTCAGTCTTTCGAAATTGAGCGTATCGCCTTATTGATAAGCCACAAGCTTGTAAGACTCTAGTGCAGAAGTGCGCAAGTAGTGGAGAGCGCAGGCTGGGAATAAGTGTCGCGACAGGAACCGTGTGGAGAACTGGACATAGCGGGTGACGGTCGAGAAGTTACCTCTGAACAGGGCCAATATGACTCTAGCTGGTAAAGTGCTACAGCTCCACGTACCAGCAGGCGTGGCCAACGAGACTAGTGCGACTAGGTAAAGCGCCGAGACCATGCACAAGCACCTGGACAGCATCGTCGACGGTCAGCCATCTTGTCCACGTAGCACTTGTGCATGACCGGGATAATTATAGTCTGCTTAGACATCTGTCGTTCCGCAACCTCAACAGTGACGTGGATCTCTCGCAAGGTGTCTTTGAGATGGTCGCAAATTAGATCAGGTGATTGCTGGATCCTTAAGAAAATTAGGTGTCGTCAGGCTCGGAGACACGTTACAAATGGATGCGGAGGGCTTTGTCGATAGATTCCCTTGGGCTTCCGATAGAGGGGACGCGGTAAATCACTTTTCCCTCGGTCATTCAGCACTTATAGATGCATCAACTGTGCCTGTGATCGTTGTAGCCTTCCATATGAGGCGATATGCATACGCTCCTAGATACACGTTTTTGGTCAAAGAAGAGACTAGACAAACATATGACAAGAATGGGGCTGGAACACCATTCTTGCGTTCGAGAGGTTTGGATTAAGGACAGCATCGTCAAGTGTCCGAGAATCAAGGGCACTCCGCCCGTGAAGCTTCGTCTCGCTATGGACCTCTTGTTAACTGAGACGACTGTTGGTCCTTGATGTGACCCATAGACTGATATGGAGAAGAGAAAGCGAAGCTTAGACATATTTCATGGACACTTCTTGAGTGCGAATTGTACACGACAACGTATGGTACCTGCTTTCCACTATAGAATATATCTCCAAACCACATCTTCCATACCTACTCTAGGAGCCACATTAACCCTGACTTTACGTAAAGGAGGTGGAATTTCCCTGGCCATATTGCTTGCATCTTGCCCAGGTTCATTCCATCTTCCTCCGACTGGCTCCATATCTGCCTGCATAGCCAGCATAGCTACTAGGGAAGCTATCTCGGCAATTGCAAATGGCTTTCCAGGGCAGAGGTTGGCCCCGCCTCCAAACCCACGGAAGGCAACTGCGGGGATCCTGTTTCCCGGGAGAAATCGATCAGGAACGAAATTCTCTGCGTCTGTACCCCAAACAGCCGTGTTGTAGTGCAAACCTTCATGCGCTAGGATGAGTGTCGAGTCTTTCTCAAGATGATACTTGCAGTCATCACCCGAAAGAGTAACATCTTCCAGAATCATGCGAGGGCCGGTGCCCCGAGCTCGGAATCGCAGAGTCTCTTGGATAACAGCTTGTAGATAGTGGTTATCTTTCACCCCGCGCAGATCAAGGGTGAGCATTTGGATTTCTTGGGATGCATTCTGCTTAGCGGTAACAAACGACCCGAGCTCTTTACGAACGCGGGCTAAAAGACCTGCGTCGGAGAAGAGGTGCCAGACGACCCAGAATGCTGTTGGTGCCGATTTTCCATTCAACGCAATTCCAAACACGCACTCGGCCCGCGCGCAATCCTGTACGCTCATCCCACTTTGCGTGAGTATATTGTACCGTGCTTTGGCGAGCTGAGACGCATATTGGAGGCCTTCAGACTCATAGAACTGCTTGATGGCGCGGAAAACGGCTTCTCGACCCGCGACTGCCTTCGGTGCCAGGATCCTCGGTAGGATGCCGGGAAGAGCGACGAACAGTGCCCCGTCTGTGAAATTCCTGGTAACTTGTAAGAAAGGGTCATTTTGAACGTGACGGTAGCCTTACCAGAAGCCTTCTACAATGGCGGGATCACGAAAGGGATTACGAGCGCCATATACTGCATCGGTTGTCGCTAACATGACCTCTCGCTTTATCCATGCATCCAGATCGGTCGGGCCACTCTTCTCTTGCACGAGTGTGTGGATACCTTCATCCAAGGTCTTGAGGGCCACTTGGCTCATCCTTTCGAGGTCCCCTTGAGAAGACACGGCCGCCTTGACACCCTTTAAACAATCGATCAGAGGACAATCATCGGTTGACTCTGGTCGCACTCCTCGGAAGCAGCCGTCGCTGCCTGCTTTGGAAAGTCCACCCAGCATCGCCGTGAAGTGCGCCTCAAAGTACCAGAATGAGAGTGACTTTGGTTGGCGCTGGAGAGAATAGAGCAGCTCCGGCGACTTAGACACGTACACGTTGGCGCCGAACATGGTGAGCGAAATGATGGGGAGGTTCCATTTTTGGCTGCTCAGCGCTGTAAGAAGCCGGTTGCTTTGCTCGGCTGATCTGTCTTACCTGATTCTAGTGTAGTAGTGGTTGCGCCAAATCAGGAGACCGATGATGTGCCCGATAAAAGGAACCGGTATCGTTGCGGGCACCTGTTTTGGCTGGCGAGGATCGCGGGGCTTCTTCGACCACATGTAGAGGAAGAGAAGGCACGCAAAGATGGCTACTGCGCCGTATAGGCTCGGGTTGGAAGAAGTGAGTGTCATGGCCACGAATGCGCCTAGTTTGGTGTCGTGTAAGTGGGATAACCTTGGGACAATGAAAAAGTCGGCCTCTCGGTGTCAGGGCGCGTCGCTTGTCTGCTCGCGGTGTAGAGATGCCGCCATGCAGCTGGCGTAGAAGAGCTGACGGGAAAGGGGCTAGACAGTGATGATGCGGCGCGGCTCGTAATCAATGTCGTACCACGGTGCTGGGTCGGCGGTTAATCAGCGGCTTCGCTTGAAGCCGCTGAGCCAGATCTCGTAACGTACGTGCTAATTACGATGCCAAAGAAGGCACCATGGAGCGCAGAGCAGCTGGCGCGCGGCCGTGATGGCGTATTTCCCGTGCTAGAACACCAACTACTAGCTCAGAACCATCGAGGGAATCATAAGCGGGCTCACCTTTGTTCTTGAAGAGTTAGCAAAAGGAGACCTGCGAATCTTTGCGTCGCCAACGAGACATTGACAACATGCGTTTGGAGAAGAGGTTACTCTTGCCGAATGCTCTGGAGCATTTCATGGTTAGTCATGTTGAACTAGTGCAAATTTAGGTTGTTAATCAGCAACCGTGGAGCTGGAATGAGGGCAGGGTGTATTTGCGATCAATACTCTGGTAACTGGAGAGCGGGCAGAGTGGATTTGCGATTAACGCTCTGGGGATAGATTACCAAAGAAGAAATCTTCTATCAAATTTCCAAAGCCTCTTCTCCTCACAAAACCAGCCACATTCTACGCTTACATTCCTTCTGTCCCTATCGACAGAGAAAGTTATCTCGTTAATCAAGGTATTGAGACCCACGATGCGCCTCGATGCTTCAGACTGCCAGCTATAGCGCCAGTCCTCGGGCACTCTCTGGACAGCCAGCTGAGGGGCGACTACGTTGTCCAAGCTAGTGTGAGATGCCTTCCCACACGAGGAGCAAGTATTCTCAGCTGAACTCCCAGCCTCTTCAAGCATAAGGGCATGCTCGGCAACGACCGCCATAGCCAGGCCGTCCCAGACACCCTCTCTACCCACGGACTGAAGCAAAGAAAGCGCATGGCGACGGAGCGACGTATCGCGACACTTGATGACTGAATAGTAGACTGCTTCGATGGTGCTTGTTTCTAAGGAGAGTTGACGCGTCGCGGGTCGCCCGGCCTTGCGATTTTGCAGGACAATGGCCGCATACCTCATAATCGCTCGAAACGAATTCATGCATACTTTGTCGTCGAAGATGCATTCATTGCTCGAGAGCGCAGTATGTACTTTCAGAAGTGTGAGATGGTAAGTCAACAACAGGTTTGCATTCTCCGGCCTCGTCTCTGCGTTGTCAGTCTTGCCGAAGGTGTTATACCACACAAGCAGCTGGGCTATCAAACACAGCTGAGCCTCGTGTAATGCCGATGGTGTCGGATCGTGATATTTGGACTTGTAAGCTTCGTTTCGTATCCAACGGAGGGCCCGAGCGACAGTGCAGTATAGCCGAGTCGACAGACTGTCGGGTAGAGAACGATAAGGTTGCAAGGCGACGGAGAAGAGCTGATCACTCGCATTTTCTGATGCCACATACTGATCTGGAGGAAAAAAAGACATCAGCTGCGAGTCAAGAAAAGCCAAGAATCCGATCAAGTCCTGGAGATATCCGTCTAGGAATGGACGCATGGAAGTGACACCGATGGGCAAGTGGTCATTTCGCGACCTCGAGGCCTCTAAAGGAGTCTGGATGGCCGGAATGCACGTGTAGCTCTTCGCTAGGAATCCTTGAACAAGAGATATGCCGCTGTTGAGGTGCCTAATCGCAGTCTTGATGTCGCCAAATAACATCTCGATTGCGATGAAGATAGCACATGCTACCAGAACCTCCTCTTCGGTGTCCACTCTATCGCCAGTGTCGCTCTCAACATTATCGATCAAAACCGAAACTCGTTTTGCCGATAGGTAGTATTGGCGCCACCCTTCTTGTTCGCGATATGAGTTGTGGCTAGTAGGGAAAGAGAACCATTCATGAAGCTCGGACAAAGCAGCTACGGCATTTTGGATGGCAGGAGAGCGAACAGAGATCCTAAGGACGTATGATTGCCAACTTTGGATGTGGGGTAGTCCCTCTAAGGTAGGTGATGAGTGGTGCAGGAAGTAGTCGAAGGCGCGTCTGAGTGAAGCTGGGACTGGACAAATTCTGGGGAATCTCTCGAGACGAAGCGGGTCATCTGTTCGGATCTCATCGACTTTCGGCTGTTCGAGTTCGCCAGAGCTCGGAGACGGGCACAAAACTAAGACCTCACTGTTCGGTGACCTAGACTGACGGATCGGAATCTGAGCGCGTTCAGTATGTACATAGGTTCCATCTGCTGACGCGCTTGCTGGTTGCGTGTAGCCGTCGCAACGTCTGCCAGTCGAAGTACACTTATTGCAATCTGGCTTCCCCTCGTCGCACTTGACCCGCCTGATCCTGCGTTCCGTTAGCACTTGCCACGTCCAGAGCGTAAAATCAGACTAACTTGCACGTTGCGCATCCAGTCTTTGCCTTCGGCGCCTTCTTTCGCTGCCTCTTCTTGCCCCTTATCAGATCGTCCGCGTTTGCCTGGATAACCCCAGTTTGTGACAAGCGACGCATAGCGCTCATGTCATTTCCTCGATGAACATGTAGATGTTTCGACTATGAGACTATGTCAAATGCTATGTTCTGATTACATGCTACATTCTGCCAATGTAGGAATATAAAGGATGGCATGCACAACAGGGCTGTGGGGGTTCCTATCGGCCCGAGTCAGGTACCGTATTCCGCGTGTTCAGTTTGCAGATCCCTGAAGTGTCGCACCGCTCGTCTTGCTCTTTTAATACACTTCAGACGCGAGCTTGGCTTTCGACCACCACATAGTTGTCGTGCAATTCAAATAAGGTTGCGCATCTAAAGTAGGCAGACGCTATCGGCTTGTTGTCGGACCCGAGTAACAAGAAGGACAGAGGCCGCTTGCCGCGATCAGAAGTCCAAGGTGATGCATTCGAGGGGAAATCTGGACCTAATACCTAAAATGGATGTCCCAGGCTGCGCTACGAGCGACCCAATTAGACACCGCCAAGAAGCAAGCTCACATGGCTTTAGCTCCGGTGCTAACGCGGCACAGCACTGCCACAATCTTGCATGTCAGGTAGGTTGTACGAAGTGGCCAATCAGCGTGGGCTTACTCCATCACATCGACCTACCGTCATGTCTCCATTGCAAATTTACAGCGTATTGTCAAGATGCCATACGAGCAAGCGAATCAAAGGCAATTGCTATGTCTGGCTGGGTGTCTCAGCATGCTCGAGTCCAGGATCCACAACGGATATCGGAAGAAATCTTACACCTTCAGTCAATAGAAAAGTGTGAATACCAAGATGTACTAAGTCAGCGAGTTTGATACACTATCACTTCCTGGAAATGGGATGTGAGAAAGCAGCTCGACCGAAATACGGCCACAGTGAATGGCTGTGCTACTTAAGAGCAGTTCCGGCCTCCAAATGCTTTGTTAAAGCCTTGCACTCTTGATCGCTTTCATTAAGCTTTGCTTATCTTATCACTTCCTCACTCCAGCCCATCCAGTTTGCAATACGCAACACGCGATATGGACTATGCCAATTTCGATCCTGAGGCGCTGGCGGCGCTTGTTGATAGGATGACCAAGACCCGTACCGCGCATGGGGTCCTCATGGTTTTTGCAGTGGTACTCTGGTTCCCACTGGGCGTGTTCCTTCTCCGACTTCTCAGATATCAGAACACAGTCCGCTGGCATGCGATATGGCAGAGCATTGGCCTTGTCCTTTTAGTTGTCGGCTTTGGTCTCGCCAGTTGGCTGAGCAAAAAAGCAGGGGTAAGTTATTTTCATTTGCATAACTATGCTCTTTCCCGCAAAGCAAACCAACGATTAACAGCATAACTGCAGCGCTCACAGGAGGGTCATGTATTACTCGGAACCATAATAACGGTGCTTTTCATTTGCATGCCAGTCTTTGGTTGGCTCCACCATCGGCAGTGGGCAGCCACGCAAAAGAAAAGCTACAAGCGGCACATACATGTCTGGGGAGGCCGCGGACTACTCTTGCTTGCGTTCATCAATGCTGTTACTGGCTTGAGATTGTCCAAAGTTCGAAATTCAGCATACATAGCGTACGGCGTAGTTGCTGGGCTGGCTGGGCTTGCGTATGCTGGTGTATGGATCATGAAAACGTTGCAGGCAAGACAACCGGTGGAAGGGACAGAGCTGGAAGAAACACATCCTGAAGGAGGCAAATAAGACTGGGACAAATGAAAGGATGGTACTGGGGAGAGAGCGCGATACCATCACATGCAGTCATCGCGCAGTCGACACAGATGTTCGTCATTAGCAAACCATGATTCCCAAGCTGTTAAACGCGGTGTCTCAACACGCCAGGGCTCGTACAGCAAAAAAATGTAGCTTTGGTTATACTTCGTGGCTTGATGGACCTGTTCGAGCATGTAACCTTATGAAAACATCAATATCCGTGGTATCGAAAACCCTGCTTTGATCCAGCTACATGAAGGAATGTCAGAATCTAAGCCAGAGGCTCCGTTCAGAGACATTCGTAGGGTTAGGGTCAGCATCAATCAAACTTCAACGCACAGCCAAGGCAGGAACCCTTGTCAGTCCTCGTAATGAATGAGTCAACTTTATCCGAATGGTCACGCATCTCATAGCCACTCAACAGCAACGTTCCTTGTCAGTCAGGCACGTTGTTCTCATTCAAATGTATCAAGTGAAGGTTCTTTATTTATAAATGACTCAGGGCGAACCTGTCCTTGTTCTGATGGCTATGCGAGGATTACATGGACTAGCTCAATTGCCACCAACACCGAGAACTGTACCGCGAACGTAGCGGATTGACAGAGTGACTCTTGTCTTTATTGGCCGCGAACAGAGCTAATAGAGCTAAGACCTCTACAGTACTCGGCAAAGACGACCTGCATGGTCTTCCTCCCATTCATCACTCCCTACGCATGTCGGGCAGTAGAAAACGCTCTTTGGGTCGCGACTATTCTTGATCTGCAACAGCCGACCATAGTTGGATCCGTAGAAGTTCGTCTTGTAATCCGGGTCTTCCCGATTGGCCTCATTCATGTATGTACCTGTATTAGGAGCGAGTGCTGTCATTGCCGCAGCTTTGACCGTCGAGACTTCGTGTTTGATGGTGGAAATCAGCGAATCGTCAGCATCTACTGGCCAGGATCGTTGCGAGAGCTGCAGGCAGTACGATGTTCGCCAAGCTGGGTGAACGGCGGTGTAAGGATCGTCGGCATTTTTCCAGATCTGTCCACCAGACATGCACATACTGCCGTGAACCGTAGTATCATCTGGCGCCCCTGCTAAGACGTCAAGCATCTTCCGGAGGGCTGTACCATTCTTCAAAGCCTTTCCGTCGAGGAACCTGGAGGCGATCGCCCCGACAGGAAATCCTGGATCGTCGCCTCCAGAAACGTTGTCGAACAGTGTCCAGAAATCTGTGTACGATCTCCAACGGTGTGTGACATTCACTCCCAAAGCTGAGAGCTTTTCCAGCACTGGAACGAATGAGGCCTGTGCCTCGGCGACCGTTCTGTTCAGCGCGTAGGCCCGGTGAGAGTAACCTGAAGGGGCACTTCCCACAAGCGATGAATTGGCCTGGCTCCAAAAGCCGGACACTGTGAAACCCTCGTCCAGGAGATTCGGTGCGGCAGAATATAGCACTGCGACGGCGTCGAGAAATACGGACCTGTTATTTGGCGAATAACCAAAAGAGAGGTCCATCTGCGCAGCAGTAGTCATGGGATGAGCCTTGAAGGTTGCCGACAGCACGACGCCATAGGTGCTTGGACCACCGCCACGTATGGCAGTGTATATGTCGGTATTCTGACACGCATTCGCGATAATGATGGATCCATCCGCTAACGCAACTTCGGCCTCTAGAAGTTGATCGGCTCCGATGCCGTGTTGTTGAGCAGCCGGTCCATAACCTCCTCCTTGCAACCAGCCACCGATGGTTCCAATTGATGGTGCGCCTCCGCCAACTACTATTAAGTTATTAGCCCTCGCCACGGCATACACGTCTGACCATTGATAGCCTCCACCGATCCTTATGGCTCTTCCCGTCCAGTTACAGGTCTTGCAGCCTGAGACGGATTCGAATCCTTTCTGAACCTCGATACCGGTACGATAGTACCTCATCCAGATCTCCAGGCTCCCAAATCCAGAAGATCGCCGAAGGAAGTCGTGTCCAGTAGTTTTGACAACCAGTCGGATGTTATTCTCTGCAGCAAACTTGATTCCCGCTGCGACGTGCTCAGGACGTGTCGCGTTGACAGCGTACACTGGGTTATTTCCAAGAGTGCAGCTTTGTCCAGCCACAGCCGGTGGGGTGATTGGAGGGCAAGTCAGATCACCACTATCTTGGCAAAACCCTGCAGGCTGCTCTGCCTGCCACGCACACTTTTTCCACTGCGAATTGACAGTAGAACATGTGTTGTTGTTGAAAAAAGGGCCTGGATAGCATGAAATGGCTACTGGTTGGACTGCAAGCAGTTGGCCAGAGATGGAGTTGTTCAGGCTACCCCAGGCTGAGACAGAAGGCCAGCATCTCTCGGTTGGAATCTTAGGTAGCCGGTAAGCCAACAGCCGATCGACAATACATCCCTGCACTTACAAATTTGCAGGCTGCGCTGTTGGAAGCACACCCGAGAGAAGAGAGGATCGCGGTTGTGAAGATGAGGATCTTTAAGCTTGGCATGGTTCTATGATGGTGAGTTATGGATACAGCTTGCAGGTGCAGACACCTGCACTTATATCTTGTTCTAAAGATCGTCGCTCGAAAGGAAGAGTGCCAAAGCACACAAACCTAGCCCGCTGAGATCCATCCGCTCGCATCCGACCGTTTAACTATCTTTAACCGCTTTTAAGGATCTGTTCAATAGTGTGCTGTGTCGAACCTCGTCACCGCAATCTAGTCACATTAGTCATGGTAGACTGCTATCGTGTAGTCCCATTCTCACGTCGCAATAGGACCCTTCGTATAGCATCGGACCAATACATAGAGCTTAGCCTCGATTTTTACACTTTTCTCGCACGGTCTTATTCCTACAATTATTCTCGCAATTATTCCTACAATTATTCTCCCAATTATTCTTGCAATTATTCTCGCAATTATTCTCGTAATTATTCTCGCAATTATTCTCGTAATTATTCTCGTAATTATTATCGCTCTCGCTCTCGCTCTTAGACTATTGTAAGTAAAGAGTTCCTTCTTACTAGATTATATAATCTAAGAAGACTAATTACTTAATATACTATTTCTCTACTTAATAGATTCTATTTTCTCTCGCTTTAATTTCTACTCGAGAAACCATGTAAGCTATTATTCCTCTACATAAGGGCAACTAGAAGAGCTATACTAGGAATATAGTATATAATTTATTATAGAATAATACCAACGCTATTTAGGTTATATTCTATACGTAATCTATTTTTTTAGTGTAACTAATTTATTCTAGGTATTATTAACGAGCCTCTTCTAGTAATTCTTTAGTTTAGATACACTAATAAGTCGTTTACGTATTTAAATAAATACTATAATGGTTTATTATTAGTAATATATAAAAAGATAGCCACGCTTCTAGTTATATTTAGTAATATATTCTTAGGTAAGATATTACCACTAAGTCCCTATTACTTTTAATTACCTAGAATTAAGCTATTAAATCTAGAAAGGGTAGCTAGTCCTAATTAGGTTAAGATTAGTTCTTAGGTAAGACTTACTAAGGGAAGGAGGAAGGGGTTCTTATTAATATAAAAGTATCTTATAAAGTATAATAAGTTAATAAGGGAGGCCTAAGTAAATCTAAATAATAGATTAAAATTTAGGTTAAATATAAGTATAAAGGTTTATCCTTATATTTCTATATAGGGATTTTACTTAGTTACTTAGGGGCCTTAAATAACTAAGTAGGTTACGTAATAGCTTTTAGCTACTTAGGTATTTAGGAACCCTAAATAGCTAAATAAGTTATATAACTATTATTTAAGTAACTTAGCATATCTTTATCTTATTATAACCCTAGTTATTATATCTTCTATCTTTATAAGCGCCTAAACTTCCCTACTATTATCTAGTTTATAATATTATCCCTTTTCTTTTTATTCTTTGCCCTAAAGAATTATACCTACTAACTATTATTCTATAAAGTATTATTATAACCTTATTTTTACTATTAAAAACTATAGTATTATTATAGTATTAAAATATTCTTTCTACTAGTTATACGCCCGTGTTTATAAGGTTTATATTAGTTTAGGGAAGTGTAGTAAGTATTAGAAGTAAGGTTTAAAGTATAATATTACTATTACTTAGAATAAGTTCTTATAATTAGTTACTAAGAAGAAGAAGTTAGAAGCGTAATTAGATAAAGTATAAAAGAAGTAGAATACTACTTTTAAAGCTATATATATAGCTTAAGTAAAAGAAAATTAGTTAAAAAATAGTTATTATAGAATAAGAAGTGTACTAGTAAAGTTATTATAGTAGAAAGTATAGTACTAGTAGAGTTAAATAAAGATTCTATTTAGCCTACTTAGCCTACTAGTTCTACGGAGCTTTACCCCTCTATTTAGTTAGTAATAAATAATCTTTCTTCTAATTTCTAGAAAAATATTCCTCCTATCTCTAGTAGCTAGGTATATCTTTATACCCTTTATTATATAATAGGGTTCTTATTACGGCTGCTACGCCGTAATGGAATTATAGAACTTACATTAATAATAGTAGCGACTAATTAGATTATATTAGAGAAGAATATAATTATAGGTTAGATACTAAGCATAATATAGATATATAAGAAAGTTACGTAATTAGATCTATAGATCTATAGATGCTAAGAATATAGAGCTATAGAGCCAGAATCTATAGATCTATAAGAATCTATAAATAGAGCCTATAGAGCTATTATTAGATAGTAGTATATAGAGATAATGGATTACTACTAGGTAAGCCTTTATTATTAATCTACGATATAGTTACCTGCATCTAGTTTCCTTATAGAAGATTACTATTAAGCTTTTAGTAATATACTCTTATAGTAGTAATTAATTAACGTTTATACTACATATAATCTATATAACCCTATACGCTACTCATCTCTTATAAGAAACCCTAATAGGGCCATGGCTAGTAATAGAGTCCTAGAGGCCCTATTACATAGCTCTTTAGCTATTATATTCTTTAGGTATAGAATTAATTTAACGTAGCTTATAAATTAATATATAATTACTAAAATACTATTATATAAAGTTTTTATAGTTAGGTTAATTAAGTCTAGTATTTCTATAATAAAGTCTATAGTAATGTCTTTAAAAGGTACTATTAGTATCCTAATTAGTTATATTTCTCTATATTTAAGATGTGTACTATATTTATTCTTTTAGCAATCTATATATTTTTAGATATAGCTAGTTACTATTTCTTTTATTCCCCTAAAGGTATAGTTCCACTAGATAAGCTCTATTATTTTCCTAATACCTAGGTGTCTATTACGGCTACTACGCTATAATAGAATTATAGGACTTACGTTAATAATAGTAGTAACTAATTAGATTATATAGGAGAAGAATATAATTATAGGTTAGATGCTAAGCATAATATAGGTATATAAGGAAGTTACGTAATTAGATCTATAGATCTATAGAATAGAGCCATAGAGTCTAGATCTATAGAATCTATAGGTAGAGCCTATAGAGCCACTATTAGATAGTAGTATATAGAGATAATAGATTACTATAGGGTAAGCCTTTATTATTAATCTATAATATAGTTCTCTACATCTAGTTTCCTTATAGAAGATTACTATTAAGTCTTTAGTAATATATTCTTATAGTAGTAATTAATTAATATTTATATAATATATAATCTATACTACTCTATACACTACTTATCTCTTATAAGAACCCTAATAGGGCTATAGCTAGTAATAGAGTCCTAGAGGCCCTATTATACTTTAATAATTATGTCTTAAGAGTCTCTATAGGTACGTATCTAGATTACTAGTATTAATAATAGCTTCTATAGTAAACTAACTAATATTATTAGACCTAACGGACCTAGTCTAGATAAAGAAATAACTTAACTACCTTAATAAAGAGAATACTAGGGCTAAGGAAGCTTATAAGTAATTAGTTAAGTAAGTAAGAGTTATATTAGAAGGGATAGTAGGAGGAGCTAATAATACTATAAAGAAATAGATCTAGTAGATAGAACTCTAAATAAGGAATAGACTACTAAAACTTATAGATCTAGAGAAGTTTAATAGTACTTAAACTAAACTTAGGGGATTCCTAGCCTTAATATCTTTTTACCTAGATCTAAATTAAGAATATCTTAGGGATAAAGACTAGAAGGTGGCCTATATAGCTACCTACTTTACTAAGAAAGTAATAGACTAGTTTAATAGTTACCTTATAGATTAGAGAATAAGCTAAGTTAATAACTAGAAAATAGAAACTAACCTTATCTTTATAAGCTATGCTTACTTTAAGGAAAAACTATAGTTAACCTTTAGTAATATTAATGCAGAATATATAGCTAAATAGAAACTTTTAAAACTCTAATAGACTAAGATAGTAGTAGCCTATATATTAGTATTTAAGTAGCTAGCTAATAAGGTCTTAGACTATAGAGAGAGGGCCCTAATATAAAGGTTCTATAAGGGACTAAAATTAGATATTAGGTATAAAATAATTAGGATAGAGAAGCTAATAACTCTACCTATAATAATTAAATAAGCTATCTAAGTAGATAACGAGTTATTCCTATAGAAATAAGATAATAAGGGAGGAAGTAGGTACAGCGTAAATAGCTAAAACTATAAAACCTATAATAAAGGGGACCTAATGGTCTTAGATACTAATAAAGAAAAGGGATTAAGTTAGGATATAATAAAGGAGAAATAATATAAAGAAGGCACCTACTTTAGCTATAGTAAGAAAGGTTATATAGCTAGAAACTACCTAAGTAAAAGCTAGGATAAGTCTATAAAAAGTACTAAGGAGGAACTAAAGAAATAAGAAACCTTAAGGGATACTAAAGAAAAACTAGCTAGTAGTAAGGAATATAAGGCTACCTATTAGGCTAAGTGCTCCTAAGATATATATACGTTGCATATAAAAATAAAGAAAGAT